TTTTTTTTTTTTTTTTTGTGTGGTTGTTGTTTGATTTCTATCGACGTATTATGTAATGCGAATATGAAAGGAACTAAACTAATTTTGCATTTCTTTTTCTCTCTCGCGCAGACTCTCTCCGGATGTCGATCGAACACGGATCCCTCCCAAGTCGCAGCATCGATCGTCCACCGCAGTAGCTAAGCTTATTCTACGTGCTCCACCAAACAGGGAAACACTCATTCAGGGGAGACAGCTGAGTTTTTTTGATGGGGATGGCAGCACTCCACCGGCCTGTTCCAGTTGATCGTTGGATGATTGATCATCCAACGAGCACAAAGCATCTCCGCATACAGGAGAGGCGGATAGTCAGGAGTTGAGCAAGATCACTGTCGTTGAGGTCACCCAATGCGACGTCTTCCCGATTCGGTAAGAGTCATAGTAAACTTATTAAGATAATATAATGATGATGATGAGCATGAGGAGAGAAACGACAAACGACCGGCAGGAGACGGTCACGAGCTTTTTCATATGACATGATTCATCATCGTCTCATCTTCCTAGAAACCTTTTTGGTCTACGGGGAGAAGGAGAAGGAAAAGAATACTTCCGTCGTGGTAGACTCAGGGTACAGGGACGAAGTACCGTACCTTAACCCCGACCCTCTTTTTAGGTTGCCTTCGACCGTGGGTACAAACCGAAAGGGTGGATGTTGGAACTCCTTTGGAGCCCTGTCAACCACGTTGTCGATGTTGATCAGTAGTGTTAATTACCGTCTTGATGGGTTGTGTTCTATAATTATAGAGAGTCATCGTCCGAGTAATATATTACTAGTAGTTATTTATGATCCAGTGAGAAATTACATTACCAAGGAATTCCCGTTGGTTCTGGTTGAATTACCCTGAATGGATGTTCTTTGGCCTGCTCCGGACACCTGGTCTCTCTTCCTCTCCCCCTCTCTCTCTCTCTCTCTCTCTCTCTCTCTCTCTCTTCGTCTCGCCCCTTCTGACTCCATACACTCTCTTCGTTCCTCTGGTTTTGATTTCCTTGACTGGACCGAGTTAGTCAGAACTAAGCAAGGTCCGAGAGGGAAAGAAAAAGAAAAGGAAAAAGAGGAAAAATCTGGTTGGTCGACCAATCTTATCCCCGGTTCGAGCTAAACCACAAACTGCGTTAGTCTCCGGGGTTGATTCACTTTTTCATTGGAACAAACGAGAAAAAAAAAAAAAAAAAAAAAAAAAAAAAAAAAAAAAAAAGAAAAGAAAAGAAAAAGAAAAAGAAATTAAAAAACAAAAAAAAGTTCTTTTTTAATTTCCCATGTTTTTGGAAAAGTCAGGTAATATTTGACCTTCTTATTGTTTCGCTAGTTGATTTTTAATATTTACCCTTTTCTTTTTCTTTTTCCATTATAATTTTAATTTTCAAACCCGAACGACCGCTTGTTCCCTCGCCGTCCCCGCGCTGGCCAGACCGGGCGCTGGACTGGTCTGGATACGTCCCCATTCTTGCTGGGGTTTGGTTCTCGCTCGTTTGGGTTGGTGGTCCTGTCCTTCACCTTAATCATTGATACGCCGGTTCGGACTATACAAAAACCAAAATCCTAATATGAGAAAAATAAAATAATAATAAAAGTCATCTTCCGTCCACTGCGGCCCTTTCCTTTCATTCCCCTTCTCTGACACTACCACTCCATCTTCTCATCCTTTTCTTCCTCACTCCTCATTTCTCTCTCACGCCAACACTCGCGACAACGCCGCTGCCCTTCGGACCTCCCTCAACTAATCCGTCGATCGCTCATTTAGGACTGTCTCGTCTTCTACCACCCCACACAGACTCTCGATCGGTGCTATTCCGCTTTCTTCGATCTATAGGATTCCACCATTCACCATTTCTCGGTGTGCACGTTTGATCGTTTTCTCGATTCCACAACAGGCCATGCGGCTGTCGTGACTTCGCCCCGAGTGCTGCTGACGCTGTGCCTTTTTTTTTTTTTTTTTTTTTTCCTCCCCTTGTGGATTCTGCGTTATCGGTGATTGATTGCCGACGTATCATCCCACCGCCAGGATATGCCTCCCGTGTAAAGAATTGGGTGGAACGAACCTTGCGAACCGCACGCCATTCCCGTCGACTCGATCCAGCGACAACGAAAATCGAATCCGCTCGAGTCTGTCTGTCTCTCCCTCCGAATCGCATCTCCCTCCTCCGTGTCGGGATCCGTGTAAGATCGCTGAGCCGCGATCATCGCCCCTCCTGGATCCTCCAGACGTCTCTGGGGGCCTGTCTGGCAATCGATACTGGGCAATCGGAGGCGATACGGGATATTCTGCCGGCACGCTGACCTCGACCTTGGCTCATCCGCCGCCCGTGGAGACAGCCGATCTGTATCACCCGCTAGGGTTCTCGCGCGACACCACCGCCAACCTGGCTGCTCTTGCGGTTCCGCCACCGGGCATGGGGACAGCGCTCGATGCGCTGACTGCCCCTCAACCGTTGAATTCCCGTCGACCCGCGGCGCCGTCGCTCCCCAGCTTTGAGCTGCCGCCCCCGAACTTTCAGATCGGAGGAGCCGCGGTGAAGTATCACTCCCATCCCGCGCATCCCCCGCCAGCGAACAATCCCAGTGTCAATAGCCTTCTGACGCCGCCCGCCTCGACGCAGTCTGGTGAGACGCCGGTGCCCACGACCACCACTGCCGTGACGACTGCCGCGGTCTCTGCATCCCCCGATCCGACCTCGTCCTATACCGCCGCCTACTGGCCCGCCCAAAATTCATACGCCGCTGCGTCCACGACACCCCGTCAGTCCTGGAGCGCGGGTGTGAATCCCTACCCGCCGCGCGACACCTTCTCCCCCGCCGGGAACCATCTCCATCGACACTCGGTGACCTCCCCATCCGGGACCGAGGCGATCCCGAACCAGCCGTACGACATGAACCACCTCCCGCCCTTTCAGCAACCGCTCGCATCGAGCATGCCGGGCCCGAATTCGCAGCATTATGCCATGACGCATGCGATGCTTGCGGCACAGAATGCGCTCCCTAATCCGCCACCGGCCCCGCCGTCGCTACCCTCGAACGACCCGTACATGACCAAATCCTCGTCCGCTCCCTCCTACACCGGAATCCAGCAGATGTCGAATCCCTCGGGGGCATATGGCCCCTACGGTCAGACCAGCTTAGCGATTCATCCCCCCGGACGGGTGGCCTCCAACCCGCCCCCGCATCATCTCAACTATCAGCGACAGCCGTGGCCCTCGTATTCGTTACCGGCGATGAACGGACCCGTGCTGACGAACGTGCACAATCCGAACGGACATATGTCGCTCGTTAGCAATCCGCTCCCCGGCCGGCTGGCGTTCAACAGCGGCCAATTGGCCATGCAGCAGATGTATGGGGGTCATCCCTCCCACGCGGGCCACCCACCGGGTCCGACAAACGACCGACCCTTCAAGTGCGACCAGTGTCCGCAGAGTTTCAACCGGAACCACGACCTGAAACGACATAAACGGATCCATCTGTCCGTGAAGCCGTTCCCCTGCCATCATTGCGATAAAAGCTTCTCTCGCAAGGATGCATTGAAGGTAAGATTCTTTTAGAAGGTCGAGGTTGTCGAGCGAAAGAAACCCAAGAACTAACGGAAGTAGCGACACATTCTCGTCAAGGGCTGCGGCAAAGACGTGTCCGATACGATCCCGAAGCAGGAGGGTGAAACGGTGAAACAGGAAGACAAAGACCTGGAGCATGGCCTGTCGATTTAGCCTGCCCCTGTTATGGTTTACCCCTTGATTTCGACCACACCTCATGAATTCCCCACGCGACTCGACAGACCTTTCTCGACCTCCCCTTCACCTCTCGACTTGATTCCCGGCTTTATTGTGCTAATTTTATTGTGTACGTTCCATGATGCTTTGTATTTGGCCTGTATGTACTTGGCGAGCGGTTCGGTTGGGACGATTGCTTGTTTGTTTTATGTTTTCTTTCCTTTCTTGATATCTTGTGAATGGTTTGGCATCAGCGAGGGATAGCCGGATGTATGTACACGTATGTAGGTAGAGGCGTTGTAGGAGACTATTGGGATCCGTATTTGAAGGCAAATTGATTTCGGAAAGAGTCTCCTTGCAGTGGAATCACTGTGTACTTGAATATCCGATGTAAGGTCTGGTCTAGGAGACTGTGCCCTTCATGTAACTATATATCATTATGCAACTTCAACCTCCGTATACCTCGTCTTAGCTAAATATATATAAAATAGCAAAACCCTACAATAGAGGTACACCAGCTACTAAACCAAACTACCACCGACCAACTCTTACAAACACTACAAAAGATACAACAAAACAAACTCCACGAAACAAACCCACACCATCAAACCATCCCCACGACAACTCAACATGAACACAAAATACTTAACCACAGATACAACACCCAACACTCATACAAAAAGAAAAAGGGTATACATACATACACACATACATATACATACATATACACACACATATATCCCAAAGAAACCACCAACCCAAACAACGAATCAATCCTTCCTTCAATTATCCTTCTTCCCCAAATCACTACCACTAACAATATCTCGAGACCCAATCCACTCCTCCACCAACCCCCGATAATCCTCCACCCCATAAGGCTCCAACCACTTCAGCCCCCCCTTCCTCGTATAATCGAGTCCCAAATCCCTCAACAACAGATCCACATACGGCACCGCATCGAACACAAAATCCGGGTTCCGTTTCCCGAATCCACCTCGGTAGCGATGAATCCCGAACTGCGAATGCAGGGCCGTTTCCCATACGAGATCTGCATCGACGGCGGCAGAATCCTGTTCCAGGACCTTTCGGAGATGAGGGGGGCATTGTTCCCGAGGCACGAGGGTGAGGTTGTTGGTGAAGTAGGCGGCGATCCAGAGGGCTTGGGCCTGGGCGAGCATGGTGGTGTTGATCGTCATGGCGAGGCCCATGAAGGCGATTGATCTGGAGTTGGTGTTGGCGAGAGAAGGGGGGATCATGAAGCGGGAGAGACGGAAGGGGTGTTTTGCCGCGGCTGGGGCGTCTGGGGCGAGGGGGGCATAGTTAGCTGGTTTGGGGGGTGGGGAGGCCAGTCGGGGGAAGCGGGAGAGGATCTCTGCGTCGGCTTGTTGGACGACGGATTGGGGGATGGGGTCTTCGGCCCAGGGGAAGCCGAGGGTTTGGGGGAGATGGGAGGGCCGGAAGTCGATTGGGGGGGTTGCTTGCCAGCCGGTGGCGCAGATGAGGGTGTCGGAGGGGATGGGGGTGGTGCTGGAGGCGAGGTGGATGGTTTTGGGCGTGAGGTGGGTGATGTGGTCGATGTGGATTTGCACTTTGCCGTCGGTGACTAGGTCGAAGAAGTTGGTTGGGTAGTTCAGGATGCTGAGTCCTGAGGCGATCCAGAACGGACTGATCCAGGGTTTGAGCTTCTTGGTTTCCGGGTGGGCGTCGAATTTGTTCAGGGTGATTACGTCGTTGGCGAGGATGGACCAGAAGGTGTCGACGATTTTGCGGCCCAGCCAGGTGCCATGCAGGAGGTTGCGGATGGGACTGCAGCCGTCGGCGTCGCCCCAGATGCAGGGACTGAACCAGGTGAGGAGTCGTGTGGTGACGAGCTTCTCGAGCCATTTCTTTAATGGGGTTACGTAGGCGGGGGCCATCCAGACGGGGCCGTGGCCGTTGTCGCGGATGATCCAGTCGACGTGGGCGCCGGCAGTTGCGGCGGCGTAGACGGCGTCCCAGGCGGATTTGGTGCCGCCGAAGACGGTGATGCGCTTGTTGGGTTGCAGGACGGCGTCTTGGTGCTGGGGCAGGTCGCGACAGTGGAAGAGAGGCGCGTCGAAGGTGTCTTGGCCGGTGATGGTGGGTAGGTAGGGCTGGGAGGTGATGCCGGTGCAGACGATGAGCTTCTTGCTCACGACGGTTTTCTCGCCGTCGGTGTCGTCAATGGTCAGGGTCCAGGTTCCGTCGGAGTTATGTTCCGCAATGCGCACCCGTGTGTTCAGACGGATGAACGGGGTGAGCTGGAAGTGCTTGACGAAGCGCTCCATGTACGTCTGGATCACGGAGCCCGGGATATGTTGGCCGGGCTGGACACCGAACGAGGCATCCATGGGGAAATCGCTGAACTCGTAGGTGCCCAGCATGTTGTTGGATTTGAGGCCGGCATACAAGCGATGCTTGGCCCAGACGCCGCCGACCGAGGCCGCGCTCTCGAATAGCACAATCGAGGCGGAGGGGTCGACCTGGTGGTAGGTCTTGAGGGCAGCGAGACCACTCCATCCTGTTGATGTGGTGTGAGTGTTGGTGAACTTGCGACGTATCAATTCCGACGGGTGGACATACCAGCTCCGATGACTGTCACGTCAACAGTCTCCATGGTGATCAATTTCACAGGTACATTCAATGCAATTGTTGCAGGATTAGTTGCAGTTGGTGATTTTCAGCCGAACGCCGCTCCCCGCAATGGTCGTGAAGGAGGGAATTTAAGGAGCAGGCATAAGGGAGGGGAAAAGCCAGGGTGGAGTGACAAGCGACATAATTATATTAGCTGAGTATAGGATGCCGATCGCGGAATTTTCCCTCATTCCCCGGCGACTCCAGTGGAAAAACGGTCGAAGTCCGGGAATCCCGCCTGATAGTCAAAGACCTGGCGAGATTGCAAGAGGCAGAAAAAAAAAAGGTTTGTAATTAGTAGGACGCACGGTAATTAGACAATTAGGAAAATTAGAAGAAGCGTGGTTGCATCGCGCCACCGCTAACTTCGGCCTAACGACTAGGCTAAAGCGGCGTCGGGATTCAAATGAGGTAAAAAGTACGGCCATGAAAAGGATAATCGGTGGAGCAGTGGAGTTTGATGGTTGGTTGGCAGGTTAGTAACCTTGGGAGAATTCTCCCGAGGTCTGCAGTGGGAGTTTTAGTCTATGGGTCGGAGTCGTTTCAAGTGGAACCTGGTGGTTATTTAGTAGTATTTTATTAGCAGTGATTAAGGGTGGAGCTTGTCATTCTTCAAGTTGACAGCCCAAGATTCACGCTGGATGGATACAAGAAACAATTTGTATTAGACTTCTTTTATCCAAAGTCAAAAGCAGATAGAGGTTCATGCGCGATATATCACATTAGATTGATGTACGTACCACATCTGCTGCCAACCCAAACAAGGGCGATCACTAGATAATGCATCACAAACCCTAAACGTTGGATCTGTCTTTTCCTTGCAGAATCAGTGGCGGTCCGAGCAAGGCTACTCGCTCAAAAATGCTTAAGCGATAGCTACGCATACAAAAAAAAATATATATATATATATATATATATATATATATTCCTTATAAATAGTAATAGTAATAGTAATCTCGCTTCCCGCAATTAACGATCCACTGATAGTCCACCCGGCCTCAGTAGCCAAACGTCGGGGAGCCACCACCATATCCCGAACGGGTAACCCTAAGGTCATTCATTAGGAGCGGAATGGGGACAAGACGCACCGGACAAGCGTTTGGCGTCCCCGCTGCCAACTTCCAACGGTCATTCAGATCCAACCTGTCGGGCCATGTGGTTATCAGACGGGAATTGATTTCGACCCGTCCCCTTTCCCCCCCTGGATAGAAATGGATACATCGATCTTCCGTGCGCCGGGTTCCGGGCTAAGCACCATCCAGTTATAAAGCTACTTTTATAACCAAAGTTCAGCGCTTTTACCTCCCCTGATCTTTCCCCCCGTTTGCTCTCCTATGATCTGAGTGCCCGCACGGACGTCCAGACTGCCACCATGGCCGGGGATGATTTTACCATCGAGGCCTTCACCCTCCTCAGCATCGCCATTGTCACCATCGCCATCCGCATCACTGCACGATGGATCACCGCTGGACCGAGAAATTTCAAGCTCGATGACTTCCTCATGCCTGTAGCGGGGGTATGCCACTTCCCCCCCATCACATATACACACACACACACCCACAGTACTCATGAAACAAAAAAACAGGTGGTTTACGGGTTGGAAACGGGCGCCGCTTACTGCGTTGGCGCTTGGTGGATGGGTCTAGCCAATAACGCCATGACCGACGAGCAACGAGCCACGCTTTCTCCCACTTCAGAAGAATACCGTCTGCGTGTAGGTGGCTCCAAGACCCAGGTTCTGGGTTGGTCGTTGTATACAACCCTGCTGTGGTTGCTGAAAGCTTGCATGGCTATTTTCTACTCGCGATTGACGTACGCTTCCATTTCCCTTCGTGAATTGATTATCTTTTCTATTCCTCTATATCTTCGATGGTTTCGTATGCGAAAACGAGATAAGTAGCTCATTAATTGGGATCTAGAGCCGGCCTGATCAACATGAAACGTCGGGTCCAAATCGCCTACGTCCTCATCGGCGCCACTTATATCGCCGTCATCTGCTCGATCCTCTTCGGTTGTCATCCCATGCATAAGAACTGGCAGATATACCCCGACCCAGGCAACTACTGCCAGCCCGCGGTGTCGCAGATCGACGTCTACGTTACTGTCACCTTGAACGTTGCGACAGATGTGTACTTGATATCGATTCCAACACCGGTATGCCTTTCAACACATCTATAAATACCATAACAACCAAGCTAACAAACCGAAACCAAAAAGATGCTCTTCAAAGCTCGTCTCCCCTGGCGCGAGAAATGCGAGCTCCTCGTCCTTTTTAGCGGCGGAATCTTTGTCATGGCCGCCGGTATCCTCCGCTGCGTGTTAATCGTCACGGTACGTCTCCTCCCTCCCCCATCCTTCCCTAAAAATTCCCCAAGTCCCCCAAAGCTAACAAAGATATTTAACAAAAAAAACAGGCCGGTGCAAACGGCGCCCAACAAGCCGGCAGCTGGGCCTGCCGCGAAACCTTCGTAGCCGTAGTAATCGGCAACGCACCGATGATCTACCCCTTATGTCGACGCATCGCACGCCGCGCCGGCTGGTACATCAGCACCAAGGGCATTACCTCCAACAGCTACCCATTAACCGATAGCGAAGTACTTGGTGGCGGCGGCGGTAACGGTGGCGGCCATAACTCGAAGAGCACCATGCATAGCAGTAATCGGAAACGGAAGTTTAAGCATCCGTTGTCGTTGCCGGATACGCAGTATCATGATGAGCAGACGATCTTGCCGCGTTCGGAACCGCCGACGGTTTGCGAGGCTGGGACTTGGGATGAGGAGAGTCGGGGGAGTCAGGAGGGGATTAAGGTTGTTAGGGAGACTATTGTGCACAGGCAATAGATTCTATCTTTATTTCTTTTGTTACTTTGGTTTTCTTTTGGGTTGGTTGGGGATGGTGGAGTCTAGTCTTGAGATCTTTTCTTCTGTGGATATTACTTCTTTTTCTTTTCTGGCATATATATACACGGATACCTAGTTGATATATGATATGATATATATGTATGTACAAAGACATAGACAACAAACAGCTTCAATGAATCATAAGCTCGTGATTTTTTTTTTTTTTGCCATTGCCATTGCCATTGCATTTGACATACTTAAACAAAAAGAATAAGATTCCGACTCAGTGGGTCAAAGGAAATGAAAATTAATATAAACCCCATCCCGTCCCAAACCCACATCCAATAACCTTATACGAGATAACCCAGACCCAGACCAAGATCCAGACCCAATAAGCATAATCCAGGGACCTCGTATAATAAATGTTAAAATGTTAAAATGAAATTAGGCCCCTCTCCTGGATACTGAATTAAACCTCCTTCTGAATAGCAGCCGCCCCATCACTCGCAACAAATACTTCATCCTTTTTCAATGATGCCTTGACCGGGCTCTTGGCTTGGAAGATCGCCGTCAATTCTTCCAATGTGCGCTTGCTGGTCTCCACAAACAGGAAATAGATGATGATGAACTCGAACGTGTCCCAGAAGATGAATAGGAAGTAGTATTTCCAGCCGGCGCCGGTGAAGGCGATTCCAGTGACGAAGGTGTTGTAGAAGGAGGCGATGTTGACAAAGAACTAGATTTTGTTAGTCTCTTTTTCTTTTCTCTTCTTTTCTTTCTTTTTATTGATTGAGGGAATGAGATGTTATGGGAATTAATAGGGGGATTTGGTGATGGATGGGTAATGGACAAGGTACGTACGTTGTTCATGCCCATTCCCTTAGCCCGACTTTCATATCGAAGACATTCCACCGGGTACATGGCCTGATTCGGCGTCCAACCGGCCGAGTAGACGAATCCAAAGATGAAGATCATGGCGATTTGGGCCCGGGCTGTGACTCCGCTCTTGGCGATGGGTTCACCGTCTGGACCGTCGACGACGTTGGTTGCGTTCAGTGCCAGGACGATGGCGAAGAGGATGACGATGAGACCGGTTGAGACGAGGAGTTGGGGACGACGACCGACACGATCGGTGATGAGTGCGCCGAACACGGCGCCGATGAACTGCACCACGTTTTGGAGTCCCTGCAGGAGGAGTCGGGTGTTGTTGTTTTCGATACCTGCGCCGCGGAGCATCTGGGGGTAGTAGTAGGAGACGGGGCCGTTGCCGGACCACTGGCCGAAGAAAGCTGTCATGGAGATTTAGTTAGCTAATCATTGCTAGGGAGGCTAGTCGTGAGTTGAGGGGGTATTTGGTGCGCACCCATGAAGATGACAAGCATGGATCGATACCGTGTCTCGCGACTGTTGAACAGCTCCCGGTAGTCCCACCAGCGCTTATCAGAACCGGTCTGGGAAATATCCTCCACCATCTCCCGGTACTCGAGTTGCACAATGGGCGCGTTACGATCGCCTTCTCCGTGGTATTCGGCCAGGACCTTGAGCGCGGCTTCATGCTTGTCTTGGGAGATGAGCCAACGGGGGGACTGGATGCTGTTAGCTTCTCTCGTTGAGTTTCTTTGTCAACCTGGATTGACAACCTACCTCTGGAACAGTAAAACAGAACAAAAGCACCAACCCCGAGAAGATCATCTGCAGCCAAATCGGAATCCGCCAGCTCATTGTTCCCTCAATATCGCTTGTCCTCCACGGGATGAAGGTTCCCGGAATACCGCCTCCAAACCACAACACATTGTAGAGACCGGTCATTGCACCTCGATAAGCGGGATGGGCCATCTCAGAGACGTATGCTGGACCGGCGGTGGCGGAGGTTGCTACGCCGAAACCGAGGATGAATCGGCCCGCCATGAAGCCGCCCAGGTTGTGGCATGTGGCCTGGACGATTGTTCCGACGATGATGAAGATGGAGCCGAGGGCCATACCGACGCGACGACCTATTGACCCGGGGTCTTAGTCGGGATGATGTATGTTGGCAAAAGGGGAAGGGGTACCTTTGAAATCCGTGAAGGGACCAGCCGTGAATGAGCCCACGATGTTTCCGATGGTGTAGATAGCGTAGACGATTCCGGTAGATGGTGTACCCTCATCTGGATCGAACCCGAAGTATGATCTGTATTGTTCGTAGCTGTTGATGGAACCCATGAGGGAGCCGTCGTATCCGTTGATACAGGAGTTGAGCATGGCTACTGCGATACACCAGTACAGCTGGATTGGTCAGTGGCTTGTCTGCCCATCAGTCTAGGGTATAGGTGCCATTACCTTGAGCATACTCTTGCTCAGCAGCTTGGGCTTCTGCTGGATAGTGGCTACTGCCAACGCGGCATTGTTGACACCCTTGATCTGGGCTTCGCCCGGGTTGTCACTGTGGGACACAGTGGCATCCACCTTATCGGCCATGGTGGGTCAAAGAGGATAGCAAAGAAGATCGATTCGTAGTGGATACAATTACATAGTCTGATCGAAAGAAGAAGAAGAAAAAAAAAAAAGCGAACCTAGGGGAGGTGAGGGGGGGAATTGATATACAATATAACACTCTGAGCGTTTCGGTGTATCATACCATTCCATCCAGATTGGGATTAATTACGATACAATACGGTTTATATTAAACTGTTACATCTGAACAAATTAACGGCCAGGGTTTTTGTTGAGTATTCAGCCCTGTGTATGGACACAGAGTCACCCCGCGGATGAATGTAACAAGGAGTGATCCTTCCGTAGCAAAAAGGGTATAAGCGTATATCAAAATCAAATCTGGGGAATATGTTAGTAGTTAGCCCGTATTCTAGCTTCGCGGGGGCGTGGATTGTGGATTGTGGAGGACCAATACGAGATGCTCGATGATTAGATCCAACGTGCTCCCCATCGTTCTCGTGTGGTCAGATTCCCCAGCTATCCTCGTGGTCGAAACTCTGGATGCCCAAGTTCGCTCACGCCATACCTCTCTCTATGCTCAGTGGCTATGCTAATCTAGGAACTACTCTAGTGCGGTGATCGGTCCGAACTGCCGTGTCCTTTTCTCTTCGAGTAAGCACTACAGGTCCAGGGTCCAGCCCCCATTTAATTAAAATTCCTGGGGTTTTGTGTGGGTGGACTATCCGGGGTTGACAGGATTAACCTGCGTCCGTTAAGCCGGGATTATGACTGGGAGTGCGGCCCTAGGATCCGCGGCTGTCTTGTGATTGAGTGCTTGTCAAGAATTCGATTGCTACTAGTCTTAGCTGCAGGGTAAAAGCGTCTCGGGAATTAAGCGATGTCAAGACATTGGTCCGTCTTGGCTCCGGTTATGCCACTAAACACCCTCCATTGGTGTCGCTTCTCAACGCAGTGTTTCAAGGTATGAAAAAAGAGATTGAACCTAGTAGTATTAATTACAGGCCACATGGCAAAGGCCTCCGGACTGCTAACTAGTGCATCCCATTAGGTCTTGACACGCGACTGCATGTTAGCTTTTCGCACGAACATTTCAATAACACATGATGGTCTGTGGCCTCATCCAGGCCTACCTAGACAGGCTCACCGACCACTAAATTTTTTGGGATGAGCTGGTATGAGGCGACTGGACCAAGATCGGACTCGATCACTTGCCGCCGCACTGACTTGATGAACGTCGGTTAGTGACCCGAGGACCAGCGGCGACATGGAGCCGGGAGATTATTGCCGTATGGAACAGGGTCTGGATGGCAGTATGACTGTGGTTCTGGTTGGTGGCCCATGTGCCTTCTGAATGTCTTCATTTCCGAAGTGCTAAGCGAGCTAGAAGTCAAAGCACTGATTTATTATGTGGAGTGAAGCTACGTATGGGGATATCGGTGAAGGATTTCCCTAATAGACATGCTCCTACATATTGTACAATATACTAAATATGTCGGCACGTACGCACCTAACCCAAAAAAGGAATTTTGCAATTTTGTAGATTGTATGCACTTGTGTCCTGTTAGATCCGGAGATGCTTGGTTCCCAGAAAATAACCACAGACTCACTAATGAAACCAACTTAGCTTTTATTTTCATAAGCAGGTACGCATGCCATCTATTACCAGTTGAGAGTGATTGCTATAAAGACAACGGGGAATGTATTCCATATCGTAAGATATGTAACTCCGAAGCTAAGACTGATGAACAGGTCCTGCAATAGTAGATCTTACCCAAACTACCATCTGAGATATTTGGAAAGAGCACCAAAGCAGCTTTAGCATGTTTGTGGACTTGCAAAGGTGAAACATAACTGGGAGCGGAGATTGGTGGAATAACTAATAATCGACAGGTACTTACCAGCAGCCGAGGTCCATGGGTCTTGTTCGCATACGGCATCGTGCATTGGTATTGCAGGGTACTGACATGGCCCTCGGCCGTATTTAGCGATTTCGTAATTAATTAATGGGTTCGGTTCTGTTTACTTTATGTAGATGTCATCTCCATCGTTCGAAGACTGTGTGAGATGGGGATGCTGGTATGGGCCTGTTCTGATGACAGGAATGTTGTTTTGCTCGAAGGTAATATCTAGATGCAGGTGACCCTTGCCAAGGAGTCTAGCGTCTAATGTATTTAGGACACTCTAAAAGCTTTGAAGCGTGGCGGATGAAAACTGGCTACATGTGTTGAGTCACATCACCCTGTAGTAGCACGGAGTTGTAGTTTTGCTCCTGACTGCTTAGACGAGTCTGCTTTTAAATAATGCCCCGGAGTAGGTATTACTTCAGCCTTGGACCGCTTTGAAAGATTCCGAACGAGAGCGAATAAGCCTACGAGGTTGACTAGCGATTGGCCGCAGACTGCGGTCAAGCGTATGTTCAAGGAGCTGAGACAAGGCTTATAATGCTTCACTATGTCCCAGGCAGCAGGACCGGTGATAATTGGATTCAAAGGAAAATTCCGGCTAAACCAGAAGAGTACAAACGTTCAATACTGTAAGAGCGTTGGTTCTAATATATTGCACCCCTAGTGTCAACAGGATCATAATAGAGAACCTTTCTGATATATGCTGGACACATACTTGGCAATCGGGACAAATTAGTCCCAAAACGGTCGAGAAAGATACAATCATTCTAATAAGACCTACAGTCACTTATTTAGACGTTCATAATTTCGATATTCTTGCCCGTAAACCATCAAGCTATGATATTGCCACTATTCTAGACTTTGTTCGTATCCCCCACAGTACAACAACGAGGGAAACATTAACACTAACCTCACCCTGCTAGGAATTATATTTTAGATTCAAGTGCAAACTAATCGTTACGATATAATGTTGGCCATTGTCCGGTTGGAGGTACGATCAAATGCCTAAGGTATTTTGGTCGAGTGGCCGAACCCTTAACATATAATATACACTTAGCCGGCTTCATACACCTCTAGTTATGAAGGTCACTACGTCGGTTACCTCGTCAAAATATACATAACGGTTCCTTTCATGTTAGCCCTAAGTCTCTCGGACACAAGTCTGCCAGATTTGACCTGGAACAAGCCTGCCTGTCCTGCTGAAATGGAATCTAGAGGAGTCTCCGTAGGCATCACTATCCCAGAGTTATGGATATCGCTGGTCAGGCGGACGTGACTATTGAATAGAGAGATCATGAATCATGCTTCTCGAGGGATTAGTACATGTGTGTCTTATTCTAGCTCCGAGTATAGAGATATCTATATTTATAGATGATCGGAGCCCCTTAGCTTTCGTCAAGATATATGGAATGTAAATGAGACACCACTACCGAGATTAACATATGAGGAAACTGCTAAGTAAGATTGGCAATAGACTCTAGTCAGCGTCAAGCAAGATGAAAAAGATGGCAAGGCTAAGAGTGATATAGTAAGTATGTGATCTTCGCTCTAGTGTAGCTACATTACACTCGATTGTGCGTACACTTCAGACAGGGTTACCAGTTATAGCCTCGACTACTCTATTCAGACTCTGTATAAATGCATGCGCATACAGGTTCGACTATGGTTAGATATTCGCAAACGGAGAACAGACACTGAATTCAAAGTACTAATGCTTCTATATGATATAGCACTGAATGTTGAGTTGGGGTCCGAGTAGCGGACGCTTTAATCAATGACCGCACCCTGCAACCTTTCGCATTACTGGCCAATTGCATAGTACATCACTTTGAAAAGAGTTTTTGGTAGTGCAGCACATGACTTAGTTACCACCCGACCAGCGAGCTCTTCCAGAAATGCACTTCACATCAAACTACTGTTCAGTCCCACGCCGATGTTTGAGGTTCATGAGAGGTAACCAGCCATCCATAGCCCGAGCTTAACTTGAGCTTCAACCAGATTCCCACCATTAGCCTGTCATCGCACTAGTCGCCAGAAGCCCAAAGACATATATTACGAGTATATCAGTCTCGCACTGGATCACGGGGATGATACTGTTTGCCAACGGCTTTTGTTTGGGTTTGACGAGGTTAATACTGGCACAAGACAGGTGCTGGTCGTTGATAATACATACACACCGAAGAGTTCCAATTAATCACCAATTGCAGAATACAAAATTGGTCAAACAGCCTATGCTGTCTTCGAGGTCGCACTCTGCTATTGGCTAACGCATTTCTGGGAGCCAGTTAATATCCCAGGGCTTTTTCTGGAGCAGATCCTTGTTAGTCGGAACCATTATCCTTGAGAAGTGGAAGTATGTTCCTTGCTGTGTTATTAGCTGGAGTATTCATATCATCGAGAAAGGAAACTAGACATTGGCGAACCACTGCTCGACTGTACTCTTTCTACTCACTTCGGAAGATATGTGGCTTTAGTAATAGTGGGGTAACTACTATGAGCCCGAATTATTCATATTAGATTATCGTAACTGGCACAGGGCGCGCAATACCCCCCTAAGATAATATATATACATGGAGCAGCCGCGAAGGTATATCCAGCAACTCCTGTTCAGTAGCTCGATATGGAACGGGGAAGTGGGCAAAAAGGTGGAGATGATTTCTACCTAGATTATCTAAGACAGTGAGTATACAGACAAGAACATTTCCGTAGATTTCCTCAGACAAAATGTCCCAGCAGGCATTGAAGAAATGCATCAAGCAAAGCATTGATCGCAAAGTTATAACTTGTCGACGTAGGAGATGCTTACACCGCCCAGCAAATTAGGAGGATGTAATATTTAGAGATGTATCGATTCAAGTATGTTTAGTAACATGATCCCCCGGAATAGAGCTTGCTAGAGGTTGAGTCTATCGGGAGGAGCGGATTGGGTATACCAATCAATCAATCAATCAATCAGAATTCTATTAACCCGACAGAGTCTAACTGTTGAAACATTTAGCGCAGGCCGGACTCGGGATATGCACATCTAGCGTGAAATTATCATAGTAATATAGCTATGAGTAGAACAAGATCGTTCATTAAACATTCCCCAATGACTCCATGGTGACATATACTATCAGCTTATAGACAATGTAACTTTTCATTGAATCTTGACTCATAATATACAACCGATAAATACAATACCCAAACAAGCCCAATCCCTAGTACACAGACATAGAAGTATACAAAAGTACCCAACCCAAGACCCGAAAACAAAAGATATATATATCAAAACGCCACTACATTCCCATTCACAGCCCCAGCCGCCAGCTCCCTCTTCTCCTCCGGCGTAATGTACAAGCTAAGCGTATAATACCTCCCCTCAATCAACTCAGACTCACCCTTCGGATCCCCCGCCAAAACCAACCTCGTATGACCCGCAAACGGCAAACTAAACCACACCGGTTGTCCACTTCGATCCGCACCCTCCCAGTAATCAGCGTTACATGACATGCTACTACCGAACAGCAGTGGGTTGAATCCATTGCACACGGCTTCGGGGATATGCAATACGTCCTCCAGCACGATGACATGCGACGTCGGGTCCTGCGGGCTTCTACACACGGTGAGATGGACAGTCCCAGCGCCCACGACGTGTAGCTCGTCGGTGGGATTGAAGATGTTGTTTTTCAGGCGCAAGTCGACGGAGCGGTAGGTCGTGAATACGGCGCGGTCCCTAGCATAGTGACAGTTTCCAGATACGACCATCCAGTCATAGCAGATGCGGTTCGCGGGATGTGTAACCTTGTTTCTTTTGGTGGGCTGTTCGGGCTCATCTTGGTCGGCAAGGAAGTCGTCGTGGGTTCGCATGGTGGTCGTCATCGGGTTGGTCTTGATTGGTAGGAGTGGTGATGCGCGGCCGGAGGAAGTTGGTTATGGTGGTCAATTGGGTCGGTGGTAAGGGATAACGAATAAAAGACCTTGGGATAGGGACAGGCGATAGTTGGACTCGGTGACTAAAACGCTTTAAAGGCCGAACGAAGGCTCTAGTGAGAGAGGATTGATGTGAAACTGGGGCATTGGATGTATCCAACCCTGCCGGAACAAGGAAGTCCGGCAGTACTACAAACCCGGTAGGCGGTGTCTAGGTCTCAGCCCTGAAGATATGCAAGCGGTATAGCACGACAGTATAATCTCACCGCCAAGGTTAACCGCATTGAGGCAAGGCCTCGGTAAACCTAGGTTTCCAGAATGCCGGTATCGCACGGGTGATTGGCGGAAAGCCAACTCCACTGGAACCGTGACATGAACTAGGGCTAATGGAAGTTAAAGGTAACTTCAGGATGATCGGACTAAGTTTTTTTGAACTTTGACCTTTTGAACACCCAGAACCCCCTGGTGAGACTCTCCCTGAGACACAACGAGGAGACTTCGTGACTCTCCAACTCACTGCCTACCTAGTGCTTTCGGCATCTGCCGAAAAAAGGAATGGGCTCGGGATTTGAATCACTCAGTCCTGAATGTCCTTGAACGGTGGCAACACGACCGGAAAATCTCGGTGCTCGGATAGTGCAATTCCGGTTATGCAGGGGGAACACCGGTCTTGCTCTTAGCTTCCTTTTCTGGGCCTGTCGTTGCGGCCCAATGCAACTGTGCATTCATGCAGCTATCATTTTTACTCGACGCTTTGACCCCAGCCTGACAGCGCTGTCATCAAGGTCTATTTAGTTCTATTTCCGCTACTAGCATGTCAAGGGTAAATGGTCAAACTAACAGATAGGTATTTCTTGGCAAGATTGTGCGATCTGAGTAGATGTAGTACAAAGGAATGGAATAGACGTCTTATGGCGCACCTTGCATGCAGATTCTTTATCTAGCAAGGTTACTGACTCGAAGCCTCGGAATTGCGGATGCTATTAATATACTTTTACCGGTTTAGGCAGTAGATGTAGAGAACCTTGAATATTTAATCATGTGTCCAGAATATTGTTGCAAGATATTGCGGTTGCCTTTGCTAGCCACAAACAAAGTCCTTGCCTAACAAATCGCTCAATTACCCTGCCTTTATGCTAAATAGCGTCATTTGCGCGTAGCCTATTGCCCCCTCTCCCCCCAAAAACCACGCTTCCAAGTACCAACAAACGAAAGTCCCACCCCCTTGCCGTGCAAGGCTACACAAGGTGCATATAATATTCAAGATTATAGGTGGGATTAGTAAAGAAAAGCGGCTACGCTGATCCACCGGTGGTGAAAAAGAGGGTCGCTCGGAAAAGAATCCCTTTCTGACTGTCTCAACGACCCGATCTACAAAGAAGGAAAGTCAGGTGAGAATCAGGTGTTGAGCTTCGTATCCACAGTAGTAGCCAATGACTTTTCCTGCATGCAGGCTAACACGGCCGACCAAGGCCGGCGATATGGACAGGACTTGCCGATTATAACCTCGATATAAGCACCCCTGTGCAATTATGATGTTATTGTTGAAACCTTGAAAAGAGAAGTTCTTTGTTGACCGAACTCTATGTTGCCGAGTGGTCGCTGTATATTGAAGAGCTATATACATGTATTGAAATCGAGCCGGTTGTTGAGTTTCCACAACTCTCAGCCTCTTTATACAGAAAAGATCTCATTGGCCAGATAAAGAATCCCGAGAGCTCTACGGAAAAGCAAGTCAGTGTTAGGGTTTCCTTGCTAATATGACGCACATGCTTCGGTTGTTGTCCGACGACGATATAGGGATCTAGAATGCGGGGAGAAGATGCGGTCTAACGATTGTGGCTTGAATTCCACCATAAGAGGGGTACTATACATCGAACACCCTGTGGCAGGCTTTGGTGAAACATCTTGGACTTGACGCGTGAGACTGCTAGGAAGGAACCTATGAGAGGCAAATCACGCCGCCACCTACTGCATAATTATGGACTATGGCGAGTGCCCACCGCTAGTATTGTGTCATATAGCACTTGACGTGTCGAGGTGTACCGCCCGTTGCGATCCGTGTCTAAATAATGAGGTATTGTGGAGGCCTACGCTTCTCAGGCCCTTGTCTATCCCTTACTACAGGGGGATCAATATAGCAATCCTACACTGTATGTCCCAGACGATGTACGCTGTAATGGGGCCGTGCATAACCACAGATCGTTCGGAGGCACGCAGTATCAAACACTAGCGCTGTAGGTTGTAAGATGTGGTCGAGCAAGCCTATAATATCGTTCGTAAGGACCCGGAAATCGAGGTTGCATCGCATAGGTGCAGTTCCGATTCGGCCGATAAGGTTTCTTTCATCGTGTAAATTGTGCTTTTGTCCCCGTATTCACATCCGGCTAAGACTCATCAATCTCCTTACTCCCGTTAGGTCCGTAGATCGGAGCGGTAATGGCGGCTCCAAGTTGGTGCTGGATACCAAAAGATGCGCATTGGTTGTATCGAGATGAATGAAAGGTTTCTACCGTGGACGATCGTTAAATAACAAAGAAAATAGGGTTAAAAGTAACCCGAGGCTAAGCTCTACTCACAGTGCGTCCGAGAGTGTGATATAGTTGAGCAACTACTTGCCACCAGATTGGCACGGCCATATGGCAAGTTAATTGTGCATGGATTAGGCATTAGTTTGGCGCCACATACAAAGTTATGATTGGGATCAGTGTCAGATCGCCATGCCAAATTACCCTAAGTGTATCTTGGGCTTCACGCTCAGGACACCCTTTGATCATAGCGCGAAGATCAATGGGGATCTTGATGCACAAATATGAACTTCTGCAACTTCCTAGTCATTAGTCACTGATTACAATCTTCCCATATCTGTGGCTAATGTATGCCCAAGGAGTTTCATTGTTTTGTTGGGCCTGCAGAAGCTTCATGTCCTTGATCCAAGATATGGTCCATACAGAGAATCTCGGGCCAATCTCATTGGCCAGGAACAATTGGCGCAAGTATCTTGGCAATGACAAGTCACGATTACTAGCACAGACAAAGGAAAAAGGCACTAAAATAATAGTATGATTTCGGTCGTAAGGTTTGGTTGTCTCACTATCCAATATTTTTTTTTTTTTTTTTTTCAGTTACCCGCATGACAAGCCCGATAATTGGCAATCGGGGCGGAAAAGATCATCCAATGAGAGGTCTAATCGGTAAAATCGGCAAGTATTACCGCGTTCGTCTTTTGGGGTCTTTGCTTTGACGTGGACCGATGAGAGACGTATAGATCTCGATACTGTTTACAAGCATCCTGGGGATATATCGTCCAGTCACAGTAGACCTTTCCATTGATAGACCCGTGATAATGGTAGACTTTTAGAGAGTGGCAAATATGTGTGAGGCTCCCCCGTGTGGGTGAGAGTGGAAATCTAGAATGGTGAATTAATATATTTCCCACGTGAGATGTAGGAACGGTGGGGTTGTTGGTTTCCAATGATTTGGATTAAATCCCTGTAGGGCCCCCGCCGTCTTTAAGGTACAGGAAGGAGGAGATCACAGGATTGGGTAGAAAGATTGTACAATTAGTAGTGTTGGCTGGGGGCTTCTAGACTTTGGTAGTGCGGGTGCTAAGTTAGGGCATGGAGAATGTTCGGACAAGCTACAACCTTCCGCCCTATCAAATGATTCAGACCCGTCGTTCCACGGCCGAAGGATTGCGTTGAAAGAGAATCCACTGCCTGTCAAGTTGTCCCAGACCTGATTCTTGGGACCTATCAAGAGAACCGGAAGTGTTGAATTCCATTTGAGATGAAGATTTTGGGCAACTAGTATCGACGCTAGGGCAAGAAGTGGTGCGGGTCACGGGACCTGATTGGGTGGCTATTGCTGCCGACACTGAGTGGAGATTTGGAGATCTGCAGGAGGAGAAAGAGCAGCTGTCGTGGGGCCGCGGAATTCGTCTGAAAACAAGATTTCCAGAATCATTCGGCGCGACTTCATTTCCTTAAGATGCGCCTGTACCAATTCGGGGTACTGCCGCTCCCACCACCATCTATAGTCGAGGAAATCTGCACGTTATTATATATCTAACGCCACCCTTCATGCCTCTATCGCCTACCATTTTGCCGCGCCATTCCGACCCCCGATCCATCGGCCCGCGACTCTTCTCTTTATGTCCGATTCGAAGTCATCATCGTCCTCGCCTCGTCCCCTTGCACCGGCTCCTGGTCAACCCCCGAGACGAACTAGTTCTAGTGACGATGTAGTCCGTGGGCGGAAACACAAGACTACTGCCTGTAGGGCGTGTAAGCTAAAAAAGCTCAAGGTGAGATTGTTCTCTGCTCGATCGCGTTTCTTCGTCGTCTTCTCGCCCCCTCTGCCTTTTTTTTTTTTTTTTTTTTTTTATGTTTCTTGATAACTGGGACTATTGGAAACCGCCTTTGGTCGATCAGAATGCCAACGTCACGGCTGATGTTGGTAGTGTCGAGGTGATCCACCGTGTGAGCATTGCACCCTCAATGGCATTGAATGTGTTGTGGATGAGATGGCGGATATGCGTCGAAAGTTTGCCATGAAGCGGAAGCTGGACCGACTGGAACAAGCGGAGGACACCTTGCTACACTTAATAGGTGCCTTACGAGGGAGTGAAAAGACACGGATCGCACAATTATTGAACCTGATCCGGAGTAATGCTTCCTTCGATGAGATTGCAGTTTTCTTGGAGCAACAGTTTTCTGGAGCTGAGATTGCAGTTTTCTTGGAGCAACAGTTTTCTGGAGCTGAGATTGAAAGATCACCCGAACTGCGCGAGTTTCAGCGTCAGCTCTCCCGACCTTCAGATGAGGATGACGACGACGGGAACGAGGGTAATGCACCTCGGATTCCCCGGCGGATGCTCGAGGTGCGCCGCCTCGTCGATATTCCCGTCTACAAGGTTCCCGCGAAGCCCTGGACGACGGTCACAGACGATGACGATCTGGTGTCACACTTGGTGTCCTTGTGGTTAACATGGACGTACCCGTGGTTTGACTGGCTAGATAAGGATGCCTTCATTCGCGATATGCAGGCGGGGAATTTGAACTGTCGGTTCTGTTCGCCATTTCTGGTGAATGCCATTCTTTCCGAGGCGAGTGTACGTAGAGTAGTTTGTACTATTCAAATCCAATACACGAAGGATTTTATTGATCGGTGCAACTCGTCAGTATTTTTCCGACTACGCCGAAGTTTTTACCGTCCCTGGCGATATGTTCTCTCGCGGCGACCACTTTTACGAGGAAGCCCGGCGATTGCTCGAAGTAGAGGACGAGGAGGTCCCCAGCAGTATACCGACTATACAAGGCCTTGTTGTGCTATTTATACGGTCAGTTCCGGATGGTTTTTACTGCGGGTTCTTGGCTAACATATTCCAGACTTGTTTTGATGGGTAAAGATCGCGTGGGGTGGATGTATATGGAACTCGCTGTGCGAGCCGCGAAGGAGTATGAATCTTCGCACCCACCTCTTCCGATCGACACGGAATCGGTGCGACAGATCGAGAACGTGATCAACCGAACCTTGTGGGGAGTTTACAACTTGGCTTCGTATGTGAAATCTCCCCATGCCGAAAGACAAAGCAAGCTGACGGCTGAAGAACGGCCGCAGTGTCCTTAATGAAACACATAGATATCAGCCCCCCTCCGCGACCGCGTGTGCCTATCAACCATGAAGATCCCCTCGATGTATGGTCTCCCTATCCTCAGCTGGTACAACCGGTACGGGGTCACCATAATTGCGTATTCGACCGGTGGTGTGACTTTTCTTGCATCACGCTCCGAATCAGCCAAGCTCTTCATGATCCTGATAACAGTCCACCCCAATGCGAGATCCCAGCTGTCATCAATGACATATACCAGCAGCTACAGGTTTGGTACGCGAATTTACCGGAATGCCTACGCCTGGAAAATGCCGAGGTACCACATGTTTTGAGTTTACAGTAAGTCTACTCGATATATCAGCTGCGTTTATTATTATTCTTCTTCTTTTCCTACTAACCTTCGCCGTCTAGCCTGTTTTACCACACAAATGTCATGCAAATCTTTGGATTCCTCCAATCAAATAGTGGCGACTTTATAGCTCCAGAAACTGCGAAGAACGCCAAAGACCTCTGCCTCTCGACAGCTAGACGCATCGTCCAGATTCTCAGTATCCACCGCGAGAAATGGGGCATCGACCGGCTGGCCCCTTCCACCGTCCAGTGGACAAGTATCGGTCTTTTTACTCTTCTCGAAGCCCTCGACTCACTTGAAAATCGAAAGGCGTTCATTGAACTTTGTATTTTTGCCCGGGCTATGTCCCGACGCTTTGCTCTGGCCAAGGGCATTCTTCGCATGATCCAAGTAACCGCACAGCAGACGGAGGTATCCTTGCCGACGGAAACAGATGCCCTCTTCCTGGATTTTGAGACACAGACGTGGCGTGAAAAGGATTCCCTGTCGTTTAGTAGTTTCTATCCACACTTTTCGACAGTAATCCGACAGGGAAAGGTTCGACAATCTGACGTGAGTATGGATCGGTTTCTGGAGAAATGGGATAATCTTAATATTGGCGACGGACCCCCCCAGAGGGAAAGGGAAGAGTAAACCATTGTGAGATAAGGGTGGTTGATTTATGTGTTATGACCGTCAAACTAGCATCAAGAACTTGCGCGATTGTACAGCGCTTTAATAGACTGAGGAATTACCAGCGCCACATAGCTTCTATCGCCCTTTTTTCCGTTCTCTTATATTTTCTCTCGACATCCATATTCCCTAACCTAGTCTGTCATCTCTCTCTCTCTCTGTGATAATCTCGCCAACTCTCTTACCTAAACCATAGCAAGCCCTTCCATAGTAGAGAGCAAGTTTCTAGGCCTATGGCAAAAGTACAAGTTCTTCCATTTTAGGAAATCATTTTGACATCATAAGCGATGGCCACCAAGCTCGCTGATTGGCCCACTCGCTTAATGCCAACTCCACATAAAACCCCAACACCATAACAAACTGGAAGTAGGCTCTATACAACCTCCAATAAAATGACCCTCAAAGCAACCTCCGTAAATAGACCCTACCTGCATATCTCCCAAGGCCAAACTACAATGGAAGAAGAAAAAAGACCACCCCTGCCAACCCGACCCTCCCAAACCCTCAAGGAAAACCCCACCCCCACCACCACCACCACCAAGGACCCCTATCTCAACGACACCAGTAAACATCAAGACCAAGACCAACATGACCACAATGAACCGGATTCAAATCCTTCACCACCAGCATATACCCCAACAGTCCTAATTCAAAACCAAACAACCCACTCCGCCTACCGACCCTCCTCCATCCTCCCCAAACCAGTAGTCATACCCCGTACGTCTTCCCCCTAGTCTCAACCTCCATCCTCTATCTATTCAACCTCCTCCCGAAAAAAAGAAACACAAAAACTAACAAAGAGAAAATAGAAACATCCCACTCCATCCACGGTACAATCTACCGTCCCTTCGCACGGGCCTACCCGCCCGCCCTGGAGCGCCACGGAATCACCAAAACAGATTTCTTGGCCTTCATCGACGGCCTCAACGAAGTCTGGGTAGCGAATCCGTACATCCAGGCTATTAGCACGACCAGTAAGGCCGCGGTCTTTGTCCCGGTTTTGCAGGTCCAGATTGCTGCGCTGGGGGTGGCTGCTGCGGCGGAGTATGGGTCGGTGAAGGTTTCGCAGAGGCGGACGACGGAGTATATGCGGGTGGCGAATGAGGAGTTATTTCGGCCGAAGGGGTTGCGGGTGCATGTGCTGAAGACGAAGGTGATGATGGCTGAGGTAGGGATTCCCGGGGATGTGTTGGAGTTGGGGGAGTGTGGGGGAAGGGATGAGGAGTTTGGGGATCTGGAGGATGTTGGGAAGGGGAAGGGGAAGTATGATCCGCAGTTAAGGAGGGTGGAGGCTTTGAGGGAGTTTGTTTGTCCGGTTGTTTATGAGGAAGGAGGAGGGGTGGGGAAGGAGAATTGGATTACGAGGGCTTCGGACAAACAGGAGAGCTGGCTTGCGGAGAGGCAGAATAGTTCGATTGTTGGGAAGAGGGAGAAGGCTGGGAAGTTGATGAGTGAGGCTGATGAAGCGGAGCGGCTGATTGGTCTGAAGATGGAGGAGGTTGCCCGTGCGAAGATGGCTGCTGAAGAGAGGGCTAGGGAGAGAATGGACGGTCCGTTGGGGGAGTCGCTGCAGGGGAGGAGCATGATTCAGGATGATTTGGCGAAGGAGATGAAAAAGCTGGACAAGCAAATGGAGAAGATTGTAAGGGAGAAGGAGAAGAAGGTTACGAAGATGAAGCAGAAGGGTGAACGGCATCTGCAGAACGTGGAGAAGAAAGAGAGTCGCATTGCCCAGAAGGTGATGTGGGTGGTGGTGACGGGGGATGATGGGTCAGGCTTTCAGAACCATCTTTGTGAGGAGTTGGGGGATGCTTGATATACTGCGTTTCATATATTGTGATTGGAACATTGGCATATACCCTTTGCGTGATATACCTCCGTGTAATACTAATGGAATTCTATTCTATTTTACATATGTGCGCTGTGCAGATTGGATGTGCAATCACAGAACATATCTGAAGAACGGGTTCTGCTTATCGGTCAGATCATGGAACGCCAACTTATCCCGTTGGCTCTCATCGAGGTCCACCTGGTCCCGGCGCCGGTTCTCCCTCCAGAGGACCAGATACAACGCTACAGCGGCAGCAATGGTGATGCAATAGCAGATTACCATTCCGGTCCACAGCTCCGGATAATGCTGGTCCACGGTCTTGCTATTCACAAGCTGTGGTCCGATGATGTTACCGACAGTGTAAGCGACAAACACCGTGGCAGCCATGATGGTTTTCTTCGTAGCACCTGCCACATTGCTGGCCCCAAGGGTAATGATTAGACTGACAACCGGTCCGAAGAACCCCGTCAATGCGTAGCCCACAACGGGGGCTGCCGGTTGGTATCCCCATTCAGACTTCCATATGATGACACATCCAGCGATGACAGGAAGACAACAAGCAATGAGCATGGGGATACGTGTGTTTGGGATGCGTGAAGAGATGTAGCCGCAGAGTGGGATGAAGATGACGCAGACACCCCCAACCGGGAATTGGAATAGGATTGACTCGAGTGTGTTAAAGCCAAATGTTGATACGATGAGGGGACCGAAACCGGAAATAGCGCCGTTGATCGTATACCTAGTGATCTGTGAGAATGGTTTCATTTGATGCTGTGGCAGATACTCACGCAGCAGCCATCATTATCGCAACAAGGTATAGCTTCAGGTCCAGGAATGACTCTTTAATGTGGTCCCACTTAATCTTTTGGCATCGCACACCCGTCTGGCCTTTCCGCAGTCGTTCTACTGCGACAACTCGTTCCTCCGGGGTCAGGAACCACGCGGAGACAGGCGAGTTGGGCATAATACAGCACCATAGTCCGAACAAGAATGTGAGCGCGCCGGCAAAGATATAAATGTATTGCCAACGTTTTAGTGCGCCCGAGCTGATCTGGCCGAAAGCGTAGTTCAGGGCACCGCCGATGATAGTGAACCACCCAGTACCAGAGAACCACCATGCTTGACGCATGGCCTGCTCCTTCTGAGTATAATAGCTACTCACGATGGTCATGAAGCCCGTGGGAACTACGCTCTCAACAAAACCTGAAAGTCTGTCAGAGATATGGACTACTGGCAAAAAGTGACGAGATTTATGACATGGGAAGAAGCATACCTAGGAAAAATCGCTGCGCGAACAACCCCTGCCATGTCTTTACACCTGCCGTAGCGGCACAGGTAATAGCCCACACCATCACAATGGGGCCGAATACATATTGCGTTTTGAAGCGCTGGAGGATAAATGTCATCGGGTACAAACCGGCCAACATTCCAAAATAGAAGATGGAAGTCGCCCAGCTGAGTCGCGATGTGTCCTTTGAGGGGGGAGATGTGGTATGATCGATGACAAGTAGCTCCAGATCAGTTGTCATACCGAACAGGGAGGCACTCCCCAATATAGCCTGGGTCAGTCAGCTAGGACTCTTGTTAGACTATTACACTGATCACAACTGACTTTGTCCCAGTACACAAATCCATATCCTGAATCTCGTTAATGACAGTACATAGCTCGGACCTGTATTAGACGCTTACCTATTAACATGGCTGGCATGAAAAATAGATCGATCTTGCGCAGCACACGCTTCTCAACTGCAGGGTCGATTTCCTGCGCTTCGTCGCTCACCACCGCCAATGCGGCATCCTTGTCAGATGTCGGGGCATCTGGAGACGAAGGGGGCTCTGCCGTAGCGCTCGGCACTTGAATCATCTTGATAATGAGCGTGTTGCTAGAACTTCGCAAGGAACATTCTGAGGGCAAGATTCTTCTCGATAGCCGTTGAGAGGGAAAAAGAATTTTCCACGGATTCAGCCAGTGACATATGAACTTAGTATGACTTCGGTGAGAACACTAAACACTAATTAACGGGGGTTTACGAGGTCGATGGGGAATATGGGGACATTTTACTGGCCCAAGGAAATGCCAAAGCGCTGATTGAGTGGTGCGGAGGACTCAGTTCCTGAGGCCACATTTCCTATTCGGGACTAGCTTGGGGTTAGTATCCAGCATTTGAATATCAGACTGATATTAGGATCGGCCCTATGAAAACAAGCATACTGTCAAGTACGGTTGATGGATCTCTGCTTAGTGCTTCGATGTTCACATTTGAGAAACAAGAGAAGAACCGATTGACCAGACCTTTGGTGAGAGAAGTAAGAAACATTCCCCAGGAGATAGAAATGGTTAACCTGATAGTGGACAGAGGTAGTAGGCTGGATAGATTAACCTTGGGCTAAAGAATGTCGCTTATGATGCATGTAACTGTGTCCAGCCTGGACCCTGGAGGATAATCAACGTGTCTGTGGCATTATCAACAGTTGTGTGTATGCTATGAGGTAAGACTATCGAATGGTGACTGCTCCGCGGACATACTAGCCACATCTAGTAACCCGTACCGCGGACATTCCGCAGCTTTTGAAGTATTTAAAGCCACCCATGGACGAACATGATAAACACTCAGTCAGCAAAACTACCAATGCGAACACAGATTCTAAGAAGAATGTCTGATCATCGAAAGGTATGTCTGAACTTATAAATCGATTATCCCTTTACCAACCGTCCCAGGCAATCATTATCGGAGGAGGTCCTGCAGGTCTCTCGACCGCGCTCCGTCTCCACCAAACCACGAATATCAAATGCAGCATTTATGAACTGCGACCTGAGCCGACCACCCTCGGCGGCGCAATCGGCATCATGCCTAATGGCCTCCGACTGTTCTCCCGTCTAGGTGTCTATGACGCTCTTCACGCGCGAGGTAGCAGCCAAAGTAACCTCGTCATTCATTCCGCACAAGGCGGGATTGTAGGCGAACAGAAGGACATGGTCAGTTACGCACGCGCGCAGACAGGTTTTGGGTATCTTCGAATAAAGCGAACAGATCTCGTAGATGTTCTTCTGGATGCGGTGTACAATGCCCAAATCCCCATCTATTTCAACAAGCGGCTCACCACTATTGACGACAATGGTGACTCTGGCGTGACCGTGAGGTTTTCCGACGGTAGCGCTGATAAAGCAGACATCATAATCGGATGCGACGGTATTCACTCTTGTGTGCGCCGTCTATACGTTGATCCCGACCAGAAGCCTGAATACTCCGGGTTTTCGGGCTTGTTTTCGCTTGTTCCCACGTCGAGGTTGTCTTCCTCTACCGCAGCCCAGCTTTCGGGGATCGGTGCAACATTGACAGAGCAAGGGATGTTTATGGTAATGCTCGCCACGGCAGCTGGAGATGAGGTAGCTTGGGGTTTGTCGCAGGAGGTCCCGTTGCCGGACTCCGGGGATAGTCGAGATGGGTGGGAGGTGTATCGGCAGAAGGAGGTGAATGAGTTCAAATCGAATATGCATCAAATATTGGAAAAGGTGCATGGAAATTGGGGAGACTTACTCAGACAACTTGTTGACAACACCGACGGTATACAGTTCTATCCGGTTTACCGACTGCCACTTGGCGGTACTTGGTATAAGGGTCGGTGCGTGCTTCTTGGTGATGCGGCGCATGCAATGCAGCCACACGCGGGACAGGGCGTCTCTATGGCGCTGGAAGACACGTTTCTGCTTGCTCGCTTACTGGAGGACCCAAGTCGGCCTGTGGTGGAGGTGTACAAGAAATTCGATGAGATCAGGAGACCCCGAGTGAACGAGATCTACAAGCTCGCTTCCCGAAACGTGAAGGCGCGGAAGACAACAGGGCCTTGGGTCTTGTGGTCGAAGGAAGTTGTGGTTGGCATGGCGTTTTGGGCTTCTTGGGCTTTAGGGTTGGAGAAGTGGGGATGGGGACAGAAGCATATGGCCTATGACATTGATACGGAGGAAATTTCAGAAGGTTCAGGCATTCGCTATTAATTTTCATAGCCATGTATTTCTTTTACTGCTTTAGGAATATTTGATTAGCGTTTACATCCTATTTCGATAGTCCTAATTCACACAGCGGTATTTTGCTAACGCACCGGCATGATCGCTTAGACAGTGGAAACATTCTCGACAGAGGAAGCAGACACACAAATACGCAGGGTTCTCCTCACTGAATGGCTTGTTCAGAGGAAAGTCTACCGCTCCATAGCTACCAATAGCCCTGCAACAAAAACACGGCGCCCAGGGTGGATCCTTGTTTATTGAGGAAATAAATTCCCCTGACGTCAAATATCCAGCCACCAAGAACCTAAACAGCAGTCCAGCGCCATGTGGCGTCAAGCCAACAACGCTTTCTGAGACCTCTCTCGCGCTAATTCCGTGTCACTTCAGCTCTCAAGGGCCTGTGCACTTGTGCCACCCGAGAGCCTGAGATCGCGTTTTGTTTTCCCCCATGGATACACGTCGTCTATAATCGACCGAAGTTTACCAACAAAGTTCCGGTACCAGGCTCCATCCTTGAAGCCAAACATCACTCTAGACAAACAATTAGATTAGGGCGGAAGTCTTGGTATAAAATGGTATAGCAAGGGGGAACAACGCACAACATGCCATCAACGCGGCGGACACGGTATACCTCACAGGGGAAATCAGGACCGAGCTTGCCAGAATATTTGCTTGCCTCGAGATCAATCACAACATGTAGTTTTGGGTCGACTTGGGGTATATCAGGGTTAGGAGGTTGAATGTGGATGAAATGACGGCCGGTATCAAGTTCCTCAATTGAGCGACCGTTCTTTTCAAGGTACAGTCGAACGGGCTCGTAGAGATCTGCTTCGTCGAGGTCCGCTTCTTGCAGGCGTAGAATTACTCGCTTTGGCTGATCCATCTTGGTATAAGGGAAGAAGTTGTTAACAAAAGACTGTACAATTTGCCGGGGGAAGTCATTGCTCTTATGTTGTTGGCGATCAATGTTTGCTTCGTAGGAGATCAGCAAAGAAAGGCCAACGAAGTCGATACGTTAGACAAAATCTTTTAATTGGGCCAAGGACACAATGAGACAAGAGTAGCTAAACACATGAATATCCCTCTGCATCCCAATCTCATTGGCTGGTCCTGTGTGACCAATCCAAATGATCCCCCATTCATGTCCTCCATGAGGTTGTCGCTCCTTAATACTAGAGATCAGATGCACACTATATTCTAGAGTTGTCAGTACTGAGTGCCTAAGTCATTCCAATTACTTACGTGAAATTCAAACGATGAACATAAGCTCGGAGCCTTCCGAGCTGGGCGGCGTTTCGCCCCTACAGACAGGACATGGGCCGTCTAAGTAATCATTCTCTATATCGATGACACGGTCAAGGTCACGCAGTCGGCCATTTGGTGGCAAGCATAGCTGTCGATTTGGGCGCCGAAAAGCAGCGCTGCAACGTTGGTAGTCCCTAGCCACTGTATGGCCGCAACCGCGACGACCGTTATATCGCTCGCAAAGTAGCTCACACATTCGCAGATAGGAGTAGCACTAGGTCGTTGGATAAGTATCCTTCACTACCACTCCTAACTTAAACACGAAAAAGAATTTGAGCGTTTCTGAGCACTTAGGTTTCTGGATGAGATTATATACATCAGGCAACGCCTACTTCAGGAACGCGAGTATATCGCAAGCATACCACCTCTGTGCCTGCGTTGCAGGCTGACTAGCGTGGTATTGGTCTTGTAACGATTGCATTCGGCGTCATCCAGTTTGGTTATGAACTACCATCCCCTGTCACATTCTCATTGACATAGAGCTTGCAGGTTGCAAGCGCGAGGCTCAAATTGGCCAGATGTAGGAGCGTCCACCTGTGGAATATTCTCCGAGTGTAAAAGCCTACACTTCGTGCAATTATAAGTGGCAGAAAAGGGTCGGTTCACTGGTATTCCATATATTGTTGGCGTGGTCAATCACACCGTACCTCAGCGGCCAGCACACCTAGTTGGTCAGCAGGGTTTCATCATGCCGTAGCTTACACAAAGCGCGAGCGAGTGCTACAGGCCAATACTATCCCTAATAACATACTTTTGTGACACGGAGTGTAACCAACCACGAAGAGGTTAACCGGGTCTTCCCTCATGGACGTATTAAGCGTTTGCTAAAGTCTAGCCCACAGGGCATCGATAGACGGGGACGGGACGGGACGATGAGCTTGTCCTGCTGTGGTTAATAGTGATTGGCCACTGGCTCTCGAGTACTGCAGAGTCTCATCTACTTGGGAGCTGTAAGGGCGAGAGCGAGAGCGATTCGCAGGGCAAGCAGGTGTAACTTGAGTATGGGGGAAAGAGACCACTTGAAAGCCCGTCTAATATATACTCAGAAACCAAATATATTTTCTAAGCCAAAGCATTTATCATCTTTAGGTGCATTCACCGAAGTGGAAGTCCATATCATCCAACAAGGAGTTCCACTGCAGGATGTCGAGGTCGGGCGCGACCGCTAGAAAGTCTGACCATAGCTGGTCCCATTCTTCCTCTCGGAACCCTGCCTCAGGTGGAATGTTCCTCTGAGGAGCCGCATTGCCAACTAGAGTTAGATCCTCGGTAGCTGACGATTGCACCGTATCTGTTGTATGACTGGGTATAGATGTACCATGAAGGTCTCGCGAGTACTCGTTGTTCTGAGGGGTTCCACTGGCTGACAGATGGGTATCTTTACCGATTCCCGTAGGATCCCCTGATTGTGAACCAAGGAGTTGTGGTCGCTGCTTGTGGAGGGTTGACATAAGAGTCTGCATATTTTTCTGGATTGTCTCTACCAGAATATTTGACTCTTCCTTCGACTTCTCGAGTGTTTCGTAAGCACTAAGCACTTTAGCCTTCCGAGCCTCCGCATCTGGTGCGTCAGGGTTAAATGAAACATCGGTAGCTAAAATAAGGGCGGCGAGAAAACAATGCTGGTTTGCCGTCCAGAAGCGCCCTGGTTTCAATCCGATCCGTGCACCAGCATCGTCCATCAAGCGTCGCAGCTCTAGCACTTTCTGCGCAGACTGTATACATGTGCGATGGGAATAGGCGTATCTTGGGTTTGTTACACCTTCAAGGTGGTAAGGTCGGTGAAGCCGACAAAGGCGCGTATGGAGACTAAAATGCAGGCTTATTCGCTGAACAGGGATATGGGGACGCTCTTCACATATTTTCTGGCTTTGTTCAATGCTGTCGGGGTCTAGTTGAAAGAAGGTTGGAAGGTCACTTAGGAAGTTCTGAAACCTCCTGTCTAGTTCTAGGATTGTTCCGTATTCCGGCTCTTGTGCCTCTAGCCAAATTGACGGCATCGCATCGACGACTTCGCGGCAAAGAGTAGCTAGCTTCACACGGTAGATGAAGGCGGACAGTGCGGAGGGTTGCGATAAGGGAGGGTCCTGCAGTATGCCTGCTGGGGTAATAAGCTCGTCGTCAACATTAGTGGGATAATTGACCATCATGTGCTTTGGCTGGATCAAGTATGCTCCTTCCTGGGGACCACCAGAAAATGAGTTTAGCCTTGGCTCGTTAGTGATAAGTTCAAACTCAATGTATACTGGACTCACCAGTCGCTCGCCACCATATTCCACCAGATCCGTCTTTGGACTTCGAGCTCAATTGGATCATATCCTTTTAGCTTTCTTTGTTCGCAACTTTTCGGGGTATCTAAACGATGGATCTGCATTGCGCGCGCCATGGTGAAGCAACGGAAGCGAATTAATGGAAGTTTGTAAGGATAACCATCAGAATTGCCAACCATATGTGACAAAGTAGCCATAGCGGCGAGTGCAGTAGTGGAGGGCTCCATGGGCTGAGGATAATCCAAAATCGATATTGCAAGGCGTGTGTATACCTTGAAAGCTGCTTGCGCTTCTGTTGGCGTAGCGTTCAGCTTATTCAAAAGCTGAGGTGTCCAGGCAAGCATCGAGCCAGCAAATACACTGAGAAGCAACAGCAACCTAGCAGCGTCTAGCCTCGGGCCCTCAAGCATAGTCCGATAAGCCTGTTCCATTAGCTCTTTCGTAGAAGGTACATGGAGGACCCCAAACGTAGGCCCAATAGTGACTACGAAATGGTTGAACAACTCCCTAGCCTCGTCTATATCCGGGAGATGTCTAGCTATGCTTCTTGTATCTAGGTAAGTTTCATTGTGAGAGTTTCGGGCGTGGGAATTAACTGAAGTAAAGCTAGTAGGGGAGATATGTTCCTCCTATGGAGTCACAAATGTTACGATTTGTTTCCCAAACAATACATGGTAAATCACACATACATTGCTTGCTGGGGATGCCCGCGGGTGATGCTCTGCCCCAATTGGATTATGGAAGACCGCTTCCTCTAGCTTGTGGAGGCGATACAGCACCTCTTCTGGGTTACTTCCATGATATAGTGAGCAACAAATCCAACCAGGGGAATACGAGCAACTCACAGAGAATCAGGCACTGCTCGTGAGATCGCCGAAGCGGCCGGTAGACTTGGGGCGCCCCGGCATTGGTTCATGTTTGTTGCTATTACAGATCCATGTTCCCCAGGTAGCTGGTTACGTTCCCTTTGCCCGGCATATTCGCACTGTATATCTCTGTGTGTGCAACTGGAGCAGGGCTGGTTGCGATCGCACCGACGCTTTTTCTCCCGGCAAGGTTTGCACGACAGAGGTGGCCGGTTCCACCGATGAATCATCATTACAGGGGTTCCACTGTGATTTCGTTTCATGATTCGACGTCTCACTAGAAAGACATGAGATGGATGCCAGAAGAGGCGTAAAAGTCCGCGGGTTGTTATTCCTAGATGAGGCTAGTGGCTCCGTTTGCTCCGCGGACATGAGTGGAATATTGTTTGTCCGGTTAAGTAATGTATATACAACTTCTTTTGTTTCTCATTATTCTTCCACTTTTTCCTTCTCGTAGATCAGAATTTATTCTGGTAACTCAGTTGTATTATACTATTCATCATGAGTACTCGGAAGTACACTTCCCAGGTCTTCTCGTGACTTAAGTGCGGTTTCAACATGCAACACACTGACACGACCCCCCAGAATCCTGACCTGTATACACCTTCATTCCTAAATGTCCCCTCCAATACTAGTAAAGTGGAAACTAGATTATCTAATAGCCGTTCGTCGTTGATGTCACTGTATTTACAAGATTGTTACAAATAAGCTAATCGCAATGATCTCGTTCTCTCCCATCAACAATGGATATTGACATATATATATATATACCAGCTACCATTTGTCGTTGCTGAAATTCCTGCTTCTTATGTACTAGTAACGGGAACATCGGCATTTCTTGAATACTCGTATCCGGCCACTTTCTCATCTAAATGATGAAGTATTTATCTTTGTTTGTTACTGAACTGTGATAAAAGTTGTTAGGGCTCCTTCAGGATGTATGACGTCAGGGGAGCTGGAGCGGAATATAGATTCCGCTGGAGGATTAATGAAACTCGGCGGAAAATCTAGAGGCCCGCTTTGCACACCACGTGCGTTATTTGGTTTCTAGTCAGGTCAACAAAGATTCGTCTGGGGCCTGGTATAACTATGACCGATAGGAATCCCCCACCAAAGAGTGCCAGTGGTCCGAGCCCTAAATCGGGCTCAAGGCGGAATTTATCCTCCGCCCCGGGGAAGGCGGGAGGGAGGAGCAGATATGCCACACGAGCTTGCCAGGAGTGCCGTCGACGACGTGCAAAGGTGAGTTAATCTCTCTATCCAGCCAGGTAGTTTCACGCCTTTTGCTTGCGGCCTGCTGACACTTAACAGTGTGACGGTAATAAGCCGTCGTGCTCTCGATGTCTTGACCGCCAGTTACCTTGTATTTATGCTACGGATGATGATGGCCGGGGAACGGCTCCCAAGACATATGTCCGACAGCTACAGGCACGTATCAACATTCTGGAGCGGATACTCTGGCTCCACTCTATCGATGTTGATGCTTCTGCGGCTCAGTTACTGGAACAGAACGTCATCCCGAATACCACGTCCTTGACTGCTGGAGGCTCTTCCTCTGCCTTTGACCAGCTCTGTACTGCCTTTGAGGGCACACTTTATCTAGATGACTGCCTTAATTTCGACAGTGATGGCGAGGCTCGTTACTTCGGTTCGACAAGTGGCCGAACCGCGTTCCAAGGGTGTAATGGTGTGTTAGAGTTCCAAATCACCGATCACCTACACATAACCACAGTGAGCGAGTGAGACATATGACTAATAGTTATAGTACAGAATCACTGGAGCATCCTAACCTTGGAAACCATCTTGAAGCGCCAAATATGTACACCCAGGCGCTTTCCAACGAGACTCAGGTCTCCGAAGAGCTCGAATCCCATCTGCTTGAACTGTTCTTTGCTTGGCAAAGTCCATTTTGCCAAGTTGTAGACGAAGCTCTTTTCCGCGACAGCAAGGCAAATAACGGGAGGTACTTTAGTCCGTTGCTGCTTAACTGTATATTGGCTTGTGCATCCCGCTACTCCGATCGAGTCGAAGTGCGGTCGGACCCTGAAGATTCTAATACAGCTGGTCGTACCTTTCTGGAAATTTCGGAAGCCCTTCTGTATTTTGACCTGAAGCGCCCTAATATAACCACACTTCAATCTCTCACCGTGTTGGGAACAGTATATGTGGTGAGTCGACTCTGTACAAAGAGACCTCTGGTTTGACTTAATCTGACATAACAAGGCTTCCGGCTACGATGCCGCTGGCTGGCTATCTCAGGGCATGGCTAATCGACTGGTACTGGACATGGGGCTTCATTTGGATTCAAACATACTGAAGAGCCCCAATCATATAACTGAGACCGAAGCTGAACTTCGGAGGCAGATATACTGGTCTCTCTATTGTGACGATAAGTTGGCTGCTAGCTATACGGGCCGGGTTTGCACTATGCTTGTAAGATATCTTTTTATCCCTCTCCGGCCGGGGAATGACCGTCCCATCATCCTCATCATCTTACTGAGCTTCCCTAGGATTTCCAAGGAGTGGTAGGCTTGCCATCCCTACCTAGTCCAATCGATCAGCCTGATCAACACTCTACTTCGACTCCGGTCAGCCGAACTCTGCTGGTTCACTTCCAAAGATCTCTCATTGCCCTCAGCCAGATATTAGAAAAGATTCATCTTAACCTGTAAGTATGCAACTACGATTCTGGGTTAATATTTTAACTAGTTCGCTGACACTTATATGCAAGGTATGCCCCCAAAAAGCTCGCCCATGGCGGCCAAAGGCGAAGCTTTTTCGACTCGTGTCTTCTTGCTCTCAAAACCTGGTGTTATGGTTTGCCACCTGAGCTCAAACCCGTGAGGTCGGGGACACCAAATAAGTTCCCCCAGGCCTACACGCTATGCATGATCTACAATACAGCCATTATTCTTCTCACAAAGCCATATCTCGCAGATTCAGCATCACGACGGTCTCCCAGCCCACAACAGCCGGTACAACAACCACTTGATAGCCTTGCTCAAAAGGCTTCTGCCATTCAACTTGAGGCTGCAAAGCGGACAGGCTCACTCGGCGAACAATATCGGGAGGTGTTTGGTAGTTTCCGGAGGAGCCCCATAACAGCTACCTACTGCAGTCTTTCTGCTGCTCTGGCACTCCTCAATCCTCACCCGCAAGGCACGCAGGATGCATGCCGCAGCGATATTGATATGGACAAGGTGAATTCATGTCTCAAAACACTCCAGGAGCTGTCTGAATCGTGGGTACCTGCTGGCAAGTACCATTGTAGTCTCATGCGAATGATACACGGCCCTGACGCCACGGTGCAACAAGCATCTCCTGGGAAGGTTAACGCCGCTTCCGACGAGGCATACGTACCATCCTGGAGCCAAGCATATAACCGGAGCCCGATTGGTTTACCTGAAGGAGGATGGGACCAGATTGGCGCTGGACTTGACTGGTCGATGTGGACAAACTCAGGCTTGGCGAATGACTCTTTGACCCCTGGTGAGCAAATACCTGGGCTGTTGGATTTGCCGTCGTGGCTGCATGAGGAGATGGATAGCAGTCTTAGTGATCTATCATGGGAGAATCCTATGTAAAGATATACATTTGTCTCTCGTACTCAATGACATATGCTCTTATGATACCAGAGATAGTAGTAAGATATAAATGAAAGGGCCTGTGCGGTTAAAGCAAATGCATTAAAGCTACGTATTGCCAAGGGGCTGTAGTAGGTGTTACTTCGATTTGAAAATACAAGGTGATACCGATAGCTATGATTCATAATACTTGTGTGCACTGGGAAACCGCAGATCCCCTAGTCATGGAGGATGGTGGAATGCTTCTCAATTTCAATTTCATTCAGCTGCGTACAGAGCCAACACAGTGATTGCTCGGGCCACAAAAGTCATTTTAGCTCTTCGGGCACGTTGACAGTCCAGGAAGGGAGCGCATTCGCTTTTGTAATACTCAGTAAAAGATAGACTTGAATATTGACATCAATAACCCCTCTTTGGGTCAAATATCCCCAAGCTGTACGCGTCGATCTGGAGTTTTACACCGTGCCTTGACCTGGCGATAGTAAATGACGACTTGCTCAATACACAAACCTGTTTCTTTGGCCTCTTTTACCTCATTGGAGGCGGCTGAGAGCACCAGATAATGACAGACTCACAGCTAGGAACATCATTTCCTCCGGTATTCTTGGTATGTGTACTGACAGGGTCACGACAGAGCTCTTCGATAATCTGGTGCAATCTATAGGTCCTGCAGACACTTCAAAGATGTTGTAGGATAGCCCAAGCCCAAGCGGAACTCCGGCTGTGTGCCCAAACAGAGCTTGACTCATGAGTGAGTTCGGATCAGAGGAGAATCAACATTACTGGCGGAATTTATGCCATAATCATCGTGTGGAAGGCGGGCAGCAGCCACATTGAATATTTTCGTCTGGTTAAGAAAATAGCAGTTAGGACATCTCCATATTCTTGAGGTTAGGGTGAAAAGGTATTCGTGAATAGGAAGAATGAGAATCCATAATTATAGAGCACAATAAATCTATTAAACCCAGTCTCCCTTCCTCATCACCTCCCCAGTCCATTTCTTCAACATCTCTGCAAGCGTCCCATCATTCACCACACCACTCTGCCATCTCGGGTCGCGAAACCGCCGAAAAATCTCGAGATACGTGCCGCTCTGCTCCGCCTTCATATCCCGACTCGCCACACAGAACAAACTGGTCCACGACCCCTTATTCGCAGGCCATATCAATCCAAACATGCGTAAGACCGAGAAAGCACACAATAAACCTGAGCCAGAGTTCCCAACCAATGTCGCGGGGTTCGTCTCAACCAGACCTGGATGCACGGACGAAACCCAGATCTCGCCCTCCCCGTTCCGCGCACTGGGAGAGCCGGGGCCGTACGTCTCGTGCAGGATCTTGGCGTGCAGGATATTGGCGAGCTTGCTCTGTCTGTACCGCCCCCATGGGCCGCTATCCTTGAGCGAGAAGTCCTTGAAATTGATGCCACCCTTGGGTGCGCCCAAATGGCCTGATGAAGTGAGATTGACGATGCGCACGCTGCCGGGATGAAGCGTCTTGGTGGTCCGCAGCATTAGAGGAAGCAAGTGCTTCGTAAACAGCCAGTGCGCCAGGTAGTTGGTCTGCCACTGGGCCTCGTGGCCATCTTTGGTCATTTCGAAGGGCGTCGCCATGATGCCTGCGTTGTTGACCAGGCCATGTAGGGCTGTTTCGAGGGTGAGGAAGTGCTTAGCGGCCGCGACGACGCTAGTGAGGTCCATGAGGCCTATTTGCAGTAGGTCAATGTTGGCTGAGGGGTGCATCTTCTTGATGTTGGCGATGGCTGCTGTGCCCTTCTCTGGGGATCGGGCGCACATATAAATGTGGGCACCATGTTCTGCTAGGTGGGTTACGGTGCAATAACCTCTGTTGTTTGGTGAGATCAGCGATTCGGGCTTCGCACTGAGAGGGGAGATAGGAGACTTTACATGCCAGAACTCACGCCTGTGACTATGAATACTTTGCCCTTGAGATCGGGGAGCATGGCAGGTTACACAACAGGCTGTGATACCTTACAATTGGAGAGCCGTAAGATGGCATCAGCCTTATTAGCAGAGCTAAAAGATTATACTATGGCAATCCTCCCAAATATTTCAGAACCCCCTCTTTCCAGAACCTCTCCTCGCATGACACCGGGGATATACGCCTCACCAATCAAAGTCCATGCGTCTTTCGTGCCAGCTTGAAGGTGGCTAATTTTCAGCTTCAAGTCTGATATTTGCTTCTCAAGGGTGGGCCGCATGAATTGCCGTGACAGACTATATTTCCTTTCGGCCGAGTACTCCTTCAACATATCTTCCCTCATCTCCATAGCTTTCACTTGGTGCTTCAGTTCCTCATCGACGTGTCTGAACACGTAAGGAACAATGGCATCTCTTACCAGCATCACCCGATCCCCTTTCCTCAACCAACTAGGCCCCATTCCAATAAGTCCCTCTTGCGTTATAAACAAGCTCCGCCGTTTGAGTTCGAGAGTAAAGGCAGTAACATATTGCTGTGCCTCGGGAGAGATCAATAGCTTCCTTTTCCAAACAAATCTTTTCTCATCAAAAGCAGACTGAAAGGTCTCCAGGAGGTCCCATCGACTGGACGTGGTCTCGTTGAGTGGCGTGGCTGCTGTTGCTACCGCCACACCTTCATCTGCCGTCCCAGACCACGGAAGATCATCAAACCTTTCGTACAGCTGCCAGTAAGCGGATACGAGTCTATCTAGCCTTTTCTGTCGTTCTATACTAGTTTCCTCTGGCCACTCCATCCCTGAGGGCTCAACTCCTCGCGCCAAAGCATACTCGTCGCGGGTCATCCTCAAAAATGTCATCCAGTGGCGCACCTCACTCTCGATAAATTCACAAAGCCAGAATCGCGCATGCTGTTCATTTACGGATGATAATGATATTCTTTCAAGATTTTGGCTGTTGTTGACGCTTAGTCCTGTGCTGCTGGGGAGCGAGAAGAACAGCGAAGATGCTAGGGATATTGCGACCGCGTCGAAGTTTGTCCCACCGCTTGGGAGATGAGCGCGGGGCATCCCGCCAACAGTTTCAAGGAACCGAATGAGGATGTCGATGTACTCCTCTGTCATAAGTGTATGGTCTAAAATTATATCCTTGACTGTGTCAAGGGGTGCAGCCTCAAGGACTAAAGTCCTGCCGTCGCGAGAGATCGTAGGTGATGCACCCGGCTGTCCTAATATACCAGCTGCAAAGGCTGTGCCATCATCACCTGATACTTCTGCTGTATATGCTAGGCTGCTATGTTCAAGGGACTGTAGATATCTGGATTAGTAGGCGCCGTTAACTGTGTTGACAGAGGATAGGGTAAAGTAAAAGTAGACGAGACGAGCAAATGTGAGATGCACTTACACCCCTGGAACCCAAGGCTGGGACCCAAGATGGGAGAATAGGATGAGCGCGAGGCCAAAACCAATTGCCTACGTCAGCAACAATGTCCTCACACGGCCTACGAGCCGCAATGGAAAGTAGATCGAGGTTGTGTTGTCCGTTGTGGGAAAGTAGGCAAGCTGCAACATTGATAAGTACCTCGACTTCGCTGGCTGCATAATCAGCCTTGAGGAAAGTCCATAGGCCCTTGGGTATAGGTAATGATGAGGTTGGGGCTTCTAATGTGGCAGTGGAATGTTCTGCAGTGAATCGATTGTCTTTCTGAGTGTGCGTACCGGCGCTGAGCGGCAGTATAGGTACCTGGGTTTCAAAGCCAGCATGATCTCCCTGCTGAAGACGCTGGTTATCTATCTTCAATGACTCAGGCTGGATCAGAGATAGGCCGCCAAAGACGAAATCCCTGGAATCTTTAGCAAAGCGCCTTCGACATGCCCGAAGCCATTCGCGGAGGGTTAACCGGTGGCCCTGACCAATGGCCTGGTGAGCCAACAAGAAGTTGGGGATGTCATTAATGTGGGCATAGGCTTCTCTCAGTCCAGCCTCCATTGGCAGCTCGGGTGTCATTATAGCACCAGGGTCATGATATACCCATATACAAGCGGTCAGTAAGGCTCCCAAACTAACTTCATGGGGACCACAGAGGAAGTTGACTTTTCTTGCTAAAAGGTATTCTTGCAGTACCCAGACCCGCTTGAACCATTGCCGACCGGAAAGATATAGCGCGGTCATGGCTGTCGCCTGCAAATCCCCACCAGGCCCATAGATCTTGGGCAGTGGTGGTAGTTCACTTGGCATCTTCTTCGCGAGTGTTTCTAAGCTGGGGAGACCCCGAGCTATTTTTGACGAGCAGTCACCGAGCCACACAAGAACAAGCTCAGCAGATTGGTATATTCTACCCATCTTCGAAATCTGAAGTGTTTTTTCTTCTGTATCACTAATAAACCATTTAGTCTCATGCTTCATTTGCCTTTCTCCAGTTAATTTAGACACAGCAGATATGAGGTGTCAGGTACCTTTGGTTTATGCATAACGCGTCAATCCAGTACCAACATTTGGATTGTATGTCTCTGAGTGATACCAAGGCGTCATATAAATTCAACGATATGTTGATTCTGCTGCCATTGCACAGAATAGTCTTGGGACTGCGCTCCTTTCTTTCAGACTCTGGAACGTGCATATCATATACATTCCCTTGATACATCGATTTCATCGTTTCGAACGCCATGAGGGCACTAGCTTGCCAGGTTGAGTGCTGTTTCCTCCAGGTATAGGAAAGAGCCGTGTATTTTGGATTTTCGTCAAGGCCAACGACTCGTATCGAGCAGGAAATCCCATCGCTAGGCCTTCCAGGGTGGATTCTGAGTAGACGGATATCCGAAGAGCCTTGTAAGGGGAGGTATTGAAAATCAACTCCATGATACCGCTTTTCAAGGAAGCCCGAGCTGGTATTAGGACTTCACATCTATTCTCTTGAGGCTGATGGCTGGTTCACATACTGTGTGTAATTCTTTCAAGTTTCTTTGGAAACCACAGGCGACATTGGAGACTCGATCCATTTCCACACTACAGTCGACTTTGTTTGAGATCTGCCTTCAATGAAATGAACCGAAATGATGTTGTATGTATATGGGTATGCACAACAATATGACCTCACAGCTCTTAATGAATCCCCCGCCTATCTCGGCCTCTCTCGCCTTGCACAGCCTCCTGCACCGTACCGGTCTTTGCGGCTAAGAATAGATCAGTGCTCCTCAAAGTAATGTTCGATAACGAATCAAAAAGTAACAATAAAATAAAATAAAAAACAAAGATTGTGAAAATGATTTCGATCAATGCGACAGCTTCAACATCACCAGCTCCACAGCCCACTTGGTGATTGATTATATCATGCACGTGACTGATGAATATTGTATCGCATTTTACTCTGTACATACAACTGTCATCTTCTGCGCACCTAGTGTTGTGGCTAGAGTCTTGGCAGTGGCGTTCAAAAAGAGCAGGACTCTAAAAATAATTTTCACAATAAACTTGACATCTTGATGAGAGAGACCAATAGGGGAATTCCGAGTGAGCAAATGAGCCAGCTGCATGAAGCTCACTGCCGAGTCTAGTCTCTAGCTAGTGTGTCAATCCTAAAGTTATTGCTGTTGTTACTGTGAGCAGCTTGCCTGACGCTAGGCCTCCTCAAGTTAGATACTGTAAGTGACCAATGATATCGTGCAATTTCACTACGCTCTCTCGGCTCCGGAACCTTATAGTAGGCATATGACCTAACGTAGTCAATCCAGTGCCTGAGTGCCAGACTTGTCATTGTGAGCAGGCTACATAAACCGCCTTTGAAGAAACCTGCACTGTTAATCAATTCAAACGTCCGCTAGCATAATGATTAGTACGTTTGCGCCTGCAAGTTCAACATCACGCATCCAACTCACGTCCATGGCACAGTTGGCCGAGGTACGTATCAGGCCGCTTCAATCACCAAGACGACATGACTTGCTCACTGCGTACAGGCCATAAGTAGGGAAGGTGACTGGACTGGGGCCAAGGATGCCGCAACCCGCAGACGGGCACACACTAGACTCAACACAAGGGCATACTGTAAAGAAGGCCTTGTTCTCTCTTTCCCCCAATATCAGGACGCAGGACCAGTCCTATCCGGGGGACCTAATTATCGAATCTAACGGCTCAGTAGGAAAACGCAAAGCCCTAGCAAATAAAGTCGAAGCATCCAGTGCCGCAACGGGACACTGATCAAATCAGGAGTGCTGGTAGAATGCTGGGACATTGGGCAGCAATCCAACTCCATGGTCCCAGCATCCCGTATCAAGCAACTATATAATACTAGAAGTCCCTTGCTGCCAGATAAACCTAGAAAAGAGCACTTGAACATGGTCTTCCCCCTCTATCCAGACCATCTTATTACACTCCTCCAATTCAGCGCCCTCCGCGCCATGGACGTCAATCGTGAACTAATCTCGGGTATCCTTCTCACCCCGCTCGACTGTAACAAGGAAGTTACCCACGTCATCCCTTACTATACGAGGCCTGAGCTACTCCCCCTAGCGCTCCTGCACACCAGCCTTCAACAAATGCTGCCGCACGGCGACTGGGTCGACCTGTTCCCGTGTCCTGAGGGACGAGACCGCCTGATCCGGGCCGCTGGCACCTTCGACGAAGATGAGCTGTGGGCCGACTGCATCGGCGGGCTATACGAGGGCTTCCCAGACGACGAGATCGAGCGACGCGGCATTATTGCGTGGTCGCCGCCCTGGGACATCACGGGGTGGGAGATGTCGGAAGGGTTTCTGAGGAAATGGGGGTGGTTGTTCAAAGGGTTGCCGGGAGCGTTAGAGGCGACAAATCGGTGGCGGATGGAGAGAGGCGAGGAGCCATTTGTTCATGATGACTGTACGGCACATGAGACTGTGTGATGTTTGTGTTGTCCGGTACTTCTTCGTCATTGATCAGCGGAGTCCTCCATTCTTCGTGCACATCCCTGGGCAGTTTTTTGGCTATGGCACTTGCTTTTCATAAAGAGAGGGCAGAAAAGCAGATAATTGACAGTTGACATATGACACATATCCAAGTATCCGTTACCCTCATTCTTGTTGGGCACATATATTATACTTTCCTTAACTTTTATTGACGGGAGAGCGCCGAAGAGACCAATATCTTTACAACATCTTGGCATTATATAGGCGGGATATGCATTCCTGCGAACTCTCTCGGATATGGCAAGCTATTATGGACTGGCGTCTTGCTGTGCTAGCCGGCCCTGGTCTTCGTTGTATTGGTCTATTGGGCGGAGCTACTACTTTTCCGCAGCTCCCTTCTAATAGTTTTCAGTGATCAATTTCTGCGTGCGGTAGTATCAGTACTCAGTATGGTTCACTCGTACTGAGTGTGGCATAGCAGCTTGTTACTACCTTCTACCTGATTTTAAAGAACGGTAATCACAGCATAATCGAACTGCTAGAGTAAGGTATGTATGATATTTCTTTTGCTTTATGATGTAGGTATGACCAGTACCTGTCCTCACCACTTATACAGGGTCTACATACTACACCTGAGTAAGACTTTCACCTTTACTTGGTGTCCAAGATCAATAGGCAAATGGCTTAAACTAAGCAACCCCTACACAATAATCAATGATATTATATAGTAAATTCAGTGATGTTGGCAGAAAATATGAATTACTTGCTATTGCAAAGTAGCATTAATTGTCGGCCGTATTCGAATAGTTGTCCGCTTATCACGGATACCACAGGTAGTATATTTTGGCATATGAAATTATCTGAATATCGCAGGACTTACCATGCATGAATGTACTGGCTCCACTTTATCCTGGAATTCATACTCCGCAACCGTGGAAACGGCCGATGTTATGTGGATACCGAAGATTTGGGATCCGCATCTAGGCCAAGCGGAGGTATGTGCATGATTACTTTCTAACTAGCTAAATCATTTATAGTATTGAATATGTTGCTCAGAGCAGCTCATACGTGGCGACTCAACATAATGCTTGCCCCGAGTGCTGGCCACAGCAGGCCTGCAGCATCGTATTTATGAATATACATTCCGGCGATGGTATCTAGGAGCCAGTCTGATCGATGCAACTACTCTACCAGCACTTTCGTTCCCCAAAACATGCCGTTCGATGTCTTTTATTATGTCTTGCTGCTAGCTTATCACCGTTAGGCCCGATTTCTTTTTTTTTTTTGATCGACCGACTCACCAATGCGTCCCTTATTACGCAGCTGCCACAGTTTCGACGATCAACAGCCCAAGGCCCGTTCAAGGCCAGTACAACTCTCTGACAATAATAAACCACAAGGGCTTTCGAAGTGTACACTTTCTCAGTCAGTCAAGCAGTACCGTCTTGAATGTGCCTCTTTTGTACTTGAACGTTAACGGTGTCTAACTCCGGTTAGAAAAGAATTATGTCGTCCTTTTTATTAGACACACCCCTTGCTAATGTCTTTCGGTGGCTTGGAACAAGAAAGCTGTTTAGCTTTCCCGAAGAGCGGGATGACTACGATTTGGCAATCGCGGATGAAGGATGGAAGCGAGTGTCTATTGTTCAAGTCCAGGAAGGGCTTAATGAATTCGACAGGATACAGCATTCACCCACAGTTGCCAGCCCGGACTCCCCAGATCTCAAAGGCTCAGTCAAACACACAGAACAATTTGAACTTCCTCAATTTCCCATAGAGACACAGTCTACGCAGCACTGCCTATCAGGCCGACCGGACCTGGAGAGCGTGAGAGCTCATCTTTGTATGAACGAGCCAGAAGGCAAATATGTCATGGTTGACTGGTACGGTGCCACTGATCCGGCAAACCCTCTGAATTGGCCCAAGCGCAAAAAGTTTGTTGTTTATTTTATTATCCTCTATATCTCGGTTGCCGTTTATATGTCCGGCTCGATCTATTCAGCGGCACAAAGTGAGGTTGATGAGGCCTTTGGCGTATCTGCGACGGTCTCAAGTCTTGGGCTTGGGCTTTACGTGTTGGGTTACGGTGTTGGGCCGATGTTCTGGTCACCTCTGTCTGAGATCCCAGCTGTTGGACGTAATATTCCTTATCTTGCATCGTTGACACTCTTCGTCCTGATTTCAATTCCAACAGCACTGGCACCCAACATTGCATCTTTATTAGTGCTTCGGTTCCTCCAGGGATTCTTTGGGTCACCAGTCCTTACCACAGGCGGCGCGTCGTTGGGTGATGTTAGTAGTGCATATGGCAAACCTTATGCCTTCTACAGCTTGGCATTGTTTTCTTTAGGAGGGCCTGCCTTGGGGAACACCATAGCTGGCTACAGCATTCCTGTGTTGGGATGGAGATGGAGCTTGTGGGAGGTTCTCCTAGCCAATGGGCCCGGACTTGTCCTGCTCGTAAGTTCAATGAGAAAGGGAAGGGTGTAGTTGACGCAGCTGATATGTCTTAGCTTTTTCTACCGGAGACTTCCGCAGCCAATATTCTGTATCGTCGCACCCAAAGAATCCGAATATTGTCACTGAAGGAGATCTACAAATTCGAGCCTGAAATGAAAGCGAAAAACACCACTGTGGTAAACAGACTGCACCGAGCCTTGATCGTCCCCTGGAAGCTGAACGTACTCGACCCCTCCATTGCATTCACAAGTATCTACTGTGGTCTCGTCTATGCTATTTTCTACTCCTTCTTCGAGTTCTTTCCTCTAGTTTACGGTAACATATACAATATGACACTAGGGGAGGTGGGATTGATCTTTCTATCCGTCATCGTTGCAGTCGGATTAGCCGGCATTCCGTACTGCGCCTTTGTCCATTTCGTCGTCAATAAATCAATCAAAAATGACAATCCAATGACACCCGAAGGACGTCTCCTTCCATCGCTATTTGCTTCGGTGCTAATCCCTGTCGGAATCCTGATATTTGCGTGGACTTCAAGGTCCGACATACATTGGATCGTACCCACCATAGGCACGATGCTCGTTTCAGGCAGTGTCGTTATGATTATCCAGTCGGTGTTTGTCTATATAACCCTGGCCTATCCCAGGTACACTGCTTCCCTGTTCAGTGGGAACGGGCTGATCAGATCTTCGGTCGCATTTGCGGGTGTTCTTTGGTCTCACCCGTTGTATGACGCGCTTGGTGTGAACTGGGGAATGACTTTGATGGGCGGTTGCTGTGCGATATGCATTATTGGCATCTATGTACTGTACTACTTTGGACATAAGTTGAGGGCAAGGAGCAAATTTACTGAGTAGGCTCTATGCTCACTCTATATTACATCTGTCCTACAGAAGCTTAGATACTGTCTCACAGTCTTCCTGTTCCATTAACGAACGCTATGTCTAGCAGCATACTTTCAATACTAGTCTAGCGAACTCCTGGAGCGTGGTAACTTAACCATTGCCTAGTTTACGGAGTAGTGATAATACAGTATGTGTTGATGCCTGCAGGATATCGTTTCTGTGGCATTTCCAGACTAGCTTAAAGCCTCTTGGCATTCAGGCTTGGAAAATCATAATGAAAAGAGTCACATAGAATCAGTGCATCGGTGTTGCAACCGTGTGCTCATAAGATTATTCCTCCAGTTACTGCAATACACGTTAATATAACAATAAACGTCAAGAAAGGCTTCATCGCTAACTTACAGCCCATACAAGCCGGCCACCGTCATTCCCAATGTGTTGAGCCAAATTAATGCCCTGACGCTCTCTATACTCTCCACTGCCCTCTTTGAGCTCTGCAACCAACCAAGGGCCATCCTCCCGGAGCTCCAACTCGATACCTTGAGCGGTCTCTGTGAAATTCTCGCCCGGGAAAGCGAACCAGCCTAAATAAAAACAATTCTAGATTAGAAATAATTGTTACAGTTACTCAAGATCTATAATACTTACCATCACTATTACCAATCTGTTCGTCAAGCCTTAACTCCGCGGGAACATATTCATCATCACCAACTCCAGCTCCGGCAAGGAGGACAGTGTGATCGCCACGGACTTCGATACGAATGTCTAGGCAAGATTCGTGGAAAGACATGGTGGTACTCTTCTTCAATAATTTAGAGTGGGAGAGAAAGATGAAATGTAGCAAGGGCTGATCTGAAGGAAAACAATTGCAAGAGGACAACGAGACTTAAATACCCTGCCAGCCCCTGTCAGTCTAACTGTAGAATTGAAAAAAGGATGGAGGGGTAATACAACACTTCATCGTGACCCCACTATTCCGCTCTATATTACTATCAGATAATACTACGTAGAACGACAGCTAACAGGCAGCAGCCTCACTATCCAACCACAGGGTCCCAGCTAACGCCCGCCCCACCCTAGGCCCCTCGCACTAAGCCCTTGGCCCCCCATCATCTAAGACCCCGTGCCATGACGTGCGAGGTGATTAGTAGAGGAGTGGTGGCTGGTACTGGACAACTGGGGAAGTTGGGAGGGGAGGGAGAAATTGGCGTGGCGGTGTATAAGTCTGTGGGACAATGCAAATAGCGACAGTTTGGGCAAGTTCGGTTCAAGTTGAAACAATACTTAGGTTATAGGCTAGCCTAATATAACCTAATCTATACACTAGCTTCCGAAAGCGATATGAAGTTTCGACTCCTCACTGTCTTGTACTTGGGCGACCTTTCTTGTTGGAGTTCTCATCGAAACGGGCAGGGCCAAGGACGCCATTAAGAGTTTGTCGAATATCTCGTGGAGAATTTCCGTCTTCCTATATGTGGGAAGTTCAATTTTGACATTCGATAACAATGACTAACTGGCTTCTTCTTCCGAGTCAAAGAAAGTGGTCATTTTGGTTGACATGTATTAAGTCCGAGAGCTAATCTAGACGCCCAGGATGGTAAATGAAATGACCAGTGGCTACAGCAAACTGGCTGAAAATAGTTTACGGCTTTATTATGCACCATACCGGGATTGTTCTAGTGCAAGTGGCTCAGCTACATTCTCTGGCTTTCTAAGTCTAACTCCTTCCTACTATTGGCATGGCATGATAACCTTCGGATAGATAGCCAGGCCTTGATCGTTCTAGCTATACTCATCACTTGAGTCTACAACATGCGGGAACGACGCTTTACATTTTTGGGAACGTGGAATGAGAAGATCCAATGATGATTTATGTGGCTTATCCTTGTTTTAATCACTAACTTGGAGGACTCTGTAGCCGGATACCCCCTCTCTCCTCCCAGCTTGAGAGTGATGGTGACTTTGGATTATAGTTCAGGTATTGTATGCGCACGCTCTGCGATAAGATGCTGTGCGCCCCTTTGCAGATGGTCTAAAGCGTAGGCTACCAGAAACAATTTCAGTTATTGTTACTCACTTCTAAATTCCCACCAGTACCTCACTTTCACGCAATGAGGGAATGGACAATGTGGGCCATGAGAAAAGCTGGGGAAAGTGATCTTTGTCATGGGAACATTGCCAAGACTAAATTTATATTTCGCATCCAGGTCTATGGGGGGTCTATCTGGTGAGGAGTTATACAGTTCTTGAGCGGAGGCAAAACTTAAATATGTCTTCTATTTCTCCAGATGTATCTTCTTCTACAACAACTACTGTCTGTCATACCGACCTTACTCTCTTACGCCTGGCACTTACCTCTGTGCTTTAATTCTCCTCTATCTCTATAACAAAACCCTACAATGGCTTCCATGAGAAAATACGCTTACAAAGGCTGCGGCGAAGTCAACAAAACGAGTCACTGGTACTCCTCCGCCATCCGAGTCGGGGACCAGATCCACTGCGCCGGTCAAGGTTAATACTTATTACATCCCCACATTCACCTATTTGTGTGAAGTTACTGACAACAATATAGGAAGCTTCTACAACGCAGACTTCAACATTTCCAAGCTTGTATCTGAGCAAATCGACCAAGCCTTCGTGACCATGGATACCGCTCTCAAGCACACGGGTGCTAAGGGTTGGTCCCAGGCGTACAGAGTCAACTCTTACCACATCCAATTGGACCAGGAGGCACAGGACGCCATGGTTCGGAGCTTCAAGAAGTGGATGCCTGATAACCATCCCGTGTGGACTTGTGTGCAGATCGGTCGTCTTGGTCATGATGCTACGAGAGTTGAGATTGAGGTTTCGGCGTTTGGTCATGAGGGTGCGAAGGAGGCTGGGACGAGTCGGGCTTGAGGTGCTTTGGTGGGATCATGTGATGGATGGGATGGTGATGTTTGGTGTATTCATTAGTATTTGTGGCGGTCGTTATGGAAAGTATTGACTGGGTTGTTGAGATCTATTTGGAATGAGCTCAAGGAATAGCGCGCAGGTTGCCATTAATTCTCCTCGTGCATCGTAGCTCTTTATACTACAGCTTCTTGTTTCTGGAGATAGAAATCATGAACAGATTGATATAGAGCAAATGTTTCCGATTTTCCTAAAACTACGCTGATTAATCTCTGGTTATAGTAATTCCGCCGATGAGAGCAATTTCGTTAATGATAGCAAGATCACTTCCTCATTTAGACCACTCGATGAAGATGATAGCTTTAAGTTCTCGTCTCAAGCTCTCACACCCACGATACGAGACAAAGACAGTCTGTTTGGTGTCGTCTGGGTTCAAAAACCGGTTTTGGCCGTGTGCCTTCGTTTGATCCGCCGACATGGCTCCCTTGATGACATCTGCGGCCTGATAAATTGGAGGAACGTTTATATCGGACAATGATAGGCCGATCCACTTCGCGGTCAATTGTCGCCATTCATCAGCCGTGGGTTCCCAACATTTTAAGCGCCGCTCGTCGGGTGTACTAAAGACCATGATAGCACCGGTTTTACCTGCATATCTCTTCGCTATGTGCAGAGCTTCCGTGGTGTATATCCCCGGTCCAAATTCGTTTTCTGCATTGGTTGAGCTTATAACGGGGAGGAAGAAGGCCAGGGATCGTTCGAGAGCAAACAAGCTCAGCCCTCGGAATAACGTATCCTTCCGCTGCAAAAGGCCATCCGTGAAATGAGCCATCGCGGCCTTCTCAAATTTGGACAAGTTTGGGTGATCCTGGACTCGTACTACCTTGATTGTCTCACCACTAATCACTTGTCGCGAGAAGGGATAGAGTGCCTTAAGCTCTTGCGTTGACACCGTCCCCATAACCGACGGCGGGATTGAACATTTTCTCACCGCGCCACTCTCCAGCCCAGGTACATGCTCCCAGGGAAAGACGCCTTCCTCCCGGTATCGTGAGAGAAGAAACGAGACGGCGAAACACCCGATCGGGATAGCTACAATCTCATCCTCAATGACGTAGGCTGGATCGTCGATCATTCGCACAACATCAGGCCGGCCGCACATGTGGAAGATCGTTCGGGATGATCCGACCATCTGGTGATACCGTGCTAGTTGGACATTAGAAATGGTCCCTGGCAAGGAAGCCCTTCCGACTACATACCGTGTTCTAAGTTCTCCCCAAGATACTCCGCAATCTCGAAAGGGATCTCATCCTCCGGGTAGTCCCCATACCATATTGGGTCAAATCGTACGTGGTCATAGTTGGTGTTGTCGTACATTGGTTCTCGCTCATCATCGTCATCCGTTTCCTCCTCCTCTGTCTCCGGCTTCTGCTCTTCAGGCTTCTCCTCGGCCTCTGGACGTTTGTCGACGTTGCTGGGCATGTCTGGTGCGGGGGTAGAGTGCTGTATTTTCTGTCGATGAATCACTCGCTCATACGTGGGTATGTTGGGAGGTGCGATTTCCTCCAACGGGAGGGGTCGTTTCTTATGGTGAATCATCCTGAGATGGTGGTGACGCCGGATATGAGACAGCGCTGACGTCCTTGCCGGATATGTGTTAGTGCTGACGTATTTTTAAGGATGTTGAATTGAAAGAAAAGTAAATTCGAAGTGAAAATTCTGTTTCTTGCTAAACACATGATGTGTAGCGGTTCCTAAGGTAGTTTATATATTCGCTACAGCATCTCGTCGCTCCTTCCCCCGACGGTACCTATTGCTGCAATAAGTTGGTTTTACGTCGGCAAGTGGTTGCTTCGACAGGCTTTATTTAGGCAAGAACTTCCTCCGCTTCATACTATTTGCGCTTTTCTAGACATTAGAGGCAAGAGTGAGTAGGCCATATACGAGGCTTGTGGCCCAATATTCACAAGTTCATGGATTTGTAAGGGTCTGTATACAAAGGTCAGCAAAAGGGAAACAAGCACCACGGGTATCTGCAGAAGAGGGCCAAGTGTGATGACTGAGTGTATGTGGAAATTTGCTTGTTACCGAACAAAAGCTCCTATATTTGTCTTCCCCTCCCGTTGTAATTTCAAAGAGAGAGCTTTTTCCGGCCCTCTTGCCATCCAGGTTATCTTAGATAATTCGGTCATATTCTCTTTTGTTAGAAAAAGCCTCCATTGATCATTAACCCGGAACCCTATTGGGGAAGGATCTGGTGGAATCAATGCCACTCTCTTTGTTGGTGGACATGATGGCGTTGGACTGGCCCACTGTTGTGGTTCCACGAATATGACAAAGGAAAATCGACTCAATAATGCTCTCGTGAACAAAGGTCTCGGCTGCCTGTAGCTTGCCTTTGGTATAGTTTCTGCAGGAAAACAGTTCGCTGGTGTCGTGTGTCTGACAAACCTCTTTTCAAAGAACCCGTGCTGTCTTCGTCTATAAATAGTATGCCAGGCTTTAGTCGACCAGATATAGAGCCTAGCCGAATGCAATAATCTTTATGTAGAGCATAGTGATGTTGCTCAGTATTTCTATCCTGGTAACTAAATTGGTGACCAATATTGAGACTCAAGACTTGATGTCACTCTGCCATTCATTAGACAAACTTACGTAGAATCTGTTGGCCATTGTTCGGTTGGAGGCACGACCAAATGCCTAAGGTATTTTGGTCGAGTGGCAGAACGCTCAACGGAACCTAACGGGTGGATCGTCTTTCTCTCAGCACCGTTTGAGCTCAAAAAGAGGGCAAGCCGCAGTCGCAACAACAATGCCCCCGTCAATTGGTATCCCGTTCAGATGCACTGAGTTCATTAATAGAATATCCTAGTATGTAATCGAGCATTAAGAGGTAGATGATCTAAAAGAATTATTCATGATCAAAATAAGAATTGGGCTACGGTTCAGGGTTTAACAGCCACCGGTCACAGTAGAGTTCATCCATCTTAGGTACTCAGTGGCGGCCGGACTTTATTTGACTCGACGCAACCGGCAAAGAAGTCGGCTTGCGCCAAGCCTGACTGCAGGCTGATGCGTCGTAGTTGGGCTACTATCCATTGTCGCGTGTCCTCTGAGTTGGTGTGCATACAACCGGCAAGCAAGAGCATCCAGCTGGCGAAATACGCACCCACTCCTGCGCCTGTGTACGTAGATTGCTGGAAGTCGAGTGTATTGTTGAAAGTTGCCGTCGAAAGAGCAGACAACTTGCTGCCTGGTGTCGTCGCTTGGTTGAAATACTGCCCCAGGTTCACTGGCTGCAATCGCTCCAGGGCGGGGAAAGGAAAGTAGCTCATCTGCTGGGGTAGGGAGGCCAGGATGTCATCGCGAATCCGCCTCATCGTTCGACTAGTCTCCTGTAGTTGATCGGCGTAGTTTCTGGAGAAGAACCAACTAGGGTCCGACTTGGCTCCTCTTAATAGAAGATGACAGATGGCGTGATTGGCCAAGACGCGACAGGTACGCATATCGTTCCAAACTCCGACGACCCCAGCGTCGTGATAGCTATGGTAGACGCCACCATGGACCCGAGTAGGGTCCGGACTAGCGAGTTGCACGACAGTGAACTGCCACTCTGGTGAACATTCCGAAAATCGACTCTCGAGTCGGTGGTCAATATCTAAAGCCTGGGATAGGTAACGCTGGAGCTCGTCGATAGGTAGCTGTCTTTCTGTGGCGCTAGTTTCTCTGCTGTCGACTTCACTACTACGGGTGAATTCATAGCCTCCAGGGGATATCTGGGAATAAAGATCCATGATTTCCACAAGGCTACTACTGGCAACCCAGTAGGGGTCGGAAGCACTAATAGCTTTGGCAGCCTCGGCGCGGATCATGCGAAGTGGTGCAGGTATTGGACTCCCCATGCGTAGGCAATTTATGAGAAGATGGCTAAAGATGTCCTTGAATATCTGGAGGCCAACAGGTGTGGTAAATTGGGCCTTGCCCCGCAGCTCTAGCAGTGAGGTCGCACCATGGATATGTCGATCCCATCCATTAAGTGACGACTCACCGAATTCATAAAGGGACAAAATCAGAACCGAGACGATTGTACTATGCCGGCGTGCCGTCTGAGGATCCGTCAAGGCCCAGTTCATTCGTTTGATAGTTCTCGTATACATGGCTCTTGATCTACAACGTAGATCGACCTGATGGGTGCTATGGGCCAAACCAGCGAAGCCCACGGCTAGAATGGCTCCCTGTAGAATCTCATTGTCATCGTCTAATGTGAGAATGCTGGGAACGTAGTCGAGAAACCCAGATGAGGGTGGAGACTGCCGCACGACATAGTGTACTAGGAAGTAGTTTAACCCGATCATATCAAGTGGCAGGACAAACGGTGGGGGTATCGCCCTTTGATTGAGAGGGTCTTCGCCCCTGTCTTCCTCCTCGTTCCCTACATCCTCGCTCCCCAATCCGGACCAGGACGAGGATGGATTGCGCTCTAGCGCGTCCACACTCGCATTATTAGCATCTGGGGAAGTGTTATCTACTTGCAGGTCATTGCCCCCCAGGGTATTCTGACTATGGTCAGTGAATGCAGGGTCTTCACTTAGTATTCCCTGTTCTAGTTGCACTTGTAATCCTGCACTCTGCGACGGACCGATCGAGCCCGGGGTGTGCCCACGAGAAGTGTCACGCTTCGCAATTCTTGCCCGGACTTTGTCACCGATCTGGCTGCTCTCATCTCGAAAGATAAGACTTGCAGGGTCTCGATAGCCCGGACATTGCTGTCCCATACGTCGACATTGTCCACATCCGGGAACAGCCTTATCGCACTACCATTACCCGACCCACTGTTAATATCATTTACGCCACCAGTTTAAGTGGGAAAGGAAAAGGAACCAAAAATTGAGTCAATATTGCCAGAAACGAGAAGGATGGACTTACTCGTCTTTTCTTGGCCCGACAGTTGTTGCAGCTAGTGGAAGGGCGTCCACAATACACCATGGTTGCCTGAAATCGCGGGGTAAAAATGTGGCCCGGAAAAAGACGAAAGAGGAAAGCAGTTAGTCGCGCGGCAGTGTGTCCCAGCAAGCTATGAATAGCACCTAGTGAAGCTGAAGCGGGTTTCCTGGAGCCCTTTCTCACCCTGTCATGCTACTTGCTGCCACCTCACCTTTCGCCCAAGACTCACTTGAAGCTTAGCCGCTGAGATCAGCGAGGGGACCGGTCGGGTAAGCCCGTCCCGAAACATGATAGTAGATGGAAGATCGATCATTTCCATTTTCGTCTTTCTACAAAAGTGCTTAATTTTCCCATATTATTGATTAACCAGATTATCTTCATGCACGAGTATGACCTAACTGAGGAAATATTTGTGTACTCCGTAGGTAATTCGAGAACAGATGTGCTTCTAACCAGCTCCCAGGACTAACCAAGTTCACCGCGTCAAATAGCTCTAGAACAGAAGTGGGTTAGGTGCAAGGGCCTCTCAACTCAATGTCGCTTTTCGCATTTTATCTATTTCGAAATTCAGATAACAGGAACCAGTGGTCAAGTAAACCCAATCCTCCATGGTTACGGCCTATGGCGTTGGTCAATAACCTTCGGTACTTTTTTCCCTCGTTGACGCGATCCCCTATATTATTCTCGTACGCCTAATACTTAACCGTGATCTTATGTATTCTCCTAATCTCTCATGACGTCTAGCCTAAACTAAACTATGAATATCGGAGTCTATGTTTTTCACCGACAGAGAGGGAGTAGGGCTGGTTGCCTAATGCGGAATAGAATGCCGAGCAAGGAGGACTAGACCGTATCAGGAATAGTGTAGTCGAAGTGCTACCCGAAGAGGTATGCATGATGCTTGCCAATTCAAGACAAGACGATGTCCTATACGGGCCTGACATTGAAGTCAATATATGCTAAGCTCAGCCACGTAGTAGCGGACGAGGCTTATTTTATTCTTCGTAGATGGCCGATAGTACTGCTATAATCAGCTGGACAGGTTAATTATAAATATTTAGTACCAACCCCGGTTCTCTTCATATACTACTAGTACTATACTATTATCCAAACTAATCCCTAATCATTGTTGTGACTAATTTACCATGCCCGGAAATTCATACTATAAAGCCTACCCTGTGAGAGACTACACATACCAGGAGGAAGACTATCCTTCTCAACACTTGACAAGCTACGGTCCTCTGCCACTCCCGATCGTAATTCCACAGCAACGACCGGGATCCAGGGAACGTGGGTTCATCGCCGCCTATGCCCCATCACTGGAGGCATGCGGCATTGACCGTCTGACTTTCCTAAGGTTTCTAGATGAATGCAACACAGCAGTACAAGGAAATAAGTTCCTAGCTGGTGTACAAGTGGTCTCGTTCGGCGTCGGATTCACGCCGGAGATGATCGTTATGGGAGTTGCCACCGCTGTGCAGGCCGGTGCTTACATTGCAAACAAAGGCCATGTCAGACACAAGTAAGTAAAATCATACCATTCATCTGCTATATAACTAATGCATCTCCAGAACCAATGCTGTTCTAGATCGATATAATCAAGAACTATTCGGCCCTCACGGTCTGTTTTGTATGATCATGAGTTACGAACCGGAAACATACGATGAAACAAAGCCTCGAACATCGCAATCACCTTCGATCCCGCTCAATCGACTAGGATCCCTGGCCTCAGGCAGCTGGGTACGAGATCCAATCTCGGGAAAGTCGCAAGGGGCTCATAATCTACCCGCCGCTGTTGCGCCCTTGATGTATATTGATGATCGGCGGCAGCATAAAGAGCTTCTCTCTGATGGAAAGTCCCTGGAATCCACAGAAATGGTAAAGAAATCGAAGAGAGCTAAAAGAGCGTTTGATACGTTCAACGATTACCTGGATCGGAGGGCCCGTGCGCAATACGTGAGTCTTGGTGTCTTCTTTGTTCTTTTCGTTAGCGTTTTCGTGGTTGAAGAAAACAATTGTTAACAGCCTAAGTTCAGACAGCCGAGAATTCAGGAGATATTCTGAACGTCCCTCTAACCCGCGGCTTTAAAAACCGGTATCTCGACCCTAATCACCCCGCCACGAACGGGGGCTTAATCGGACTGCTTTCCGGTGGCGTGCTGAGCCCTGATCCGGAGGCGCGGAGGCGTAAGGCCCTGCGACGGGTTGAGGAAGAAGAAAGACAGGTTCTAGACCAGTACTATCAGCAGATGGACAGCATTCACAACCAGAATCAGTCCCGGTGGGAGATCGGCAGGCAGATCCGGCAGTGTGATGAGCAATTTGCTCCACGGTTTGAGGAGTTCCGAGAGCGGAGACGAGAGGCACAAGGAAAGCAGAGAAATATTCGGAAGGTAAGCTAGGCTTTTCCATCCATATGGAGGTGGGCTAATGAGCTTGAATGTAGAACATCTTATACTTGACCATTGTTAATAAGCCGACGGAAGGAGAATTGGCGGCAGCGGCGGCGAAGTTAAATACTAGTATTGGCTATGGGAATGGGATGGTAGGCGTTACGCAGGTATAGATCAACTTGTATCAAATATATATCATTTTCATGCAATGATTCATGGTCTTAGCAGTCTATTCGTGATGCCATTATAATGCTCATTAAGTATGTACAGAGAAGTAGAAGGTCATGAACACAGCACTCAGAGTGTGGATCGTCTGTCCACACTCCCAGAAGAAGTTCGAGAGGCCCTTTGATATGCTCGAAAGGATTTAGCTGGCTGGGCAAGAATGGATAGTACTCTTTTGAACACCACACTCCTGCTCTCTCTCCAACTTTTCTCATCCATGTGGGCTGTTGTGCCTATTATTTCTGATGCACTATCTGTCATATCCGATTCTGTTGTCGATAGTGGCAACTTATCATAGATCGTGCCCACACTGTCCTCGTCGAGGTGATCCTCCGAAGATATCGTATGAAGTAGTAACGCCCGACTAGTAAGATATGGAAGAAATATAGATGATTCGAATGACTGAGATATGCGTGTAACTGCTTCCTCGATCAAACAGGGCGCTGGTGGAAAGGAGGTGTCGTTATAACGAAGCAGGGAATTTCGCTCCTCACTCGACAGGTTAAGCTCTTGTGATGACCCGGGCAGGATATAAACAGATAATATATTTCTCCAGGTCATGAGCAGTTGGGGTGTTAATGATGGGCGTGAGGGGCGACGCGGGCTATCCAGGCCAAGAGCAGAGCGATATCTTTGTTTGTATCGTTTAAGCTCTTCCAGAAAGTCCAGGGGTTCGGAACAATGGTTTTGTGATACGTAATCCCTGAAGGATTTTAGACTGTATGGATAAGGTGCCCTGTCATTCAGCACACTGTCGAAGGTCGGTACCTCCTTGGGGAAGCACGCGATAGTCAGAGTCATCTTTGCTGGCATGAAGTATGTGGATGTGTATTTGGATGAAGAAGATGGTTCACAAGAGTCTTGAAGGTAATAAGGATATCATTAACAAGACCTGAAGTTATCTGGGGGTTTTCACAGCGATAGACATCTCACTATTGCCTCTCAAATCCTTTAATATACACTGGCACCCTTTTCAGTCTCTTCTGGCCCTATATTCTAAAGCCTATTTGGAGCTACGTGCCATCATTCCCTGGACAAGCGCAGTGTCAGTAGGGTGGGTCACACGCCGAGCCACATTCTGAAGATACCGGATTAGGAAAGAGGTCTTATAGAATTATTATATAGGCCGAGCACGTCAGGTTCACCCAGATATCAATCGGCTATCGGCTGCATCTGATTGGTTTCAAGTATAGAAGTCGAACAGCGATATAGGTACTTCCGCTGGATTTGGCATGTGGAACCCTGGTTTTGACGTGTGTTCAGAGTTTAAGTGAGGGGCCTCGCCTAGTCCAATGTAATGAGGAAAAATGATTCGTTCGATAGCTTGCTACCTATATGCAATTCATATCATGAAAAGTGGCGGTTATTATGCGGGGTCTGGAGTTAGGGAGACTAGACGAGCTGTGGAAGTTTGGGTCGAACCAAACGGAGGGTATCCTACTGTGGACAACCATGGTTCATGAGTTCGAGAACAAGCCCAGGAATGAAATTTCTGGCCCAGACCGTTGAGGATGTGGAAGTAACATGCAGAGCAGAAGTATCTTAAATCAAGCTATTGAGCCTAGGTGTTTCTCGTCGGGTTATGGTTAGGAGGATAGCACTAACAATCCACTAAAACTGAAAACACAAGCGAAAGAGGAGATTTTTTTTTCCCTTACAATTCTAATCGTTACTAATGTCAGGTTCAAAGTTAAGGTTTGGGCTTTTGCTACCTCGCTCACTGCAGTATCTTGACGGTGGCTTTTAGCAAATCCCGAACACCGTCGTTTGATTCTGTTTTTACGTAGGAAGATAATGTCGCTACCTACTGAGCTCCAGCCCAGCCGAGCCCACGTTCTAGCTCGATCCAGGTCGCGCCTATCTCTGTGATTATGCGATGTCTCTCCTCCATGCCTTCAGCAGCAAATGCCCCGGCAACAAATTCGTTACCTCCACATTCTCGTAGTCCGAATCCGATTCTAGGATAGCAAGTGTATACCGGTGCATGACACTCGCCACCATCACTGCTGGCTCCAGCTAAGTTGATGTTCCGGTCAATACACCCTCGAGCACCGGTACTAAATGCTAGGCAATAGAGTCGACATTCCTATCACCTTGACCAAGCCAGCGGTCCGGGTTGAGCTTTTCCGCGCTTATAAATACTCACTTCCCACGATGTACAACGTAAGACGACAGGAACAAACTTTCCGAATATAAGCGCCCCTTGCTGTTGCGCGTACGAATATTCTTGTCTAAACAGGCATACGTGTACGCAAGATTTCTGACTTCCTCATAGGATGCCGCAGTACCTTCGGGGTAAGATCGGCATTGAGTGACATCTTCCAGTAGACCTTATAGCCATTCCGGAATTTTTAGGAGCCAAGTCAACATCATCCAAGGCAATCGGGGTTGTTAGACAGCCTGCATCCAATTTCACGGTGATCGTGCCATTCATTTCTTCTTATACTGGACCGTTCTGTTAGCCATTAGTGCTACTTTATATTAAAGACTGAAAAGGGTCTTCACTATTATCTCCAGAGGGGTAGCGAGCAAAGCGTTTTGCGATACGAGTGGCAGTAATCCACTTGACGTAAATTGTAATCTTATTCCCATGGATGAGTAACCCCAGCTTCCCCGAAAGAGCTATGTCGGCGGATTTCACCGACAGTGATGATATATGTCCAAGCCTGATAGTCGAAGATCCCTTCCGGCCGGGCGTTAGGGTTCTCTGACAGTGGCGGGTTTCAATATCGGTCACGCGCTTGATGAACTGAGCCACATTTTCCGCCACTCTAAACTCACCATCAACATCTTAAGAGGCAAATGCGCTGAGAAACGTCTTGCTTTTGCGCACATAGTCATTGCTTACCAATAACACTACTTTGGTTGAACTATGACTCTGCTCCTGTTTGGTAGAAGATATGGCCATATGTGTCTGGATTCCCATAAGCTCACCGGAGTAGGGCGGATATCTCCTATGCATCTCGCCCAGCATCTAAAAGTGCCTGCTATTGCGTCATGTCCTTATACAATCAGGTGATATTAGAAATGCCGTACAGTAGTTTGGAACTCAGATATTGTTCGTAGGCCTTGAGGCCGTGGGTATAGTCAAGGATTGCTTTCAGTCCAAAGGCGAATATTGGTCGAATTACCTACAATCACAAGTCTGTCCATACAAAGAGCCAGCTTCTCGAGATGAAGGAGAATCTCCTATCATTCTCATTAACAGTTCAACTCAGGATCCCATATTGTATTGAACCTTTAATCTGAAGGGTGGGTATTTATGTATAGTCAATATAATTAATGGCTTGGCTCCCAGCACTTCTCGTTCTAGTGATTATAGGCATACACCTAATATATTTGATTATATCAATATAATAGCTTCTAGTATAGCCTGAAATATTGTCAATTCTCTCTTCTCTAAATATATAGATTAGGTTTAGAATGTATACATGCTGCTTTTTCTTAGTTCTTAAATTATTCATAGCTATACATTTGTTCCAGTCTATATGCTATAGGAGCGGAGATACTGGTATATATAACTTTCCTTATAGAAACAGAATAATGAAGTACATAACCTTAGTTTACAGCTTGCACTTTAATGTTTATTCACATTGTACGGTAAGATGAATACCTTTGAGCTAGAGGAATAGATGGAACCTCCCTCTAGGATCTCCACAGTTAAAAACTGATTGTATGAATCACATCAATCAAACAACTTCCTTATGCTCCTCTGTCGCCTCATCATCAACCTGCAACTCTCCATGCGCACCCTGCCGACAAGCATGCTTCCTCAGATTCTTAGCCGCAGAGACCGGTTGGAAAACATGTATGCTATCCAGGAAGGTAATCAATAGCTTCGAGACGCAGGCTTCTGTTTCAGGGAAGAGAAAGTACACCACTATTTTATTAGCATGACATTCCAAGATAAGATAGGAAAGATAAGGGGACATACTCGGCACAAGCAAAGCCAAATTAATGGCTGCATAAATAATAAAGTACTTCCACCCCAGCGAACCGAACCCACTCGGCGTGACTTCAACTACCAGAAGGTTAAACGTCCACGACGACGCTGCCTGTAATCTGTGTCCGGACAACCAATGGTGCGATTTCAGAATAGTATAGATACGTCAATCCGATGCAGCCGGTGACGTAAAAGAAGACATAGAGGAAGATGAATGCGACTGCCTTATCAACGCCAGCTTTAGTAGATACAAGAGGGCACTGAAGAGACAGTCTAGATTAAAGATTGCAGTCACAGTTCCCTCAATGCGAGAGTTTTCCGCTTCTCTGGCGCCGGTAGTGTTAACGGTGTCCATTTGAGGGAATGTCTGACTGCCAGCCTTCGACCCCTGATGTTACGGCCATGAGATAACCGAAGCAGATGTAGGCCGGGAGATAACGGTGCAAATATGCCCGATGTTGAGCTTTGTCCCGTGAAGGCCTAAGGCTGGTTTTATTTTGCTTTGTTCAATGAGATCGATGGATTGATGATACGTGTGTGAATAGAATATGGGAATAGGGAGCCAAACGGAAGGGCAAATACAGAACAGAGCACAAAGGCATGGCATCCAGTCCAGGCGAAGGCAAGATAGGGGAAGTTAGGGACCTCAAAAGACCAAGCTAACTAGCTTGTCATCATCCTGACAGATGCGCCATTTGTTCGGGGAATCCGGAGACGAAATCGGTATTGCGGAGGGAATCCCAGGGAGTTGCGGAGGCGCCGGAGGATTTGATGCCAAGCTTGCTGTTGAGCTTGATACCAAGAAAGCCACGAATGGGCAAGTTAGGATCCAGGATTTGAGAGGGATCCACACACTTGGCAGAAGCTTGACTGTTTTAGAGTGTGGATGTGTATTTCCGCACGGGTCTGGTAGGTCCGAGGCTTTTCCGCAATCCACTATGACGCTTTCTCGTGATGAGCAAATACTTCCTCATACCACGGCATTTAAGGTGACGATACATTGGATTGGTGAAGCCAATTGGAATGAGAATACGTAATTGAAGGGAGAGAAGCCGGTTCGACAGAGCGATCCAACTATCGATCATGAGTATCAATATTAATCCTCAGTGTGCTGGATACACGCCTGAGATGGGCTGTGGTGCATATACACCGTCCCCGACGAACGATACGGGATAATTGGTTCATCCGCCATATCTTCTCTCTCACCCTACCAGATTATCAATGGCATAAAACTGCTGGCCCGGACTCTCGAGCTCATCCACCAAAGTCGCCAGTGATGCAGCACTAGGATGAAGCGAATTGGTCACTAGAAGGGAAATCGGCGACGACGCCATGTGGATGTTTGGTATGACAAAAGACTTGAAACCCGACAAGTAGTCGTCTTATTTCAAAGGACGTCGGTATTTTAGCCATGGTGGATTCGGGTTCTCGAGAGCCGATCAACGCAGAACCCGCTGCTTTTCCACACACCGGAAATCCAGCCCAAGTAGAAATGCTATTTTAGGTTATGTCTTGCCATTTCCTATCCTTAGAGGCTCTGATTTACACTTCGGCTGTGAAATAAGTACGGAGCAAAACCTCTGACTCTATGTGAATATGTATTGAATGAACGACTACAGGAGAGTAGGAAATGACTTCCGTTTCAAAGATACTTAAATATTTCTGACTTGGAAGAATAGTTTCACAAATTCTTTATCCGTGATAAGAGTGTAGAATGTGACTGGTATGTCCTATTGCATATTGTGGCTAGTGAGAGATGTTGGAATGTTGATTATATTCGTTCCGTATTAACTGCCATTCTCCGTGGGACATCAACATCGGGAAGGGCATCATAGTCTATCAAAAGATTATCATTGGCATCTAAACAGTAGCCTTTGAATCACTAGTTGACCTCATTTGTAAAAGGGCCACCACAATATCTATACTCTCCTAGGGTGCAACCACCTTTTCGATACCAAAAATCCCCAATCGCCGACAGTTCCAGATCAGAATCCGAGTCCACAGCCTCGGGGAAAGCTCCTCTGGCCAATGAGGTGCAATACGAAGTTCAGTCGGAGCATAATGACAGCTTCCGAATCAAGTCAGTGTCTTCGAGGGTGAAACAGGAACGCAAATTCTTCTTATCCCACTATTCCCACGATCTTACTTTCGTAGGCGCTAACATTTCCACGCCCTAGTCCCAAGTAACTCGACTTGACAATGTATAAACCTTTGGGAGCACATAGTAAAAGCTTTCATATCCATCACACTCAGGAAACTAGTGGTATGATTGTCTCGTACTATTTCTTCCCAACCTCTTTCCTGAATTTCTTCGTCTGGCCAATTCAGCGCTTATTAGTCCTCGCCAAAATGTCCAAGCTACCCGAAATGCTGATATACCCGTTTAATGGAAGCAAAGCCCATGCTAACGGAACATGAAAGGTGCTAAGTACCATGAAGAATAGCTGACTATTTTCCTTATCAGTACAAAACCACCCCTGTCTCAAGAACCCTATTGATCTCTTCCTTGCTGGGCGCCCTACGTAATGATAAGGCCTCATTAATGTGCATCCACCAGGACATCAAGGAAGCCGGGAAGAGTGAATCTGACCTTTCTGAGGGAAACTCAGTCACAAGTTGCTCAACTTCCAATTATCGTCTTTCTTTCCTCGTCATGTATCTCATTCATTTCATCTGTAGGTATTTCTATGTCTGCAAACGCGCTATGCACGCATATGTAGGTGATTTCTAACCTTTGACAGGCGGTAAAGCGGAGGAAATGAGGAACAACGCGTTCTTGGACTGCTGGCTCAAGTAATGGGACAAGAACCTCTAGCATTACTGCCAGTCTCTGTAAAATCTCTGCTATATCTCTTTCAGGCCATGTTTGGAAAAGCCCATGTAGAAGCCTTGTAATCCTAGAGCATCCGTCCAGAGAATAAGGGCAGTAGCATTCGTCGTGAATATTACCGGCCAGCACTTCGCACATTAAATCCTTGCATGCTTTGTCCAGCTTAGTCTTTTCCAAGGTGACGTTCGCAACACTTTCTATTGAATGCAGCATTTTGCCTATGTCTTGTCCCAACATATGCAGAGTGGTAGCCGAAGAGCCCAGCCTTTGACGGTCAAGATCAGTACCTTTGGCGATGAACCAGTTCGTCTTTCCAAGAAATGTGTTGAGGCTGCAAGGAAGGGAGCTCGACCATAGCTTCATAAGGCAAGTCAGACTTTATAGGCATGGATATCCAAGAGACAATCAGACTGTATACCTAGCCGGGAGACCACACATTGGGGCCGTTATCTCTCTGCTAAGATCTGCAACCACTTTTTTCGGCCAGCGAGTGCTTCTACCACTAACTTCATGATTGCTGGATTATTGTGTTTACTGGCAGCTTCCAACACACGGGGTCCAATCCAATATCCGCTAGCATTAAGCAGAAGTTCGAGGCTTTCTTCACAGTTCACTTCACATGCTTGTACAAGACAATTTTGGGTTGATGTATAACCATATTGAAGTAGTAGAGCCAGGCCGGAAGACCACTGTGTATAAGAGCCAATCCAAGCCCGCAAATCGATGTCTTTTTCCAGGACTGACATTAGCTGATCCCTTGACCTATTAATCAAAGGAAGTAGTTCTTCTGGAACATCAATATCTAAGATCAAATTAACTTTTGTTATTCTTTTGTGGATGGAGAAGATTCATACTATGAGGGAAACAGAAAACTTGCCTACATCTAATATATCGTTCAGCATTGAGAGTCCCACTCATCAGGCAACTGATATACTTATATACAAAAGCCCTTTGAAGATGAAAGATTCCACAGTATATCCACAGATTGACCACCACTCCGCGTTAGCTTCAGTCGTTCGACATCGATAGTTTCACACCGGAATACTAAATATCTCACAGATGACGAACATGGACATTCATTGTGCCCAACTCTTCTCATCTCCTGACTTGACAAGTCTCTCACAGTCACCGAGTATCATACTCCGCAAACCCTTCATCTTTGTGGTTCAGACACTGGCCCCGTGCAATCGTTTGCCCGAGATATACCTCCTTCGGATCCCGACAGGTTTGCCCCGTCGCAGCAAAGATAGGGCATCCCATAGTCACGAGGATGCGCCTCACCTTTGTGCAGGACGTAGGGCATTTGGTGTAACGGGTTGTAGTAACATGTATCCTGCACACCTGCAAATCCAGTATATCAGACTTTGTGATATAGTAGCGTTACGTGATCGATTATTGAAGACTTACAGTTTGGGCCATGAAGAAAGTCATGGTATGTTCTTGAATCTTGCTAACTTACATTATATAAGTGCGTAGGCTGATACATTTCAGCCTTGAGAATTAAAATGAAAAGGTCATGTGCCGGACTCACGTGTAGGTGGTTATGGTGTATGCCTTGTAACAGATCGGCCAATCAGTGACATGGGACATGTGTTAAGCCCTTAAATTAATTTAACAATGGGGCATAGGATGTAATAACTAGAATAACACCACGTACCCGTTCTATATAAATATAGGCTTACAATAAGATAAGATTTAATAAAGTAGAAAGCGCCTTTTAAACCTTAGTAAACGCCCTCCAAGACGTCTTGGTCATTCGAGCGATGCCAAGTACAATACCTCCGGCCAATGTCAAACACCCACTGAATATCCAAGTCGAGTTGGCACCCGACGCATCCAGAATGGCACCGGATATAGGAGTCCCAATCAATAATGCAATGCTCAAAATAGTAAAGCACATTCCCATGCGCGTACCTATCACACCAACGTGTGGGGAAAGGCAAACCAGGACCGGGCCTGATAACGAAACAAGGGACCCCGAGAAGCACCCGTACAGAACACAAAATGCCAACAAAGCCCCCTGAGAGTGCACCGCGAGTAGGCAAAGAATCAGAGCACCAGATATGACAGAGCATGGTACTATGATGTTGAAAGATCCCATGATTTGAGAAAGGTAACCCGGAACCAGACGTCCGAGAGTGGAGGACGCATTGATTATTGGGAGAAGATAGAATACCAAACCAGCGGAGACCGTGTGGTTCTGATTGGCAATAGACTGGACGTAAAAGTATGGGGTGTAAAGTCCCATAAAGCAGAGGAACATCCCTATATTGAACAAGATGTACGGAATGTCTCGAAAGGAGGTCCAGTCCACCAGCTTGCGGCGGGTTGCAGGCAAGGTACGGACTCTCATAACCAAGCAAGATAGGGTGAGTCCGAAGAGGGCCAGGAAACCCGCGATACGTACCGACCACGCAAATCCAAGCCTTGAAATTAAATCACGAATGACAATTGGGTAAACCACACCACCTATGCTTGATCCGCATGCGGCAATGCTGACGGCGAATGGAAGCTTGGTGGTAAAATAAGCTGACAGGATTGCGATGCTGGGGACGAAAAGCAAGCCAGCACCGATGCCAACGCAAATCGACTGGGCCAGGAAAACCTGCCAGACTTTCTCGCACAAACTGAGCATCATGTGGCCCAAGACGACCAGGAAGGACCCGATGTACAAAAGAGACAATGTGTGACCCGCATCATAGATAGGTCCAGTTAAGACACCGAGAAACATAATGAGAAATGATTGTAATGAGCCGATCCAGGAAATGGTAGAAGCATTGGTCCCTTGAAGGAGACTCTGCTCGTAATAAGTTTGGAAGACCCCGTACGAGTTGATAATCCCCCTGTTAAAAATTAGAACAATCCACAAAAGGACATCCACAGTCATGTAGAGATCAACGTACCAGGTGTTGAAGAAAAGGAAAAACGAGCCTAGTACCTGGAGCCACGCACGAAGTCCTCCATTTGGTGGCGCAGAATCGTCGGCAGATACCTTTGGGGCATCTGGCGTACCTTCTACCTGAGATAAATCATTCTGTGAAGCGAGCTGGGTCAATTGAGAGACGAACATCCTGAGGATCCCAGACGCAATGGAGATAGTAGTCTTCGCAATCGCAAGGCTTTGAAGAACTGATAATATGCCTTTCAATATTAAATGTTTCGTCGGGAATATCTGACTAGAAGTGAGAATTCGAATCCCATTTTATGTTTATTTTTGTTGCCACAAATAAGAAGACACTTTGAACCGAGCCTGGAGATAGGGCTTAATGGCTCGGGAACTCTAAATTCATTGAAAGTAATGCTTATGGTGCTAACCAAAAGCAAGAAGGACCTGCAGCTAGATCATCTGCTGACGCGCTAGCCTAAGAAGGAATCATTAGATTGGAACTTGGTTGTAAATAATAATTGGAGAAACATTGACGATAATGGTTATTGTGTTTTGTATAACTGACGTCTGGATTTTCTCCACTACACACAATACGTTCAATCTACTTAAGGCGGTGGTTTGTCTTTCCACCATTGCATCAACTAACCACTTTGTCTCATCGTCCGTGATATCTGACACTATCGTGAAGTGTGAAGGATGGATGGGGATTGACAAAGATTTGGCTCAGGACCAAATGGTCTTGCGAAGCTTTGAGCCAAAGACATGGGGAGAATCAGACGTGGAAATTCGCATCACCCATGGCGGTGTCTGCGCTGCCGATATACTGTGTTCTGTAAAGGGGAGGTAAGGATTTCGGAACAAGATTCTATAGACTAAACCAGGTACAAGGGCAGGTTATTTGAGGAGAAGCCGCTTTTCACCGCGCAGGGCACGCCACGTATTAGTGGATTTAAACAATTCAGGGCAGTCTTGGACGGTCCATCCCCACTTTTTGACGAATGCATCCGACATCTCCCAATTCGCTATATCCCACGGCTGACCCCAAACTATCAGCGCTGGGTCATCCACGTCGGCATTCCAGAAGCCCATGATGTCAATGCAAAGTTGTTCATCATCATAAATATTGCCAGCAAAAATCAATCGATCACGCATCCTAGGATGAGGGAAAAAGTCCAACCAAGGGTGATGTGACACAGTGCGCTGTATGGCGGTTGGCTGCAGATGGATTGGAATGACTCGGTCGAATTGCTTTGGCTGAAATGTGCAAAAAGGAGATACTGCATCTGCATGCATCCATCCTTTGATATCCATGCCGAGCACGTTCATGTTCTCAGCCAGTGCACGGTATACATTGAATTTGACCAGCGTGAGTAGATGGTCCACTCGAGGGTTGCCTTCCATATAATCACGGTACGCAGTCAATTCAAATTGGTAGGCGCGTTTTCTCTTACGATGAGGCGCTAGGCGGCAAAGAATTTCCCCTTCATAGTCTCTGGGGTGAGAGAAATTATTTGAAAGGTGGAACGAGGGAGCGTCGTGATTACGAACGCTTTCATTCTTGGCATGCTCTGAATCGTCACCCCTCAGAGAACCGATGACCTTCCAGCGCTTAGGCCGAGTCGGTCCGTCACTTTTGTGGTTCTGTCGCATCCCTAATCATAGTTAAAGTTGATTAGGTCTAAGATACATTGTCCAATACAGGGAGGAAGCAGCTTACTGTAAGCCCGTTGATTGATACGGTTCTGCATCTTACGCCTCTCGGCCCTCATGTCCCGGTGCAGTAAGCCGTGGACATCACAATCTTCTCTTGTCATTGGTACAAGAGCCTGTTGAGCGCCATTTTGTGACATATTGATGGTGGGTCGGATAACGCTAGGGAGTAGTAGTGAAGAGGGAGAAGAGAAGGACGGTTTACGGCAGCATCGTGAGTATACCCATTAGTGGCCCCAGCGGCGAAGATTGCTTATGGCAGTAGCCCGAAACAGTAAGATCCGTCGATGTTTACGCAATTTTTCCAGGTCCGAGTTTTCAAGACATCAAGATAATCATATTCAAGACTCCGGATTGCATCCAATGCGCCACTGCGGGTCGGCGCTTACTAGGCTAACTGTAAGAGGTTAGTCCGGTCATCAAGGAGATTCTCCTTAATGCCTCAGGCTGCTTCGAGATCTAACCCGTTTTGGAGAGATTTTCATCAATCCAAAGGGGGGTGTCATTCGGTGTGGTTCAACGTAGACGTTCCTTCTTCCTAATTGACGAGAAACTTTAATGCTGGTCCTATTATTCCTATAACACTAGCAACCTCATATAGTGCTCGACTCTAGTTCTCGTCGCCCATTGCGATAGTTGCAAACTTGGATCGCCGGCGTATCCGAGGGCCGAATTTTGACAAAAGGTATGGAGCTGGAAGACAAGCCAGAGATAGACAGGCCGGCACACTACTTGCCCAGTGAATTCCCAATTCATCGTACATATATGTGGTGAAAAGCGGGAATGTCGCCCCGCAAAGTGATCGCATCACCGTGGCAGCGGCAAGAGCCGACGCAGCAGAGGTCACATAGCTATCGACAAGATAGTTGACCAATGCTAATGTGACACAGATATTGCCAAACCCAAAGAAGGAAATACCAACCATACAAACAGCCCAGTTGATCGAAGGGTCATTGGTCCATGCAAAAAGGAATAGACCGGTAGGAATCAGAGCAGCCCCAACCTTGCCTGAAGGCAGGCGTGCTTCGGGAGGCAGCTGGCCAGTCTCGGACGCTCTGAATTTCCTTGTATATTGACGATTGATGAAGACCATAAAAGCCGTGGCGAAAAGCATGCCGATTGCAATAGGTACGAATGCAAGGCCACCCATCCCTGGACTCCATCCGCGGACACGTTGGAACACGATAGGTAGTGCTGCTAGTAGCAGATAGGTGGTGCCGTAAAGGAAAGACATATAAAGCGCGAGAACGACAAGGATCGGCTCATTGGAGAGCAGATGCAAAGGACGGGTCGTTGATACTTGAAACTTCTCCGCCAGAGACCCTGGGGGGTTGCGGTGATCGACGCTGCTGACATATAACTTTCCCGTCTGCATCGAAAGCATGGCGGCACGTCGGCGAAGGAGAACGTTACTGAAGGTTTCGGGAACGCAAAGTATTCCGAGTATAAGCATAATTCCCGAGTAGATTGCCAGCAGGCCTTCGACCCATCTCCATCCTTGAGCCTTGCCGAGAAATCCGCCCGCAATGGGACCCAAAACAGGCCCAAGAAAGGTGGCACAAGAGTAGAACACTGCCGCAAGTCCTCTCGTTTCCGCACTGTAGAGATCGGCCACAACCCCTCCAGAGTTGGTGAGAGGTGCACTGCCGAACATTCCGGCCAAAGCTCTGAAAATGACCAGGGAAGCGAAATTGGCGGAAATTGCTGCCGCAATGTTGAAGATAGTGAAAAGGCTGAAAGTGGCCAAGAACACGATTCTCCTGCCAAAAGCCTCACTCATGGGGGCCCACAGCAAAAGCCCTATCGCGAAGCCTAGGACATAAAGCGACAGGCCCAGTGTTGCAGCCTCATCAGAAACTCCAAAATACTGGCAAATTGAGGACAGGTCTCCAGAATAAGCACTTGATGCAAAAGCAACTGAGAGAGTTGACAGTCCTGAGACGACTATGATGCTGATTTTTCTCATCGTACCATAGTTACGGCCATTCAACGCATCATTCACAGGCCAGGATACGATATATGGACTATCGCTAGTTCCATTCCCCAGCCACTGGTGGTCGACATTTCCAACAATTTTCCTAGAGTTGCTAGTGCCCAGCAAAAAGAAGAGCCAGATGCGGTGCCACATACCAAGACTCTTGTTCCGGATCTTCATCGCGGTCTGTGAAACACCGATACCTCAGTATTAAGCCATCGGAAAAGGAAGGTGGTAGACGAGAATTATAAAGTATGGTTTTAATTCATTATATTCTTTGGAGCACTTGCATCAAACGACCACCTGACAAATGAGTTTACCATTTTCGGCTAGTGCAGTAAGCTGTGACTATGTAAAGTCTATCTTCCTTAAAGACAATTAGGGCTCTGTGAGAGCAATTGCACAGCACTAGGTGCTAATGTGCTTACGGACCTACAGAACCCACTCCAATTGTTCAAGTTAGGTCCAGCGGGGAACCTATACTACTTTAATCTAGACCCAAAGCTAAAGAAGGAGAATTAATAGTCCATAAGCTTTCATTCTTTCGAACTAATCGACTATATAGCTTAAGTACTAGACATAGGTCAGCTGACTATATCGTCTTCCCAAAATCGCAACGCGTCGTCCACTAACGGTGTATTCTAGTACTTTGATCTCCTTGATCTTTTATTCCAGATTCTTACTTGTCCGACTGATTGGTAAATTCTAGTTGGTATGACACCTTGCCATTATAAACTAATTAATGGTTTGAATGCCATGATAACTGAGAAACAGCTTCATGAGCTGACGCCTCCGTCGATCAAGGTGTTACAAACTGATATACACCTGTAGTAACTCATTTTACAACTGCAGCACCTCATTTACACGTACCACCTGCCCGGTGCGCATTGACTCATTCGCGGCAATGCCCGTCGCAATCGACCATGCCCCATCTAGATGTGACGCAGCTCTGCTCAGCGGGTCTGAGGATCTGGTGCCAAAAAGATCTTGTAGCAACTGGGGGTCACCACCGCCATGGCCCCCTTCGCCCGTTGGAACCTCGATTTCTACAGGCTTGCCCAGCATTGGCCGCAGGAGAATAGTCCGACTCTCCAGCGCACCCTCCATCGTCTGCTCTCCTCCTGAGTTCACATACGACTGCTCCACCACCTCAACCTCCAGCCTCCCCTTGCTCCCATTGAAGTTCACCCGGAAGCCCTCCCAGGGCGCATACGCAGTAAGACTGTATGTCAACACCGCCCCGGTCTGATACCGCACCATCACCCCCATGGTATCCTCAATATTGATGCCATCCCCAAACACACTCTGATCCCGATAATACCCGTCCTCCCATTCGGCATCCGCGTACAGCGCCTTAAGCTGCTCATTGCCCTCCAAGTCCAGAGCAAAGGGATCCTCCTTCGCTGCCTCACTACCCCGAGCACGAGAGTAAAACTTTGTTTCACCGCGGCGCTCAGCATTTTCCTTCCCATAAAATCGCAAATCGCCCATAGCAACTACCGTCTCCGGCTTCGTCCGCAACCAGAAGTTAACCAAATCAAAGTGATGCGTCGACTTATGCACCAGCAACCCGCCACTGTTGCGCTTATCCCGATGCCAACGGCGGAAGTAGTCCGCACCGTGCGAGGTATTCAACATCCACTCAAAGTGCACCGAGTGAATATCTCCGATCGCCCCCGCATTCAACAGCTCCGCGATCTTGGTGTTATGCGGAGCATACCGATAGTTGAAGGTAACTCGTACCTGTCGCTGAGTGCGGTCGACGGCGTCGATGATCTGTCGGCACCGCGGCGCATCAATCGTCATTGGCTTCTCGGTGACAACGTTGCAGCCACGTTCTAAGGCGCGGATGATGTACTTGTGGTGTGTGCGGTCGATGGTGGTCACGATGATTTCGTCCGGGCGAGTCTCGTCGATCATGCGGTCGAAGTCGTGGGCCAGATAAGTAGGAACGGCGGTATGGCCGAGTGCCTCGATGCGACTGTTTGCATAAGCCAGGCGAGTGTTGTTGGTGTCGCAGAAAGCGACAAGTTGGGCGGTGCTGCCGAAGTCACGCACGATGGCTGTATAAAAGAACATGGCGCGGCCGCCGGTTCCGATTAAGGCGTATCTTTTCATCTTGGGCTCAGTTTTGTTCAGATCATTCATTGTAGCGGTTGCAATCTAGACGATGGAAAGCTTTCAATAGACTGGAATTTGGAGGAATGGAGATGATAGCTACTTTTAAGTCTTCGGGTTGCAATGCCCCGAGGTGATAGATCTGCACTCCCCGCACAGACTTCGATCAGGCTAAATAGATAATTTTTCCATGAATCGGGTATCAGCATATGATGCGGGGAGATCTGGGGTCTGGGGTCTGGGGAAAAGTTCCACTGGCATTTTGATCAGAAAGCAGGCCAGTGATTGTTGTCATTGCGTTGACGGCCCTCGATAACTACCTCCTTCCTATCGGAATATTATAATCCGAAGCTAGAATAAATACCTTCCTCCCCAGGATAATGTCACTCTCCACAGCTCCATTTACTAGTCACTATGGCAGGTCCAGCAGAAACACCCCATGATGATATCACCGCGGTTGAAGACCCCGAAGCCCCCCGTAACCAGGGCAAGGAAAAGGCCGCGCGGTTCCTTGCTTCGGTCGACGAGGGCGAACGGACCTTTACGCCAGAAGAAGAGAAGGGTGTTTTGAAACGCATCGATCGCCGTCTGCTGCCTCTACTTCTAGGCGCGTACTTCTTCCAACAACTCGACAAATCCACGCTCTCCTATGTCTCCATTTTCGGGCTAGTTGAGGATGCCAATCTCCATGGACAGCAGTATTCATGGCTGGGATCGATTCTTTATTTGGCCCAGCTGGTTATGCAGCCTATAGCAGCACTGCTACTTGTCAAGCTCCCGACGGGAAAACTGATCGGCTCGGCGATCTTCTTGTGGGGAAGCTCTTTGGCCATCATGGCAGCGTGTACGGACTTTCCTAGCCTGCTTGGGCTGAGGTTTACCTTGGGGGCGTTCGAAGCAATGATAGGTATGTTGCTACTGAGCATAAAGTAGTAACTAGTTGTGGGGGATAAGATACTAACAGGGCACAATAGCGCCTTCATGTGTGGCCGTAACGCAGATGTGGTGGAGACGAGGCGAACAGACTCTACGGACGGCCTATTGGAATGGAATGAACGGCGTAACTTTTGTCGTACGTTTTCTGCCTCCCCTTTCTACAAATTCAGTGAATAGAATTGACAAGGCATTTGACAGGTCGGAAGTCTTTTCACATACGGATTGGGTCATATCCACAGCGACACACTGTATTCCTATCAGGTAAAGCCCGATACTACAGACCTAACTTGAACTATTTCGGCTAAACTGTGCCAGATTATCTTCATGTTTTGCGGACTACTCACAGTCGCCTTTTCGCTCATTGTCCTCATCTTCATGCCTGACTCACCCATGGAAGCCAAGTGTCTCAACCACCGTGAGAAGATCATTGCCGTGGAGCGTCTCCGCGCAAACCAGATGGGTGTTGTCTCCCGCGAGTGGCGCTGGGACCATGTCTGGGAGACACTTTGCGACATGAAAACCTGGTGTTGGTTTTTCCTGATCGTGACCATCTCGTACGTGACAGTCCTTATTGGAACCATACATATTCATTAACGAAGGAATGCCGGAACTAACGTTATCCAGAATCCCGAGTGGTGGTATCAGCACATTCGGCAACTTGATCATCAAATCTTTCGGATACGGCTCGTTCGAAACTATTCTCTTCAACATCCCCTTTGGCGTAATCCAGGTGATTGCCATTGTAGGCGGAGGATGGCTGGCCACCCGGTTTCAGCGCAAGGGACTCGTGATTGTGGGATTTGCAATTATCTCCGCTATCGGGACATTGTTGATGATTGTTGTACCCCGGGAGCAGAAGGGGGTTCTTCTTTTCGGGTACTACTTGGTAAGCAGACTTCTCTCGTCATCCAACCCGATATCCCATCAACATGACTGATATCAAAGCAGGTATCCTTCCTAGCAGGAATCACTCCCCTAGTATATGCATGGGAAGCACAAAATACCGCCGGAGATACCAAGCGAAAATGTACCTCAGCGGTCGTGTTGATCGGAATGTGCGCCGGGAATGTATGTTTCCCTTCCTTTCCCTCTCTCTCTTCGAGAATATTCATACTCATCATACACAGGTGATCGGTCCGCAGCTATACTCAACATCACAGGCCCCATTGTACCGTCCGGGATTGATCTCGAACCTTATATTATTCGTGATTGTAGGCGTGTTTGCTATGTAAGTCTAGTCTTTGGTTTTAGTGATTACATGCAGAAGCTTACCCTCCCAGTTTGACTAATCTGTACCTCATCTACTTGAATCGGAAGCATGCACAGCGCAGACTGGATCTTGGCAAATCTGCTCAGGTAGTAGATGAGTCTATGCTTAGCAAGCAGAAGGTAGGAAAGGCGGTTGAACTCGAGGATGTCAATGCTGTTCCGCAGCAGAGTCCAACTGAGGATAAGGGGTTTTCGGATACGACGGATCTCAAGAATGAGGATTTCATATATGTGTACTAGCTAGTTGAAATAGTGTCACGTGGACTGGGCTAAGTTTTACTGCTAATAATCAATGCTTCACGTACTTTTTTCTATCAATGGCAAAAGGTGGAAAGACAGGCTCCGAGAATAATGACCATAGATATATGATACCAGTTTAACGAGTACTGAAACGCTCAGCAGAGAATATCAAGCTGTGTTTCGAACTCCATTGATGTTACTGCAATAGATATTCAAAGAAAAGTCATAGAGTTCTAATTCGCCCACCAAGTTGAAATTGAACAACTTTGCCCAGCTGTCTCCTAACCCCGAAGGGCACTTCACAACAGCTGTGGCGGAATATACCAAATTGGGAAACATAGACCTCTCGTTCCACATCTGAGATCGACATAGTTGTCCAGGTGATAAATTCGTTGAATGACACAGAAGAAACCCTTTTCTCAGGCGAGCGACCAAACGCCGGTAAACAAAACGAGCAAATGAAGTCTCAAAAAGGCCAATCCTCCTTCAGTTCCGTCCCATTCACAATAGGCGCTTGCGCTGGGACCATCATTCCATATATCCGTGCCCACTGGTCGGTTACATTGCTCCAACCATGCATCGTTGCTCGCTGGACAACCACATCGCCCTCATTCAATATCACTTTTGAGCCATCGTCTAAGCTCAAAACAACGCTTCCCTTGCCCACTATCACGTAGTCAAGCGTAATAGAGCGATGAAACACTCCCTCTGCTTTCGGGGGCAAATCATAAGCGGATATTCCAGTGCCCGTGGGTGGCCAACTCCGAGGCGATAGTGCTGCATCTTCGGAGCCACTGACGTTTGCGGGATGTTCACTCGTCGACCACAGTATTGTCAAGTTGTTGCCATCTCCCACGGGCTGCGGCGTGAGGTGGGAGTCGAAGGCTACTGTTGCCTGACCGTTGGCGTTGTGGCCGGTCACAACTCGGCGGGGAGGTGGTAGGGATGATGCTGTAGGCTCAGCCATGTTTTATGTAAGGCGCAAGCAGTAATGAATTATGACAGTTAATTCTATAGTGGCAAGAGTTGTGGTTGACTTTTAAATGAGAAGACGGGAACCCTTAAGTCCGCTGTAAAGTCCGACTGCTGCAGATTGCTGACCACTTTAATTGCTATAGACCCACCATCTCAAAAAATTTCATATCCAGAGTTTCGGAAGTATGTCTGTCTGGTGGAGTATGGATATATACTTGATTCGGTCGTGTCCAGAGAAAGCCTGGACAGTGATTCAAGTAACGGGATTAAAGACTTACCCGGACTTATCGGGAATAACCCCCTGGGAGATATAAAGGGATTGCCCACCTGTGTTCATCATTGTTAGAGATATTCGATTCATCTATTCTTGTGTACGAAGACCTCATTAGTATTGAAAATAGTGCAATGACATCCACCAGCATCAACATCGTCTTTGGGGCTATGACCGTCGGCCAAGCAGGTACGTTATCGCGCCCGTGCATCAACCGACTGACTGTATATTAACGATTTATAACGATTTATCAGGTCTGGATGGCTGCCGACAAACCACACCTGAAGAAGTTAAAGATGTTCTAGATGTCTTCCAACGACATGGTCACAGCGACATCGACACATCCCGCGCCTACGGCAACGGCACCTCTGAATCTCTTCTCGGGGAAAGTGGTTGGCAGGAGAGGAACTTACGGATACACACGAAGATATACCCAACAGCAAATTGGTTTGCAGGTCCTGATGCTTACACGCTTGGAGCAGACGATCTGCGACGAGCACTCAACCGAAGCCTTGAAGCGCTGAACACGGACAGCGTGGACCTCTGGTACCTTCACGCGCCGGACCGCAACACACCACTCGAAGTCACAATGCAAGAAGTTGACAAATTACATCGGGAAGGCAAATTTAAGCGCCTTGGGATCAGTAATTTCATGTCCTGGGAAGTCGCCAAAATGTGTGAAATTTGCGACCGTCATGGTTGGATTCGTCCGTCAGTCTATCAGGGCATCTACAACCCACTTCACCGAGCGATTGAGGCAGAGTTACTTCCCTGTCTTCGCCATTACAATATTGCCTTATATGCCTTTCAACCCTTGGCCGGTGGATTACTTACCGGTCGTTACAAACTGGAGACGACCTCCTTCGACGCCGGTGCACGCTACGATCCCAACAACAAGCAAAGCTCCACGATGAATGACCGCTACTGGAACAAGACTACATTCGCAGCGCTGGAGATTATCCAAGCAGCTGCTCAGAAGCACGATCTCACCATTGCTGAATGCGCTTACCGTTGGCTGGTACATCACTCTGTCTTGAGTAAGCAGCGCGGCGATGCCTTAATTGTCGGAGCGAGCAGTGTCAAGCAATTAGAAGGCAACTTGGCTGATTCAGAAAAAGGGCCTCTTCCTGAGGATGTAGCGCAAGCGATGGAGCAGGCTTGGCAGCTCATCCAAGAGCCGATCCGAAAATACTGGCATTAGAATGCGTTGATCGTGTTCTTCTGGGAATCCAAGAATAATAGGAGGATTCTTTTCTATAATGAATACATATATGCTATACTTCCAATTAATAATAAAAAGACAATTTATTATAGGAAATTCCTGCCCAATACCCGTGCTTTTCAATTATAAGACTAAGTGGGCGAGAATCCATGTCCGCGATGTCTCAGAACTACCCGGCGTGAACAGTCATGTCAACAGGTCATTACTCATTATCCCATCCATTGTGCCAGGCGTCAGGCAAGCTGGCATTCTATGTGTAACGGCTTACAGCCGGACTAAACGTTTGCCACTATGTCCTAAGCCCTGCTATTGCATGACAGGAGACTCAGGAAACCCAATGCAACCTCGGTTGGAGCCAGGTACTATAGCTGCAGGACTCCTTTTTTGTTAGGTCAATGAGAGATAGACTATGGTGACTGCAACGTCATTCTGAGAAGTTCCAAAGCATGTGAAGACATACAGTAAGACATTCTTTTGTAAACGTTTCAATCTATACGCAGATGCGGAAGCTATATGGAGTTGGCGTCTGCACGTCGGTCTACATGCCTTAAACGTGAAGGGCCATATTAGATTCAATTATGCACTGCTCCTGCAATACAACACTGTTCCTTATGTCAGAAATGAACAGACGACAATCCTGCAGATCATAGGAGTGTTTTCTGTTTGCCAGATATTTCGCATCCGTAAACCCTGCCTTTTTTGGTATAGAACACGGAAGTCTGCCATGATAGGGAAAGAATACGGGTACGATTGGACTTTACTTTGCCACATATAGAAATGATCGACCACTCAGAAACCGGGGTAGCCGAACTCATCTGCTATCTCTATACTTAGACCCTAGAGAAGAGGTTTCCACTGTGGATCGAACCCCTGCTGAGCGGAAGAAGTGGTAACCGATCGTTTCCACATGGCAGATTATAAAAGATGAGGGTTAGCTCTTCCTCCCGTTTGGTGTTCAACATCCAGCACATCGTCCAAAATGCATGTTGTCGCAAGCACCACTGCTTTTCTGGGTATCATTTCTAGTGTCGCCGGGGTGCAACATGGCAATAGAGACACCAACCAGCAAATTTTAAGTCCCCCCGTACCAGAACCCATTGTTGTCACCGAACTTCCCTTGCCTCCTGTCGCCGACAGTAAGGAGGGCTCTTGTACTCCCGAAGTCAGCCCTCACCGGACCGGATGTCTGCTCAAATCCTCCCAGATCCAAAGTGGAAATTTTCTTCCTGATAACAACCATGTCCTTGTCAGCTTAAACTTCTCAGGAGCCCCAGCAGCTCCTGATCCGGCTAGCATTTATAATGGTACCCATTTGACTCTGATAAAGGCCGATGGGACCAAGTTTCCTAGCGGTGACCCATGGAAGTGTATTACCTGTGGTGTACCGGAAGAAAACAAGGTCGGCAGCACAGAGCTCTCTCCGTACCCTCAAGCTTTTTTGGATGGTAAGAGGGCCCTGATTGGGACTAACATCGTTGATTGTGGCTCGGCGCTGCTCGCAAGTTCTGAGTGTACACCGGATAAAGTGCACATCTACCCAATCCGTTGGAATATCAAGGCAGATGGCTCGGGAGCCGGAGGAAATATACGAGAATTGCGCCTACATCCGGACAATGTGCACTTGGGATTTAATTCCTTCACTTATTCCAATGGCCAACTAGGACAGTTTGGCTACTTTAGTCGACTGGAGTTTAACCCCTCGCCGAAGACTGGCGAGCCTCGCTCAGCCCGATATGATCTGGTTAACGTTACCAGACTCTATAGTCCGGACAACCCACTGCCTATCAGCACAAAAGGCAACCAGCTATTGTTTAACCGGTCGGCCATTGCCGTCGGCGAGCTTCGAGGATTTACCGGACGTGGCAAAGAGGTCACGTATATCGGCAACCCTGTCGAGTCATGCAACATCGACGTATTCGCCGCCGACCTGACAACAGGAAAGGTGCGTCGGATCACAGACCACCCCGAGTATGTCGACCCCATGGACGTCTCTCCCGACGACAAGTGGCAAGTCATCCTCGATACTCGGGGGACTGGCCGGCAGATGTTCATGGCCGGCATGCGTGGCATTCCACCGATCATCGACCTGATAGCTACTACAGTTGCCTCTTCCACTCGCAACAATGGTCCTCGACGATTTTTCCGACCTTGGCTCCTGGATCACAATGGGGACCGCGGCGACTACTACGGCCAGCAAATCAACGGTGACGGCGACGGCAGCCCTGGAAGCATCAACGACCCCAATTGGAACGCCGGGGCAGACCCAAAGTGGTCTCATGACGGCACGCGCATTGCATACTTCGAGAATCTCGTCGTTTCCCCTTCTTGTGGCGGACAAAATCCTCTGCCATGCCCTAATTCCACTGAGCCAGGTGGCCGTGTCACCCGCCTGATGCTTGCTCACCTTACCAGCCGTGAGCCGCTCGACCTTGAACCAGTTGCTCCCATCTCTGATGAAGTTCCCTGGGGTGTTCCATATGTTCCCGAAAATGCTCTACCAGACCGTCCGTTTCCTGCTGAAGGAAATTACACTTTGAAAGGAGAGGTGTCAGGCTCAGCCTCTGTCTCGATTATTCATGACAAGGCCATTCCCACGGCGATCAAAACCATCGCAGTCACCTATCGCAACTATTCCGATGATGGGTTGCATGTTATCGAAGGGTCTGAAAGGTTCACCAATACTGTCACATCAATGACGATAAATAAGGTAGACTGGTTTTCCGACCTTAGGTCTACCGGACAAGTTACCGGAAGCAAGAAGACCAGTCCCGGTGGATTCCATCTGGAAATTGATGCCATGACCAACATCTTCAATGCAAACGGGACCTTGACTACCACTATCGATGGAAAGGTCTGGAAGCAGCCGGCCAATGGAACCTGAAACTGGTCATGCTCAATCATTCACGCTACGGTGATTGCGTCTGGTGATCTCTGGCGAATCGCTCTATCTCGCGTCGAGGAGAGCTGGCTGTGATACTAAGCTGCTTGTATATAACTAGTTAAGGCAGCTTTGCCTGTACATATTCTGTGTATGAAGGACATGTGAAGTTCAGGGTTGCCCCATTCCATCTTTTTCATCATGTTGCACTTGTGATCTTCCGCCATCCCTATTACTTTATAGCAAAGCTGACGTATGTACATACAAAGATGCACCCATGTTTGATTATTCAATTTCCCTACAACTAGATATTCCTCTCGGGATGGGATGCATAGATACAGGTACTAGTATTAGTATAAGAAGCTTCGGGCACACCAACAACGTGGTGGGGTCCAACCATAAACCCCAGCCATTGCAAGATTGGTGTTTCCAACCTTCGCGTCGTGCCCGTCGCAGCATCTCCTGTAGTTCGACCACCTATTTAAGTCTCGTTCCCTCCTTCTGTTGACCTCGTAGCTTTACATGACTGGAAACCTCATGGTGGATTGATTGAGTAGCCTAAAGAGCTTGTACGGATTGTTAGTATTTGCATGAATGATGTGGAGTGCTGAATGAGGGAACCGGTCACAATGCTCGAAATGCCTGTAACTCTCGAAGAGAGCTCCAACTAGAATGGATTTACCATCACTCCCTACCCATTTCCCAGCTAGATACCGGCCGTAATATTGACAAAGGTTATGATCTACGGTCATCCATCCAATTCTCTATATCCCCTATACAACTGCAAGTTGTAGATATAAGAACAAGATATCTGGTCTGCCACTTAACACATAATGTGCATCAACGGTCCTGCAGGTTTAAATACAGATCCCAACAATATCCCACGGGCAGCTAACTGACCAATATCCCACCCCCGGCATCATTCCTCATGCCTACGATTACGACTGGTGCCCGTGTATTCAAATGGTCCAGCAGGTGTCAAAGTGTCGGTGCTCGTCTCTCGTGCGCCTGCTTGCCATCAGCTTAGGGTAAGGGGACGACCGGAAAGGGTTAGACATTACCACCGACTTCGATAGCACTTCGAGGTGACAACGTGGCAAAAGATGTATTGGATAGCTTTAATGCGGGAGTTCACAGATACTAGCTGCTGCAGCCTTGGCCTGCTGAAGAATGTACACCATGTTGCTAAAAACGGTGCATCGTTCTTCGTAGGAAGCGGTCGGGAGCGGCTTGGTGAACTGATACTTGGAATTCTCATGCAGGATAGCAAACAGATATATATCCCCATCACTGCAAAAGCCATGGACAGGAGCCATACGTTGACTGTTGACCTTCCGCTCATTTTGTATGGTCGCCATGTATAGAAGCAACTCGCCCCGTGCCTCTCCCCAGTTGACCTGAGACTTGGCCTCGATGGCGACAAGAAGTTTAATTCTGCGTGTAGTAACATCGTAAGCACCGATTCCCCAGTCGACACGACCGTTGATATGATATATTGTTTTGGCCTTGGAGTTGAAGGTATACTCGACAGACGTGACCAACTTTGCTTCTGGAACTAGGGAAAATTCCGCCAGGGGCTGAGGTTTGAGGCTAGAAATACATGTAGGTTCGTGATTGCTGTAGTTGACGCCAGTGTTGGCCATTGCCAGGGCGGGGATCAGAAAGGCCTCAATCACAGTGCGAGACCTGCGTTCGCTGTAGGCGTTATACTGGGCCCTAGCAATCGCGTCCAGCCAGAGGACTATATAGAGAAATGCCGACATGGTCAATTCAACATCGCCTGAAGGCAGTTGGGCTGGTGTATACATAATAATACATACTGCTTATTTGGGGTAGCTCGCGCGATTCAGCATCCGGAAATTTTAGCGACTCTACCATCTCTTCAAGTTGGAACATCCAGTTCACCTTAACCTCGTCGACGCTATCGGAGGTGATCTGCGCCCACGATTAGCTGTTGCAGTAGACATACCCAACCAGGAAAGAGTATATCATACATATTCACGCTGTTCCAGTCTCTAGGGGGGTTTGAGAAAATCCATAAGCGGCCGCAAGTACGTGAGAACCGTCTGAGCTGGCGTATTTCTCTCCTCGCCAGGAGTGAAGGAATCATTATCGTTGGACAGCGCTGCGACCGCTCGCGTGTATTCGTACAGCACCTCATTCGGGAGCGCCAAGTACACTGCAAGAGCGGTATCGTCGGCCTCCTGGTGTGCCTTGAGTAAGTCATTTGCTGGCAGAGGCTGGTCACCTATATACGCATCGACAAACTCCACAGGTCTAATATTAAGCTCCTGGAATCCCCTCTTCACAAGGTCTGCCACGGTGCTGTTCTCAGGCATCTGTGCTGGAATGGTTAATGAGACTCGAAGTAGGGAGAAGACGAATCGTTGATGTAACATACCTCGAATACAATAGGATTCCCATCGGGACTTCTCAGGCGCACGGTGGTCATATCGGTGTTTATGGAAACTATGGATGTGAAGACTGAATGGCTGCTGTAAGGTGACCGGGCTGTCAATTTTATCTGTCTATAGAAGACGAGAACGGTAGCAGACAAAAGGTTAAAGAGGTGAAGGAAATAGTTTTAATCCTACATGACTCAGAGGGATGGATGAGAAAGGAATGCAGACATGAGTGGACGAGGTAATATGTGAATAAAGAGAGATAAGTGACTTTCTACTTAGAATGGCAGGTTATTCACTGCCAAGTGGCTCGAAACGATCGTTCAAAGCCACATGATGGTAAGTATAGCATGGGTATAAATCAGCCTGGATGCCTATAAGCGTTGATATATTGCTATAGGATATCTGTAATTTATATTATCTTTTTTTCAAGAGCACTGGCCACTAGATTCCTTATTATAGCTCTGATCAATGATCATGTTTCATTCAAAGATCTCGCTTCTGCTTATAAGTGCTTTCGAGTGAGTTCTGAATTGACTAAGAACCGTCCTTAGGCCTTCTGATCGCATTGATAATACCATTCTCGGCCAAAGTATTATTAATTCACTGCACAAAATTAGGATGATACCATTTCATGTACAAAGGCAGCCGTATATAGTGTAGTTCCACGGCAATATGGGACGGGATTAGTTTTCAGGTTTCGAGAAAGCCACAAACGAATTCTTGCACCCAGAGAAGAGCAGTGTCGTCTGGATCGAGTCTGTCCTTTATAGACTTGACGAGCCAGCGAATCAAATCTTTGAGATCTTGGAGGGTTGGACTTGCTATCCTTCCCCAACTCTATAACCTTCAGGGATATTCTTCTGCACGATACGAAACAAAACCAGAATATATAACTTTTTCTCACTTTTTCTTTTCAGTTCTACTCCAGTATACTTGGATTAATCCCGGGCTTCTTTCCGGAAATTGGTCTAAGAATAACCTTGCTACCTTCAACCAAGGTAGTTTCTCGTTCCACCTTAACTTTAGCAGATGGTCCGCCGCTTCAGTTAACCATTGTTTACCCTTCCTGGGGTCATTTTGCTCTCTATAACCATACTGCATTTCAAAATCTAGTGCAGTTTTGTTACGTGGCTGCTTGATCACACCTCTCCTCCATTTCACATGCTATGGACATAGGGAGGTGATGTTTAGATAATGGCAAAGGCAGAGTGCTTGGGAAGGAATCATGTCGAGGATTGTGGGAAGAAAGGCGTGTTGTTTTTTTTATTAAGGTCCACTTTTTATTTCGATTCCCACGTGCGGATCTGCTCGGAAGGAAATGTCATGCAGAAGGTTCTTGATTAAGTGAGATTAGTATGTTCTTATACGGCGAGGATTTACATTGTCTGCGATTTGGCTTGGATTATTTGCAATAGTCTATATTAACCTGGAGTTTAGGCCCATAGACTCAACTTAATTTCAAGGTTGAGAGGTAAACAGTAAAGGGATACCCTCAACTACAAAGGGCATGATGGGACTTAGGGTTGAATTGGAGTATCCGAAGAAACACACTCGTTTCTCTACCATGATTCTATTACGTGTTGGCGCCTCATGGCAGCCGGAATGATAGTGGAGAGGCAAAAAAAATTTGATAAACACGAAGAGGCGCCGAGAGAGGCGTTGAGAGAAAGCGCGAGATCCACACCAACAAACCCATATTGCCACGAGGGAGTTGGCGCTAGAGACAACAAAAAGCAATAACAATCGCGTCTGTAGAAAATATTTGCTAATGATGACACTGTGCCGAAAAACCCAACCAGTGCCTAGCGAACCGGCTCTTCTTCTCCGAGGGTGGGACCCGATAGCCAAGCACTAAAATTCATTAGATCAAGGCCCAGTTTATCGCTACCACGTGGCTGAGACAATCGATTAGCCGATGTCAAACGCTACTGTGGAACTCCATTGGGTAAACCAGAATGGGGAATCAGAGAAAAAGAACGGTAGGATTCGAAATCGAACTAGGGTTAGGGAGGCCAAACGTGGATTTCTTCTTCCGGCCGGGCCAGCCCCGAAAGCATAAAAGTCAAATTAGGAGTCTAGTTTAAATAGCCGCGGACTCTCTCCATCCCCTTATTCCCCCTCTACGGTTCACCATATACCTCTGTCTTGAAGGGATTTCACCATGGGTGTCATCTGGGATCTTCTTGAGCGGGCAGCCTGCCTCGCTATCACTGCTGTCGCTCTTTTGGAGGGCCGCGCTGGTGCCACCTTCCACGGCACGCCCTCGGTCTTAACCGAGCAAGGTCTTGTCAAGGGATTCGTGGAGAACAGTACCAATGTTTTCCTGGGAATCCCTTTTGCGCAATCGACTGCGGGTAAGAATCGGTGGAAGGCTCCCCAGAGCTTGACGAAGTCCGCCACGGCTGAGTTCGATGCGACCTCGTATGGCCCTTCCTGTGCGCAGGCTATGTCCGGCAACAAGATTGTTGCTCAGGGCGAGGACTGCTTGAACCTGAATGTATTATGCCCTGTACTGATGTTGTTTTTTTGGCTATTGGAAACTGACCTAAACTGCTTTGTACAGATCTGGACCCCTCAGAACGGCTCGAATCTTCCTGTGAGTTTCTCCTATCTCCATCGGGGTTTCTACAGAACATTGGCTAACCTATGCACAGGTCTTTGTCTACATCTATGGTGGCGCAATGGTTACTGGTGGTAACAGCAATGCTCAGTGGCAAGGATACAATTTCGCTCGCAAGGACGTGATCTACGTGAACGTCAACTACCGTGAGAGCATTTATGCTTCTCCCAGCGCCCCCGAGCTCGAAGGACAATCGCAGAACTTTGGCATTCTCGATGTCGAGATGGCTTTGCAGTGGGTTTACGACAACATCAGAGGTATGTAGAAAGTCTCCCTGTCCCTCGATCATGGGTTAACATCTCTGCCTATGCAGGATTTGGTGGTGATAAGACCCGCATTGTTTTGGGTGGTCACTCTTCCGGCGCTGTTCATGTGAGTAATTCACAAATCCTTCGCCCCAGATGGGTAGTCGACGCGGAGGATTGTCCCGGGTGGCTAATTTTATCTTGTTGTAGGTTGATCATTACTTGTGGAATCATCCCGAGACATTCCTGGCGGGTGCGATCGAAATGTCGGCGAATGCCGAGTCGGGACCCGCCATCGCCCCTTCCGGCGTTGCCTTGACCCAAGTGGCTCAGGATATTGAAGCCGCCGGTGTTACACTCAGCTGTGACTCCAGCAACCCTACCCTGGATTGTCTTCGTGAAGTGGATATGTACTCTATCCAGACTTCCTACTTCAACTCGACCTCCAACACCTGGTTCTCCCCGATCGTGGACAACATCACCCGCTTCTCTGACTACAAGTCGCGCTTCGCCGCTGGCAACTACCCCAAGTCGCTTCCCTTGATTGTCGGCAACTCCGACCAGGAGGGCAAGCTCTTCGGTATGGTTTACTCCAGCGAGAACACCGATTTCTCCAAGTGGATTAACACCTTCGATGCCGACATGGCTCATGTGCCTGACGACGAGCTTCTGGCCGCCTACAACGCCTCAGACTATGAAACGGTGTCCCTCATGAGCGGCGCCTCCTACGGAGACGCTCGATTCTTCTGTCCCACTGACTACTTGATCGACGTCCGTGCAAACGAGCAGCCTACCTGGGTGTACCGTTGGTTCGGCGATTACGACAACGTCATAGGTATCCCAGGAATCGGCCCATCGCACGGAAGCGAGGTGCCCTTCTTCCACGGAGGCAATGAGTGCTTCTCGAAACTGACCGACGTTACAGAGGCGGAGCAGGCGTTGGCTGATTACATGAATAACTGGTTTGTTGCCTGGATCAAGAACCCCAGCGCGGGACCTGGCTGGGACCGAGCCAAGCCCACCAATGGGCCCTTGGCTAAGCTGGGTGTTCCTGGCAAGGAGTTGGCGATTGAAATCGGAAGTACCGGCGATTACAACGGCCGGTGCCAGTCCGTGTTCAATCCCAACATCCCCAAGTATCCCGTGGTCCAGAACCCGGTCACCCTGGCCGAATCCTCCTAAATTTCTTATCATTCGGCAATTAGACATTAGCATCCAGCATTAATAGACATATACCCATTGTACAGGTTTAATTAATTGGCAATAATAAATTAAAGCACGAACATTACCGGTATTTGCGCGTTTTACTCCATATTAAAATTTTCCAAGCAGGTGGGACACCAATGCGAATTGCATGATCCTCAGGCAGACCAGGGGACCAGGCCTTCCTCCATTCACGCTAAAGAAAAATCGTGCATGAAGAATCTCGTGTAGAAGGATCGATTCAGGAACAACGCCACGTGTTTCACTTTAGGAATGGATCTTCATTCTCAAGCTAACGATCAATTGGACGTTAGATAGTGGGGCAAAGGGCCAACGCTCCATAATCACGGGCGATTCGGTGCTGAAAAGATTTTTGGTCGTTGCTAAGGTCGCACCCCTAGCTAGCCCTAACTTTCAAAGTTCAACCACCACACCTTGTTCCCGTGTAGAAATTTAATTATAGCTCAAAGAAACCCTTTACAAAATAGCATAGATACGTTAGCCAAAACTATAAACTGGATTACTCGGCGGCAGATACGGAAAGGATCCGTGTAGGAAAAGGAAAACTAGGCAGAATTAACGGGGCAGTTGTATTTCGTATGTACCCAAAGTCATTCTGCCGAAGTTTTTCCTATTTAATGACTTGACTGCCTAGTCTCTTGTCTTGGAACCTCGGCATATGGAATTTCTAGAATAGTGCTCCATCGAGATCGATCGTTGTCCCTGCATTGGTGTGTTGAACTCGGTTGGTCTAACTGGTTTTCGTGTTTTCTCCTGTCTCTAGACTGCCTCCTTTCTGTTAATTTAGTGGTGTCGGTCGTCTCTCCCTATATCGTAAATATCTCCATTGTCGCATTACAGTGTGTCGATAGCCTAGTTAGGGACCAATATTAGGTCTCTCCACCATCAGCTAATATTTGACTTTCATGATACAGATCTGCGCAGGGTAAGAAGTGTATTTGTAAAAATCAAACATAGAGAACAGTGTAGTTGGCTGGTTTGTATGTCGCCGAGAAAAGGGAAATTAGATGCGTCCCGAAACCACAGCACAACATCGGAGGCTATGTAACCTCGCGTCTCATGTTGGAGATTTGGAGTGAGGGTAGTAATCAACTCGGGACATGATTTCATGATCCAAGCCTGTGCTTCCGGCACTGTCCGCATCCGGCAACCTCGACATACTTTGAGTGGAAACTCTCCACTCCATCCAGTCTCCCGAGCTGTTGGAACCGTGGAAGTTTAAGCAGACTATTAGGCCCTTTCCAAAGATCCCACTCACTCATGGAAAACACATCCCCATGCCTACCCAATAGTATCGGTGATTCCCTAGTGTGTTCTAGCACTGTCTAAGATTAAGCTTCGCCATCGCGAGAGTTCTCTATCGAGCCATGCTATCTGGACCAGTGGGAGAGAGGAATCGATTCGCTGTGCGCAGGCAGGATTCCACCAACTGTAATTGAGTCGCAAAAACAGGTCCATATTATCAAGGTTGGCCTTGTTAAAAAAAATCTGTCTTCCGCACACTTACGTTACAATTGAAGGCCCCTTCGCTCTCTTTTGCCGCCCATACGGCATTCACTCGTTCCAATTGCTTAAATGGCAGTCCATCCTTCGTTCGCTCTTTCATAACGGTGGGAACGCCTGCAGATCGTCCCCATGGCTCACCCGGGAGTCGGACAGGTGGTATGTGCTTTTTTTTTCCTTTTCCCTCCTCCGCTTTTGATCGGCACGGGAAACCGGTGAACTGACGATCACTTCTGGCGCGTACACAATAGGTTGGATGGTACATCTGTACGATTGTCGCTTGTGCCTTCTTCGTTACACGGTTAGTTGTGCGATGGCGGAGGTTCAGCAAGTTTTACGTCGACGATTACCTCGTCGCGGCGGCTTGTCTGTGTTTGATCGGTGATCTGATCATCCAGCATTTCATGTTCAATTGGGGTAGGCTATAACTTGAGTTTGGATATGCATGGGGAAGGTTTTCTGATGATTCTTGGCTGTGTAGGCATGACGGACATGGCCAATGCGTCAAAATCGGATATGATCAATATGATGAAGGTTGGTGGCAGCTTGGATAACCCGGTTGTGTCGCATGGCATGTTGACCGTTTGTTACAGATGATCATTCCAGGATCTACTCTCTATGTGACTTCTCTATGGTTGATCAAGGCTGGCATGGTTCGTACCCTTCCCTATCCTTGAGCGCAATGGAGACAAGGGCTGTTGACTAACTAGTTGTGCATGCAGGTTTGCTTCTACAAACGTCTGGCGGATCGAACCCACTACCAACGCATCTACAACGTCGTCCTCGCCTTACTTGCCGCGACGTGGCTCACCATCTTCCTTAACATCATCTTCAAGTGCTTTCCTGTCGACCGCATTTGGGATATGGATAACCCGGACCGTGAGCTTTGTCCGATCCAAACATCAGTCAATATGCGCAAGCTAACAATACGCAGGGGCATGTTCCAGCAAACAGAGTCGGATCAATTACTGGATCACCATCTTGTGTATGTTATCGCAGCTTAAATACCTCTCCATTTAAGAAACCCTCACTAACATCAATCTCACCAACTATAGTTAACATCTTCAGTGATGTAATCAGTGAGTTACTCATCACCAACCATCCAACCCCAGAAACAACACTAACAAAACACGCCAGTTATCTGTCTCCCGATCTCCCAAGTGCTCCGAATCCGTATGCCATTCAAGCAAAAGCTCGGCGTGATGTCCATCTTCCTGCTGGGTATCCTCGTCGTCATCACCAGCAGTACGTTACGTCCCATCTCTCCCCTCCACTCCTTCCAATCCCAAACTAACCACAACACAGTAATCCGCGCAATCTTCGCCTGGCAAAACAAACAAATGATAACCTGCACAGTCTCAATGATCGAAACGGCAATCGCCATAATCGCCAACTCACTCCCCGTCCTCCGGACTCTTTTTTTTGGTTCGAAGTCCCGCAGCGGGACATACTACAACAACAGCAGCCGAGCATACGAGCTCTCCCACTCCAATGGTCCCGGGAAACAGGGGCCCCTGAATAAAGTGACGGCGTCTGTGGCGTCGCATGCTGCTACGGATGGGCATGGTACGCCTACGGGGCTGTCGAGACACGATTCCGAGGATGAGTTGGTGAAGGATGCTGCTTGTTCGCCGGTGGATGATCATGCGGGTATCTCGGTTACGACGGAGTATCATGTTTTTCATGGGAGGTATTCGTCGCCGAGTGTTAATGGTAGACAGCATTGATTCTACTCTTCTACTCTTAGTGGTTGGGTTCAATTGTAAAGGTTGTTTAATGGTGGTATGTGCGTAGTAATTGACATGATGTGTATGTGTATCTATCATGAGATTAATGTAATTATGTAAAATGTCCTACCCGGTACTAGGGAGTACAAATGTGGAGGTCGAATAGGATACTAAGGTCTAGTATGGCAGGGTATGTCTCCTGAATCTCGTATACCAAGTTTCGTTGCACCAGTTTAACAGCCATCGCTTTAACATGACGAATGACACGGAGATAGGAGGAAAGGACAGTGTCACCAAACCGACCTGTGCCTTACCATTTTCTGGGTACTAGCAACTATACATGCAAAATGATTTGTTCGAAGCATCAATAATGCTTGTTCTTTTGTTTCTCTTCTCTGCAGGGTGGTCGACAGGCAAATGTATACAATAGAAGCATGAGCCCTGACCGCCTTCTGCATTCTGCTTACCTGGGTATTTGCCGGCAGTTCTTGGGTCTAGTCCTAGAATGGTAAACGGGGCTTTGGAAGGCGGTCAGCCCCTAACACGAATATTATGGACTTGGGTTTCGAATGATAAATCGAGAGAAAAGGATGGGCGAAGGGAAGATCTGGGGAAGAAGATTAAATAAAAGAGAGCTTTAAGCTTATGCAATGAAAGATCAGCAGGGATCCAAGAAAAGTAAGATTTGGTAGTGATGAAGTGCATAAACGACACTAATCATGTTCCGTTGCGATATATATTCTCTCAACCGCCGAGTTAGAAAGCATACGGAAATTGGGGTCGGCGATGATAACGCTGGATATTGGGCTAACTACGGAAAATAACGTAGGAGTAGAAGAGGAAAAAGGAAAAGGTTGGTAAAAAGAAGCAAAAAGAAGAGGAATAAAAAAGAAAATGTGAGAGAAAGAGGGTGAAGACAAAAAGAGACAAATGTTGTAGAAGAAAAAATTTAGCGCGAGCGACGCAGGGATCGAACCTGCAATCTCTAGAGCCGAAATCTAGCGCCTTACCATTAGGCCAGCCGCCCAGTTGCTGTGATGGACTAGGTAAATATTTAATTTATAAACGCATGTTCTTTTGTGTTAATTTTACCCAATACCAATTTTCATCTTATTATTCTGGATACAGCCTTTTTTTATATGAATTGAAGCTGCTATTAAACCATAACCTATAGCCTTACCATGCTGTACTAACTCCATGTATCATAGGTATATGTCTAACCCTGATTATAGATCCGTACTGTTAACCGGCCACCCGTTGATCACGGTATACGCATCTATTGGTGTCGTGCCATGCAAAACATCATAATGAGTGCGATCTCCGCAAGTAGCTTCATCATGGGTATTTGAGCATTTACCCTGCAACATCGCAGCGATTTGCTCGCCCGCCTCCCGGCCCTCAAACCACGCACCGTGCAAAAACCCGAAATAAGATGCGCTGGTCGCCTCTCCAGCGAACCACAGCCGGTCTACGTTTGCGCGTAGATTCTGGTGCATTTCTAACGTGGTTCCCACTGGCCAATTTGAGTAGCTGCCATGCGCCCAAGGCTCGCTGTTCCATCGAGGATATACGAATGCGGTTGGTTCGGGTATTTGCTTCTCTGGAAACATCTCGCGGAGGACAGCCAGAACTTCCTCTTTGGTCTGCTCGTTGGACTGCCTCTCTACACGGTATGCTTGCTCTTCTACGACAGTCACGAACAGGATATTAGACCCAGGCATGAAGCCGTCTTTCGAAAGTGATTGGAATATCGGGTAATACCCGCGGGTGGTAGGCGACGCATAGAGGAAAAACTGTGTATCGGTCGGCCAGAATGCCTCATCAAACTGCATAAAGATCTTAGTGTATGTTCCCATGCTGAACTTCTGAATGGCCATTTGTTTCCATTTGGGCAAGGCCGGGTGGAACTGGACGACATCGTTCTGCAGTACGCCTAGAGAAAACGTGCAAATGGCATATGCTGCACTAACGCAGCTGCCATCACTGTTGGTGATTTTGACACCTTTTTGGGAGTATGCAATATCGGTCACTTGAGCGTTAAGCCAGAGCCGACGGTCTTGGACCTCTTTGTGGAGGAAGGTCGACGCCTCGCGTTCGATGATGGTACTGTATCCGCGAGGATCCACGACCATGTGGTTAGCTTCACCAAACTGGTTGAATGTGAGATTCTCGGCGGCTACTCCGAAAATAAATGAGCTGGCTTCGGGGCTGGCTGCGCATTCGCAGTCTGTTAATGATTGGTTAGTTAGGGTTTGCTGCGAAGTCTTGTCCTCCCATGCGCTTCGTACCCCAATTCCACCATTCCACGGCTTGTGCCTTCATATCGTTCCGCCGGGGGTTCCAGCCCGCCATGGCAAATCCGGTACGCGCATTATTATCTTGGATGTTGTCTAATAACATCTGTCCCGCATCTCTGTAGGCCACATCCTTCACGTTGCTGAAGGTGTTTAACAGGTCTTGGTAGTCGTTGTAGCCGGTCTCGTCATATGTCAGGACGGAGCTGGGATTGTCCGGTGTGTTGTTGAGTCCATGCTTTTTAGCCTGCCAAGGTAGGATTCAGTTAGTTATATCCATGGAAAGAGATGAAAATGCATGTTCCATACCAGTGTTACGAGTGGGTTTTCTCCCTGAAGTTAGCAAAGACCAAATACATAGATTATGGGCGCTTACCTGCTATACTTGTCCCAACTCCATGTAACTGCGCTTGTAACTTAGCAAAATTGCCTTCTAGCTTTTGGAAGTTTACATGAGCCATACCCAATTCGCACCAAATTCTATCACGTAGGGCTTTCCATTCTTGTCCTGACCGAAGTCTGTACTCCATACGCGCCCGCCAATAGTATTTCGATACTCTAGAATGACGAAGTCGTGAATCGATGCGTTTGACAAAGCTTGCTAGTCAAATAAATCAATGAATAATCAACCCTATCTTTCCTTTCCGGGACTTGTTGGCAGCTTCGATGATACCACTTACTGCTGCTGTGATACCGGCCATCCCACCTCCTCTGAGTTAGGTTAGACCTCTGCGACAGCACAGAAAAAGGGTATTATTATCTTACAGGATCGCCACTGTAGTTTCTGTGCATATTCTGTCTTCGGGTGGAGGTTGTGCGACATGAGCGAAGGCCGACTGTATTGTTCCCGTGGCTAATAAGAGACTCGAAGATATTGAAAACGTGAAATGCATATTGTCTAAAGTCTACACGATGTTTAACTCTGGAACGGAATACAAGAGCGCTACGCAGAGCCTTTTGTAACCACTAATAGGCTGCACTGGGCAAGATATATCTGGTACATATGACCTCCGCTTGGCGTTCAGTGACTGGTACAATGGGTTATCTCTGCACCAGCTCACCAGATCGCCAGCGAGGCGATATGCAGCAGCCTGTGATCAGCAGGACAGTCTTGGCATGATAATCGGACTAGTCAGGACTTGATAGATGTTTAGGCTGGTTGTCAGGAAGTTTAGCACGAGATGGGTAAGTCCAGGCGGCTTGAACCTCTTGTCATGTGGCAGGGTTGATAAGCATTTGACTTGGCCAGTCAGAATGCTTAAATAGTGGGTTAATTAGTTAATTAAGAGCTAACCGCTGGCTCTGATCAATAACCCCTTGGATGGGGCCCACCTTAAGCGTTAGTTGGCAAATTAAATCCATTGCTGCAGCTAAATGACTTGTCCTTTATCAGTGCCAGTTCCATCAAGTCGGCAAGCCCTAGCTTCCCCGCATCCGAGGTTGGACATTCCGTTTCCATCTTGGTTTCTCAATAAACCAAGGTACAATAATTAAATATTAATACCTGTCCACTCTGCAAGTATGGATCCACCACACAGCACCCTTTCTCCCGTACATACTTTCATTGACCGCCATGGAGGAATCAAAGGTCGAATATGTACCGGAAGACGATGCGCAGCTGGCTCGTATGGGCCATAAGCCGGAATTGCATCGGAACTTTTCCACCCTGTAAGCTGACCCCAAGGATCTGGCTGGTCGGATAAATGTTGATTTGTGTTTTTTTAGTTCTATGCTTGGCTTAGCATTCGCGGTACTTAATGTAAGTGTTTAAGCCACTCTGGATTAAGTCCTCACTAACGAACTATAGTCTTGGACGGCCCTCTCTGCGAGTTTATCGATCAGTTTGACATCGGGTGGTAGTACCAGTGTGATCTGGGGTGAGTTTCTCAACACAAGATTATTGTACATCGCTGACGATTTGTAGGTTTGATAACAGCTGGCACTTGCAACCTGTGCATCGCAGCATCCCTGGCTGAATTTCTCTCGGCGTTCCCAACGTGAGTTTCTTGGCAATTTCGAAAAGCAAAAAGAACAAACGAAGAGATACGAGGCGAACGAGGGGGGCTTACCTGTGATCGCATCTGTAGGGCGGGTGGACAATATCACTGGGTAGCTGGTAAGTAGGCCATCCCTTGCATACAATCGTCTCACTAATGTCGTCAGTTGGTATGTTGGCTCCATACATTAGGTCCTTTCCGCATGCTAAACCGGACAGTGTCTTGGCCACAATGGGTTCCAATTCTGTCCTGGATTACCGGCTGGGTTAACGTTGCGGGATGGGTAAGTGTCCTACTGGAAATTGCACTCAGGGGCGAAGTTGACTCTATAGGTTGCTCTGGTGGCCACCAATTCCCTTCTTTCTAGCCAGTTGATCGCGGGAATAGTCTCCGCGGTTTACCCGGTAGGTCTGTCTTTTCCATGTTAGCTATCTCAGTCACTTATTGTGGATAGGATTTTGAATGGCAGCGATGGCAACAGTTTCTCATCTACGTGGGTATCACATTGGGTGCATTTGTGATAAACGCGTTCATGAATTCCGTGCTTCCACTCATATATCGTGGCGCTTGTATGTATGTGTTGTGGCTAGATACGATCGGTTCTAACCTAGGTAGTTACTTGGTCGATTGGCGGTTTCGTTCTGGTTTCTATCACTGTGCTGGCGTGCGCTTCTCCGGATTATAACTCTGCCTAGTGGGTACTCCCTCGAGATTGAAATTCATTAGCTAATAGGTTAGCTTCGTATTCTGTGACTTTGTGAACCAAACTGGTTGTGAGTTTACGAGTTCCGAGAGATAGAACGTCGCTGATGATCAACAGGGCCTGATGGCGTGGCGTGGCTACTGGGGGTTTGTCTCTCGTCCCGAACTCGGTAGAGAATGAAACATGCTAATTACTTTAGCTTCTCCAAGGAGGATTGGGAGTCACCGCATTTGTAGGCTGAATCTACCCTGCAATATCTATCCTATTGCTAATATTTCTAGGATGCCGTGGTACATATGATCGAGGGTACAGCAAATCCGACACTACATCACGAGACAAGACTAACCCTCATTGAAACACAGAAATCCCGAACCCATCGGTCAAAGGACCTAAAGTTATGTTAACCTGTGTTGGAATCGGTACCTTCACCGGCTCCGTCTTTCTCATCGTCCTGCTCTTCGTTGCAGGCGACATCACCGATGTGGTGAGCTCAAAAGCAGGACCTCTGCTGCAGATTCTCCTCCACGCGACTCAAAATACCGCCGGCGCGATATGTCTGCTCATGTATGTATTTACTTGGCACCACTCGAATTAACCAGGGAAGCTAACGTGATAGGCTACCTCTCGTTTGTCTGGTCTTCGCCACGCTCAGCGTGATGACAACGAGTAGTCGGATGATTTTCGCATTCGCTCGGTGAGTTCCTCCTATAGGAGTTTCTACGTTAAGGACAAGCTACTAACTAACCTTGTCCAGAGACGGTGGCCTCCCTGCATCGCGATTCTTCGCTCACGTTCATCATAGACTTGGACTACCATTGAATGCACTGGCATTAACCACATTAGTCGTTATTATCTTCGGTCTGATTTTCCTCGGGTCTTCAAGGTACAGTCCATATACATCAGTATTTGATGCAATTTGACTAAAAAAAAAAAAAAAACAGCGCCTTCAACGCCATCGTCTCCTCATCCGTCGTAGCATTGGATCTCTCCTATGCCATGCCGATCGCAGTCAACTGCATCCGTGGACGGAAGACATTACCCGATCGGAAATTCCAGATCCCGAATGCTATTGGATGGGTGATTGATATTGTAAGTTTTCCTATCTTCTACTTTGGTCTGATTCGTATATATGGGGTCAATTAATGATGTTTGTGTTCTAGATATCCCTGTCTTATATTACTCTAACGACTGTCTTGTTTCTCTTCCCTCCTTCTCGCCCGGTGACGGGGAGTAGTATGAGTAAGTACATCCTTGAGATTATTTAGTTCTATCTGATGTGAATCCTGACATATGTAGATTACTGTATCGTTGCATTTGGGATTATTGTCCTGGTGTCAGTGGTGCAGTGGATTGTTGATGGACGGAGGAATTTCACGGGGCCTAGGGTTGAGAACTAGATCTAGGTCTGTCGGTATGCATATGTAACTAAATGCCCTGGATAAAGTGGTAGAGTGGTATCTGTTACCTCTCAATGAGGGGTATCTTGTCCTTGGGTGCGACCTTGCATGATCTTTATGACTGCGTGACGAATAGACTCCGAACGGCGACAGCAAAGCTGTGTATACTACCGAATCAGAGACGTCTAAGATGATCTTAACCCAGTGTATTACGAAACTACCATAATGAATGGCCTGAGGGTTGCAGCAGACGTACAAGGCAGAGAGGGTTGATTCGACAGTACCAGGACAGACAACCATTGCTTCAATCACTCAGACCAAAGACCATCTAACATAAATTAAGAAAAGGGAAAAAATAGATATAATTAACTCATATGCCAGCATACTACCTAGATCTCAGATCTCACGTTAACTGAGAAAAATAAAAACAAAATAAAGCGAATCATCTCGCTACAAACCAAGCAAGCACCCAAACTCCACAAATGCAGTATACTATCCTATCAGAACCAGTCCGAGATCATGATCATTCATTCAGAGAATCAGAGATTACTGAATCTCATAGAGGGCGAACGCGCGCTCGATATCTTGTAAGGTCTCTTTGTCTCCGTATGCATCCATCAATGCTTTGTTTCGGAGGAGGCGTTCTGATTCCTCGGGGTCGTAGGCGGGAGTGGGGGTGTTGTAGTAATTGTAGACACCGAAGCCTGTGATTACATCGTTAGATAGATATTCCCGAGGAGTTCATTGAGGGTGAAGGAAGGAGAGGAGAGGAGAGGGTGGTTTACCGAGGGCTATCATTCCCATGGTTGGGAGGTACCTGCATTCAACTATTTGTTAGTATATGCCATGTCTTGCTATGATCAATGAAGTAAGGATATAAATGAAAAGAACATACCATTTACCAATATTCCCCTTAACAGGAGGAATGTAAACAGGCCGCTTGAAGTGCGGTCGCTGTGGTGCAGGCGGGGTGGTGGAAGTATCCATGGGGTACGATTTGTTCTTTGTATGGGGTAAAACTTGTTCAAGTTAGGAATGGAAATCTTGGGGAAATTAAAGTTCTGAATGGGGTTGACGAGAACATTGCTCTACATTTATATCTGGTTAGCAACATGATGGAGTCGGAGTTGTGGAGAGTCAATGATGTGATATGATTCTTAGTGTGGCATGATCGGGTGGAAATCGTATGATTGGAATTAAATGATCTTCAATGTCGGTCATGAAACTGATCATCATGACATTATTGATGCAATGATAACCCGATCTACAGATTCCGCGATTTTACCCGTGTACTGTGTAATAGAAAGACATCTGGTTCTAGTACAGAACGTTGAAGTCCGGGTCGTCGTAATTTCTTCGTCTTAACTTTCGCTCAACTACCGTGGTCTCTACCCGTCTCGAGAGGATCCATGTATATGCATCTTTAACCGTTTCGAATAAGACTCTGGCCTGTGGATCTTCGGCAATCATTCTGTTTTTTTTTGTCTCTTGATGACATTCTATCTGTTTGTGTCGTTTTGAGCTCGTGTTCTCCACCCCTCGATTTCCTAAACCATGCTTGATAACATTGAAGGGCTTTATTGAAATTACTAGGAGACATGACAGCTACGAACACAGGTGAATAGTGGCTACAAAAGCGATGCGCTGTGGCAGTTCGCTTAATTGGTGATCCTATCGTCTTTCACTTATTATTTCTCTTCTATATGCTGGGATGACAGTTTTAGCGCTCGGGTGGAGATTCTGCGAGCACCCGCACAACTAGGAAGCCAATAGTTATGCACTACTTGGCTGATGGCATCCTGATTGATTGATCTTGAAAGATCACATGTCCAACTACCTGTGGAAATCATTACATATCGTTATGAAGGCATACATAGGACTATCCAGTGCAGTCTTGCTAGGGCATCGGAATAGGTATATGGACAGGATGGAACCACGTCGACTATCCACGGAGATATACTATATCCAACAAATATCCCGGGAAACAGATGAAAAAGGGTGAAACGAGGTGAATTCCACAAGGCTGAGAGCACGTATGCAGGTCGATCGAGACCTAATGGTGGGGTTACACTCAGCCTCGAGGTTCAAACATCAAATTGCTCACCAGCACTCGAGGTCATACCTGTGTCCCAGATATATTTTATCAAAATCATTCGCTGTACCCATAGCTTCTAAGAGGACGGAAACCACACCCTCCAGTCTCCCCCCATATCATTATTCTCCGCTACCGGAAGGCTATATCCGCCTACTTGTGGAATGAGAAGAGTTCTTTGAATAATAAGTCTATATGGATCTAGATATACTCGAGAAATTTCGGGCATCATCGTATAGGCCAACGCCTATCATTCCAGATACTTCTCGAGAATTCTCATCACTTCTTTCAAGTATATCTTACTGTTCGATGGCTCTTCGAAGCTCTCATTGAAGCTGGATAATATCCGCATTTGGTCTTGAAACGTGTAAAGGAAAGCATACTCATGCCGAGAATTATGTCCACCCCAGCTTCATATCACAGACAGTGACAGCACCATACCTGTGATGTATGTGTTACTCGACAATTCCTAGGCTTGGAGACGAATTTGGGGCTCAGGACCACCTCACGCAGTGCAGAGATCGACAAGGCGGCTACAGTTTGATGGTCTGCGAAAGCCAGTTTGGGCTATATGAGAGCTTGGTACCAGAAAGATTCTTATGACTTTATGCTACTAGTACTCTCCGACATTATAGAATGGTCGGCATCCCTAGGTACATCTGTAGCTGTTCTGTGACAGCCTTGGGGGCCAGGTGTTTATTTGGCTTCCAATTAGCACAACCAATTGATCCCAAGACCAACCCAGATTTGACTACACCGAGCGATTTGATTTAGCCATATCTCTGAACAAGATCCTTTATGTCGTTGAGCATCCTAGTGACTTTTGTTAGGGTGATTGCGTCAACTGGCATTGGAGGCAACTCTTACTGCTCTCTAAGTGTGTGGTTTTCTGTGAAGAGGGCAGAGACATGGGTGTTGAATCTCCTATCACAGTGTCAACGCCCAATGACAGTTTACTTTCAGGCAGTCGCATGCTCACAATTTGTACAGATCTAGACGGCCATCATAATCTTCTTCAGGTGCCGATTTCTGTACGTACGAGTGATAGGCTGTCAAATATTCGTTTCCAAATCGGTTGCAAATAGGCCGCCACTGGCCAAACTCATCTACATAAAGTCCGACATGTCAGCTTAAGCATTATAGATTTGACGGTTAAGTCATATAACATACATTCATTGTGTGCGTAGAAGGAGCAAGCGTCAAACACGAGAGACTCGCCAGTTTTCACGTCAATTCCAGCGTTTCCATACCACAGATCTCCGTGAACGAGGGAGGGTTTTACAGACCGGCCATCTGACTCAAGCGGACGCAATAGACGCGGAATAACCTTGTCAAAAAGGATTGGGACTAAGTGATCTAGTTCTGGGTCTGGCCCCTTCGCCGTGATTTCCAGATCAAGGGCCATCTTCATATTTTTCGCGAAGAAAACCTCCCAGCTATCTTCCCACTCATTAATTTGCGGTAGATTACCGCTGTATGTAGCCATGTGGAAGCCGAATTTCCCCGTCGGTGATGTACTGCTTTGATGGAGAGCCGCGAGGCGTGCAGCAAATTTATGCGGATCTGGCATCTCATGTGTCATCTCTCGATACTCACATAGAAAGAAATGAATGTCTGGTGTGTTTTTGTACGTCCCCCATGCGATCGGCTTCGGTGCGAAGTCTGGAAGCAGGGTATATATGGCCTTCATTGATTCGAACTCCCCATGTACCATGTTTTTGCCTCGTTCTTCAGACACAGTCTTAATGAAGACTGATGTTGATGTTCCATCATCTAATTTGACATTTATGCGACCAGTATGACCCCAGAAGCTGTTTCTATGGCTCTCGGAAGATACAACATGGCATCCTTTTGGCAAATCTTATTAACCGTCAGTATTTTGCATATCTGTGCGACTATACTGAACCTCACGGGCTACGACGTTCGGATCGACTGTGGTCTCCCAGTCACGATTCGAAACATTGTCACTCGTATCTCCCATGACTTGGGTATTGGTCTTGTGCTTAATTTGAAGCTTAGGCCCGATATAAGGGAAGTTCCGCAATTTCCTTGATAAACAGACCAAGTAATGTGTCAAACATGGGAGATTCCAAGGCCGGTGTCATGGGTGGGACAGATGCCGACTGTACAGGATATGAAGAAAGAAGAAATTGCTACGGATCAACAGAAAGCGGAGCGGATGACGCCGGTTCTTGTACTCTAGCACAGTGGAGCAACGTACAAAGACGTTGCGAATCTTGTAAGCGCCGTATAGTGGGTATCCCTAATTCTTGTGCCCCGCAGTAGCGACTTTAAAGATACGATGTTCCATCCCCTCCATAAATTTAACCTGAACACCTGCATCCTCCAATATACTTCGCCCAATGTTCTGAGTAATGAATACCCCTGGTTCTTTGATTCCCACATACACAACTCTGATTCGGCTCGCAAGTCCCATAATCCTTTCCGTGCAAGTTTTATTACCGCTCAACCTCCTGCTGCATGGCTCCATGGTAGTATAAAGAATTGTGTTATTCGGCAACACTGTATCTAACTCTTCTTCTGTCACATTGTATCTTTCAGCGACTTTGATCAGACAACATTGCTCCGCATGTGTGTTGCCAGGATCTCCGGGTCTGTCTCCTGGCAGTTCCATTGAATAGCCAGTTGATAAAATCTCGTTTCGATCAACATCGACTAGTACTGCGCCCACGCAAAACTTCGTCGGGGCGGGAGGGGACAATCGGGCTTTCTCAAGGGCATATTCCATATACCCTTTGTGGTCTCCGGCTGCGATGTTTGGGTGACAGGATGAGGATGTCATTGTCTTGTCAAGGGTAGGAAAGTGAAGTATTCTCAAAAATACTGGGCATGTTCACATAATTTTTAACGGAATTGTGTGGACTTCGTCAAGGAGAATCACCCTAGTCAGGAGGGATGTGTTACCTTAGGCTTGGGACTGTCACGGGACCGTGGGGATGCCCTAGGATATATACTAGGATATATACCCCCAGTCAATTACGTTCCCGCAGTCCCTAACAATATGCTTTTCTTCTTCTTTCTCTTTCCCACCGGGATGAAAGGACTCTATCTACGCTGTCAAGTGTGTCTACTTCTATTAGCTTCTTTGTCTCTCGTTCAAGAATCCTTGCCATTATCTCAAGGGGAGGTGATACTTGGGTTCTAATAAGAATCACTGCGTCAAAGCCTTGTCTTTGGTGAATAGACACAAGACTATTAATTATCCCGAGATCTACGGGATTCACGGAGAAGTTGGTTCTCAACCCTCAGATCCATAGACGCATCTTAGCCCTATTCAAGCACTATCATTATTTGAGAGATGCACGAGGAACCAGATAATACACGAACTCAGGAAGCTCTAGACAGCACAGTCTCGACCGAACAAATATTGCCCGTGTAGTATATATGGGAGAACAACGTCTCACAGTTAATTAGTCTCACATTGAAGACAGTGTTACAGTGTAGATTGATAGAGTTTTGTTCGATTACTTCCGACCAATAATCACATAGAAAAAGGACAGTTCGGTGCGTCTGTGGAGATCTTTTAACCATTTTGATAATGTTTCACTGGCTGATCGCTCACGTGGGGGCGTTCGCCCTCATATCCCCAGATGCCGGTTAAGGGACGTGCGAGGAGAGGCAACCATTTCAATCTCAGCCGCGGAATTATTTGTTTCAGATACGGTACATTTTCTTTTCAATCGTTCAGCAGTTCTCTTCAAAAGAGATTCCTTCGAGATCTCAGGCACGTGCATGAGGGGCGCCGTCAAAAGCCAAGAGACGCCGGTCGGATTAACCCCTGCCGATAATAAAAAGGATCCTATGGGAAGATACGAGGAACAGCCATCGACATCACATCACAGGAGACTGTCCACGGCCACGGTTGCACTGTCCAATGGTGAGATGCCATCGTCTCATTTGCCAATTGAACCACGGACACGACGAGTGCAACCCTCCTTTAAATTACAAAGAAACCTAGAGGAACCAAACCTTGGCTCTAGCCCCACTAAAGAAACTACTCTATCTACCTTTCGTTTATTCGCCGTTCCTTCATTATCTATTTCTTGCTCCGATCGCACTCTCAATAGCTGGAACATATTCAATTGTGCTTGTGGACAGTGATATTGTGTATTGCCGACTGAAGGCCTCTTATTGACTGCATTGGGACACAGCTAGTGTATCTTGGTCTCAATTAATTTCTTGTCTTTCTCTCATATTATTGTTTACTTCGTCCGGCTGTTGCGTGCCCAAATTCCTCTTTCGCCCCTTACTTAATTGCCCTAAGCAGCCAGCAGCTTGCATCAATTCTGTACAACCAACGGCCAGCTCTCGATCACCAGTCGACCTCAACCAATTGCACCCCTTGCGCCACTCCCCAATGCAACTGTACTTTTGCTTATCGTAACAGGCATGTTCTTAAAATCGCTATTTTCTCCTCGGCCGGGCAATTACGAATTGCTTCGGCCCGTGCACCACAGCCCTACGGAATTCGCCATGCGAACGTCAAAACCAGACAAGGTCGTCACCACCGCCGCCGATGGAGATGTCGCAACAGGCAATTCCGACGCGGACGCGAGAAGGCTGGCAGAGATGGGGTACACACAGGATATGCAGCGGAACTTCTCCGTGATATCGTTACTGGGTGTGGCCTTCTCGCTGGCTAACTCGTGGTTCGGTATCTCCGCCTCGCTAATCACCGGTATCAACTCAGGAGGAACAGTATTGACCATCTACGGAATCCCCTGGATCGCCTTCGTCTCAACCTGCGTCGGCGTCTCACTGTCGGAGCTGGCCTCCGCCATGCCCAATGCCGGCGGACAATACTTCTGGGCCGGCGAACTCTCACCAAAAAAATACGCCCCATTCGCCTCGTACTTAACAGGATGGCTCGCATGGGCTGGTGCCATGTTCACCTGCGCCAGTGTAGCCTTAAGCTTGGGCTCAGCCGGTGTTGGCATGTGGCAGCTATCCCATCCAGACTTGTACGTTCTCACACCAAAAAACCCCCCAAACACTCCGAAGACCCATCTAACCAAAGCCACAGCGTCCCCAAACCCTGGCACTCCGTAGTAGCGTACGAAGTAATCAATCTCTTCGCTTTCCTCTTCAACTGCATCGGCAAAGCCCTCCCCACAGTAGCCACAGCAACCCTCTACATCTCTCTCATTTCCTTCGCCGTCATCCTCATCACCGTCCCCGCCGCAGCACCCTCCCACGCCAACGCCAAATTCGTCTTCGCAAACTTCGTCAACTCAACCGGCTGGCCCTCCGACAGCCTCGCCTTCCTCGTCGGCCTCATCAACCCAAACTGGGTCTTCGCCTGCCTCGACTCAGCCACCCACCTCGCCGAAGAAGTCTCCCATCCTGAACGCTCCATCCCCATCGCCATCCTCTCCACCGTCGCCATCGGCTTCACCACTTCCTGGTCCTACTGCATAGCCATGTTCTTCAGCGTCACTGACCTACACCAAATCATAACCACCCCAACCGGCGTCCCTATCCTTGCCCTCTTCTACCAAGCCCTACAAAGCAAACCAGGCGCTATAGCCCTCGAATCCCTCATCCTGATCACAGGGATAGGCTGCCAAATAGCCTGCCATACATGGCAATCCCGTCTCTGCTGGTCCTTTGCCCGTGATCGCGGTCTTCCCTTTTCATCTTTCCTTGCGAAAGTCCACCCTACCCTAGACGTCCCCCTCAACGCCCACAGCACCAGCTGCTTCATCGTAGGACTCCTGGGTCTATTATATCTCGGGTCTTCAACCGCCTTCAATAGCATGGTCACGGCGTGCATAGTACTGCTGTATACAAGCTATGTGGTTCCTGTTATTGCCCTCCTGTACAAGGGTAGGGATAATATCACCCATGGACCCTTTTGGTTGGGGAAGGTCGGGCGGTTTTGTAATTGGGTTGTTCTGGGTTGGACGGGCTTTTGTTTGGTCGTTTATTCGTTTCCGAGTGTTTATCCGGTTACCACTGGGAGTAAGTTTCGTTTCGTTTCTTTCTTTTATTTTGTCTGATTCTTTGGGTTGGGGTTATGGTTGTGAACGATGGAATATGCTAACAAGCAATACAGATATGAACTACGTTTGTGTAGTATACGCCGTTGTCGGGTCTATCATTGCTATAGATTGGGCTGTGAGAGGGAAGAGGACGTTTCGGGGACAGTGTACTAGACATCAAGAGGTGGAGGAGCATGTTGAGGGACATTATGTTGATTAATGATACTGATTTTTTACTCTTGATGGATGATAAAGGTATCTGTGGAAGGTAAGTTTATTGGATGGATGGTTTGCATTAGATATTAAGGTCAGATTTCATATTCACAGGACAAAGCGTATAATACATGATAATCCTCGACTCCGTTACGTTATTTCCATATTGGTCACCTCGATATCCCCCAGACTGTGTATCTGGATCTTGGGATCGTATATCATATATACCATACCAATCGAGGAAGTGTTGTCTTGTTCTTCTGTCCATCTGGGTCTCCGGATGGATTCGACGAAAGAAAGCTTAGAACAAGCTTAGATGTACTCCCAAGCAGCAACGGGACCAGTGTAAGGGGCAGCGACAGCCGAGAAACCGAGACAGTCTCTGATGTTACCGGTGGGCACGGTGGCGTTCTTGGAGGCAGCGAAGACCTGCCACTTGGGGTTGCCGGGGACAATGGTGGAGTTGCTGGTGGGGCAGGCCATGAAGCCGTTCTTGTAGGTCCAGCTGCCGAGGGTGCCGTTCTTGCCGGGCTTGTAGGCGAAGCCGTCAGTGGAGGAGCCGGGGGGAGTGTAGCCGGAGTGAGGGGTGGTGAAGGAGAGAGCGCCCTTGGGGTCGACGTAGATGCTCTGGCCACCGGGGACGGCGACGTTCTGGAGTTCTAGTTAGTGGTTGGATGCTGATATGGGGTGGAAAGGAACACCTACGAGGTACTTGTCGCCGAGGAGAGAAGTCTCCTTGCCCGGGGGGCAGGCGCCCAGCTTCTCGACGTTCTCGGGGCAGTAGGTGGCGGCCTTTCCGCCGAGGTAGAAGTGGGAGTTGGCGGCGTTCAGGGTGAGGAAGTGGATGGGAGAGGCGGAACGAGCGGCGACGACACCGAAGGCATTGGGGTCATTCTGAGCCTTAGGGGCAGGAACGGAGGGGAGAGCAGAGACTGCAGCGATGAGGGAGGAGATGGCGAGGAACTTCATTGTGAATGAATGGTATTGTGCTTTGTTTATGTCCGAGATGGTTGGTCCTTAAAGATAGATATTATCGGTTTTGGAGATGATGGGTTGAGCGGATGGGGTCGCAGGGGTTTATTTATACAGGGCATTTCAGTCTAGAAAATTCGGTCGCTCGTTATCTTGGTCACCTCGCTCGTGTTGTGCCCGGTCTCATATTTTGCAGTAATAGTGAATGATTTTTCGCATGTGGCCAGGCATCTATGTGAGACAGTCTCCACCACGGACAGGAATTTGCCGTCCGGAAACTGCGGTTAACAGCAATGATCGGCCCGATCGGCAGGCCTGAAGGATATCGGTCGGCCCTGTGGGTAATCTCCGCCGGAATATCACTGGCCACGACTCAGGGTCTTGCCTGTTTCCTCGTGCGATAGCGCGTGGCTGAGAGCCAAGGAAGAAGGGTTCTCAACGGGATCTGTGGCACCTCCGTTGCCGATGATGTTATGTGTCATGGCTGTGCAGCTTGCTCTATATATATCTGTAACTTCTATGTGCATCGGATAAAAAAAAACAAAGTTAATTACAAAGGTATGTCGCTTGCTGTAAAGGGTAAAAAGAATGGGCATCATGTTTCAGTACTTGCCGTGCAAGGGCAGATCCCGTGAGCTCTGCCCGACCCAGATTTGAAAGTCACCGTCCGGCATGACCCAATTCTGTTGGCGAGCACTCCAGTAACTGAGATCTTTGCGGTTCAGAGTCATTTCAACCGTCTTCTTCTCGCCCGGTTCCAAAGCAATCTTGGTGAAGTTGCGGAGAACCCTGTCCGGAAATTCGACCGGTTCTTTGTCTCGCACAAAGGTCACCCTCTCCCCCTTCTCGTCTACCGGCACCTCTACTAGGTCGCCGTCTTCCACCACATTCGATGGGAATGATACATAGGCTTGGACCACGGTCTGACCCGCGCGGGTGCCCGTGTTAGCCACTTGAACTTGTACTTTAGTCATTTCTTCATATAGCGACGGATTTCCACCAAGGCCGCCTCCTGCTTCAGACGGCCGTTGGGGCAGGTCATAACCGTCGGGGTAGTGTGTATAATTTTCTGCGGCCGTGCCGTCCAGCGATGGCAGATATGAGTAGACGTACTTGCTTAGTGCGTGGAAACCTTCCGGGAAAAGCACGCTTTCGTTTATGGGTGGACGAGTGTCATACTCTGGCGGGGACACTGGGTCTTGCGGCCGCGACTTTGGCAGTCGGGACTTCCATTGCATCGACTTAATCTGGAGCTTAGACAGCTCGAAAGTGGAGTAGGAGAGACCGAAGCCGAACTCATATCGTGGTGTGATGTTAAATTTGTCAAAGTACCGGTAGTCAATGTATAGCGCGTCCAAGAAATCAACTTGCGGTACCGGCGCATTGTTTTCATATAGCACTTGTGCCCCTGGTCCGTAGTCCTCCAGGCTCCTTCCAACTGTATACGGCAGTCGACCGCTCGCGTCAACGTCGCCAAACAGGACATCCACTAGCGCATTGCCGCTTTCTTGACCGGGCAGATGGGCAAAGAGCACCGCATCCACACCGGGAAGATCAATCCATGACTCCACAACGACCGGGCCGACGGCGTGAACCACCACCACTGTCGGCCCCGGACAGTTGTTAGCCACAGCTTGAATCAAGGTGTCGCCTCCTTTCTGCAAGAATAAATCATTCCGATCACCGTGGATTCCCCCAGCGGAGATATACCCCTCGCCGGAGTTTGCGTTGGCGAACACGAGACACAAATCTTTATCTTGGATATTCACGGGCATCACCATATTCTGCAGATATGGAGTTATCTCCACATCGGTCTCCCAGGCACCTTGCAGAGCCTCCAGAGGACTCACGAGGAAAGGAAATTCCACAGTCCCACTGCCCCACCCCGACGCCAATGTCCCCTGACTGCATCCACGATCAGGGCACGCATTCGGTCCTAAGGCCGGGCCAGCATCGTCACCATAGATCCCAATGCGATAAGGATTCGGCGGACTACGAGACAGCGGTAGGGTGTTATTGTTGTTCTTCACTAGGACGATGCCTTCCGCGGCTACTTTTCTCGCGATGTCCCCGTGTCCTGCACCAGCATCCACGTACTTGTTAACAACACCCCATCCTCCTTCCAGGTCATTGGCCTCGGCACTGCCCTGTTGCCACCAGCCGGTTTGGTCATCCGTCCAAGAGGAGAAGTTAGGACCGCCCTCACCGTCGGGCGATGGCCGTTCCCATTGGTCCTGTCCGAGATGGTACCATGCCGCCACGATACGGGTTGCCATATCGTTCAGACGCTCCATGGGGATCGACGTGTTGAGCACGGCACGGGTCAGTTCGCTGCCCCACAGGGACTTCCCGTCCGCCCAGTGCAAGCCGTCGCCGGGCATGCTCATGTCGAGCCCACCCAATGCGCTGTTGATACCTGATCGTTGAGCCAGCCAGTCGGACTGCACAAACCCCTGGAACCCCAACTCATCCTTGAGAAGACCATTCAGGAGTTTGCTGTTTTCGCAGGCGTGACTGTTGTTCACCATCTGATATGCGCACATGACGCTGGCTACGTCTGCGCGGATACTCTCCGCAAAAGGCCATGCAAACACTTCATGCAAGGCACGATCGCCAACGTTCGATGACAGCGCGGTCGGAATTCCCCATTCAAAGGGTTGGCGAAAATGCTCCTGCTCGTTCATCACAAAGTGTTTTGCGGTAGCCATGACGCCATTACTCTGAATGCCCTTGATGGTCTCTGCCGCAGCAACTCCTTGTAGCACGGGATCGGAACCGAATGCCTCCCAGTTTCGTCCCCCTGCGGGCATCATTCCGAGAGGTCCCATTGATGGTCCCAGAAGGACATTGACGCCCTTCAAGCGTGCCTCCAACCCCATCGCAACCCCTCGTTCCCGGATTAGGTCGCGATTCCAGGTGGCACCCGTAGTCAAACCCGGAGGGAAAGCGGAAATGTGATCCGCATACCGTATTCCCATCGGCCCGTCTTGTAAACATAGGGAGGGGAAGTGGACAGACTCAGCCGGCCCTAGATATATAACTTATGAGTAACCGCTTGCGCACAAGAGATGAAAAGACATACCCGTATTACCCACACAAAGTCCCATCCGCCAACCGGTCCCAGTTGTGATATTGACCTTTTCGATGAGGGTCATACTCCCAACCAACAACGCTGCTTTCTTATAATCCGCTGCCCATTCCTTCAAGGCTCCGCCCCGCGGAGTAGGGAACCACGATTCCGCCGGAATCATCGCCTATGACTCGTCAGCACGCCCCAGTATGTCCCCCATGCAATCGTTCTACAAGCGACAGGGCGACAACATACATAATCCAGCTCGTCCCCAGCCTGCCTCGACCTCGCAAGGCCCAGGAATATCAACACCAGGAGGACCAAGGCCACCACGACCCCAATCAGTACGCGCCACCAATATTTCGAGTAATAGACCGTCCGCCAACCTGTGCGGCGATCGCGTGTCCGTTGTAGTAACCCCTGTCTCTGTCCGCTTTTCACCCCGAGACCATATCCATCCGAATCGTCGTCATCGTCATCCAGGTCATCATACTGTCGACTTGCCGAGAGCAACTCCTGCTCTGCCTCGGTTATACTGTCTAGATACGCTTCGACATCGCCGGACTTTCGCACGACAGGCACATAGGCGAAGGCTTGATTATTGCGGGCTCCGTTGCGGTCTACGCGACGGAGTTTGATCTCGGAGCTGTCGTCGCCACCAGCAGGGTCGGAGAGAGGGAGGGAGTCAGCATCCGAGCCGTATTCTCTGTCATTGAGCTCTTCGGGGATCGATTCGTGCAATGGAGTGTATCGCTGAGAGCTGCTGGCGGATGATGGTGTATCCCGGAAAAGGGGAGGAGGCATGATGTTTAAGCGCGTGAAAGCATAGAGAAAACGAGTGTAAGAAAAGAAAAACGAAAGCACAAGTTAACCAGGCGTCGATACTTCACCTCCGCACATTCAACAAAAAGGAGAAATGAAAGTGCAGTTTGCAAAACCAGAAAGAGTAATGATTGTTCACTGCCGCCAAACGGGCCAGACCCTCCATGGGCCAATCAGAGGGCGTACATGTCGGAGATTACGCCATGAGGGCCGATCGTCTTGGTTGGTTTAATTGGGATGGGGTAACTGAATTCCACGAAGATCAAGATACTCGGGCGAAACGAGGAAAGAAGGGAAACAGTCGAGGCATACTAGTAGACCATGGTGAAAGAAGAAGAGAGAATCCGGGGAAAAGCAAGTGCAAGGGTCGGAGACATTAAGCTTACTCCTTTGGGCCATTTGATGAAGCTTTACTCATTTCGTCCTAGTGCAAGCTAATTAGGTATGGCGCATTGCTTTGCATTGGACCCTGACTAGTAGTATATGGACAGTATATAATATCAGTCTTTATAACTAGATAAGTGATATTATTAATATATTTCCACGTAACAACACGGATACCGATGGCTTTATGGTACGGCCAGATTGTAGTAACTGTACAACCGCTGCCCATTCTATCTTAGACCGTCGTGGAACAACAGTAGGAGATCTTTAGCAAAACAATTGATCCCGCTTTTCTTACCGGTTTCGATTTGGTGACCGCTCTTTTCTCCGTCTGAATATGATGGTGGTGTTGTTGTTGTTGAGCGTCGGTGATCGCTTCGTTGATCCCATTCTCACGTCTTTTTTGCTTCCCATCTGGGCATCCTCACCCTCCTTGTCTCGTTCGTGGACTTCCTTGGTAGTGAATTGTCCGGCCTATCGAGTTCTCTCTGCCTGGAGCTCCGTCCCTCCTCCAGTTTTCGAGAGCGCTGTCGCTCGTTCAGCCTTCTGACATTCAATCACGGCATGAGCTATAGCTGATTGCAATGTGCGCTCTTCCATCGTTCGTTTGCGCTGCAGCTCAGCCTGACAAGAAAGCAGGAATTATCTTACTTGAGTTGCTTGACTTGTCCGAACAGCCGACTCGCGCAACCAGTCCCGCAGCGCAAACGATTTGAACAATTTAAGCAAATCAGGCATGGTTGTCAATAGGACAAATCGTCATGATCACATACTCAGCATCACCCACCGTACTGGGCTTGATACCATCCAATCTGGTCAGTCGGCCACTTCAACCAGGTTCGTTGTTGCTCGTTGAAGGACCGGGAGATTTCGCCCATCACATGTTCTGGCCAACCCTTCACAAACCAATAAGAATTCAACTGTTGCAGCAAAACTAGGAAGTAGGATAGCAGAAGCAATGCAGGCCATTTTCGTTGTTGAAGATCAAACACGAACTCATCGGGGAGCTGGTAAAGCCACTGGAATGTTCTGGCGCATCGCTGGCCCCTGCCAATATCTGTCTTTCCGTAAACATGATGGAAGGTGTTTGTCAGACAAGTGAGTACGTGTTTATAGGTAGCATGCGTGACACCGCCACTAGCAGTGCATTCCATCTCAATCAATTGCTCACACTCTTTGAGGCGCTCTTTCCATTCGGGACCGAGGGTTTCGTGACACAGACGCGTTTTGCCATGGAGTGATCTCTCTTCCGTGGTCGACTGCGGGCTGGAGACTGGATCTATGTAGAAAACGTCTCGCGACGCTTCAGTTATAGATCGGATTCCCCGTAGTAGCATCAGCCATTCTGCGCGGTCGGAATCACTAAAGGCAAGGTATTCCCCATCTCGGGGTCCCTTTGCTAAGGAGCATAAGCATATCAATACCGAACTGCCATACACCACGTGGCATGTACTTTCTTTCAGTTCAGCTATTGAGGAGCTCACTTGGGTGAGTGCAATGTTATAATGACGGTCGCCTTCCAAGCTCCGCCCATGTGACACACCCATCCTCGGCAACCGAGCCATATGGTAGCCCGCAAAAGCCAGAAGCAGATGTAAGATATAATGGAAACGAAACCCTAATTGTGGGAGAGCTACCTGGAGTACATGCATTCCCTCGTCATCATCGGCTAAGGTTGCTGAGGTGACCGACAGATAATGATGGAATAGCTCTAGGTCAGTGGTGTTGAGCTGTAACTGAGGAATAGTAGGCGTAGGGAGGGCCTTAGCTAACGCTGACTTGGCGTTGGCTGTCTCCCTAGCGGTAGCTTGTCGCCGCTGATACCTTCTTTTCGGCAATTTGAACCCTGTTTTGGAGGATGATATAAAGGTTAAACCATTATAAGGCAAGGGCGTTGCGCGTTCCACTAGTGTTGAACGCGAACCGGGAGTTCCTGTTGACCCTGTGGATACTGTGTCTGATGGAGCAGGCTGCTGGACAGTGAAGTCGCAATTCACATCGTGGCTGATGCACTGCCCGCATGCAGGCTGGACTTCATCGCACTAGAAATTGTTAGTACGTCTTTGGGAAACGCATTCGCATTGGACACCTCGGTGAGTATTTGCCACTCTTTTTAAGCACTTACTTTGATTCTGCGCCGCTTACAATTTCCACATCCGTTGCGGGATTTCCGATGAGATCTGCGGGATCGATTTGTCCGTTTAGAGTCCGGCCTCGTCTCCATCTTCTATACGCAGGGCATCTACAGGAATAAGACTAGGAAGTTTGAATGTTGCGCTTGAAAAGGTTTATTCAATTGAAAATTGGACCATTTCAAGCGATGGGTCCGCGCATTCGAAAACAGGCACGATTCCATTTCGGGAATAGCCGCTACCGTACGTTTTGAGGGTTGCCTGGTTTAGTCTCTCAAGAAAGAGTCAGTCAAAAGTAGTGTGATCCGTTGAGCATATACTCGGTGATACTTAGGGTTAAAAAGCTCTTATTGGCTCTCCTGTTGCTGCGGGATCTTCCCTCCTGAACAGAAAAACAGCTGTGCTTGAGAGGGTTAGACAAGTAGTTAGAAAACAATCCGTTACTATATGGAATAGGGCTAGGCTACAAAGCTTAATGGTTTGGTGGAGCTTCAGTTCACAATAAAAACTATAATAATCGAACTACAGTCCTTTACGTCTGTATTTGGGGATTGGTGTCATGTCTCTACTGCTACTACATAGATCACGCTACGTTCGATAAACAAGGCACGCGCCTTGTGTATCATGCTGGGGATCTATGTAGGGATCAGGTATTCAAGGCGAGACCTTGGCGCCATAAGGTAGTTTTGGTCGAGTGGGATTGACATGTCATCATGTATCGCAGCCCTACGGATAGAGATCCAAGAGAGTGTTGAGGAGAGAGTAACAATCCACAGAGAGTATCCCTCATCCAGATGATCGATCCACCAACAGAACATGCTCATCATCCCATACACCATTACCCTTAAGCCGACGGACCTCCTGCACGACTCGCTGAGGTTGAAACGCCAAAAGCAACGTCATAATAATCCACATAGGCATCGCATCAAAGGCATAAACAAATATCTCATGAGAAACCACAAACCCGCCACTTCCTTGCAGATATTCAAATGCTCGGACAATACTTCTGACAAGCAACAACACAGCCGCGATCTCAATAGCAATAAAGACACGTTCCCACCGAAGCGACACAACAACGCAAGCCAATCGAAGCCTGTAATGCACATAGCCACAGGAAAAGATAAAAGCTGTCACGGCGATTAGCTGTGTTAGCAAGCCGCCAACGATCAGTGCCTTGCTTTCGGCTATTTTGCTCATGTCCTTTGATGTCATGAGTCCGGCTCCCATAAACTGGGTCAGTATACAGGCTATGTCCACGAACACGTAGGTCTTTGTCATCCAACGTGGGCTAACCCACGAGTGATGTTGCCCGTCCAGCGCAATGATCGTTCGGCCGGCAGTCATGTAGATTGATGCTGCTAGTAATGGTGCTGCGACAAGGAGTAGGATAGTTTGTAGGACGAAGGGACCTGCCTTGGCAGGATCGCTGGCTGAGGCGGCGCGGCCGTAGTATCCGAAGGTTTCGCCTAAGAGAGGTTGGGGTTAAAGGCTGATGGCTCGTTGTGTGTTAGACTTGGGGCAGATCCCGAAAGCATACGTACATATACCGCCTAAGATGAAGGGAATGAAGTGCCATGCGCGTAAGATGATAAGACTAGAGAGGATCTGCGCAACAGTCACTGCGCCAAAAAGAGCGACAAATACGAACCCCGCTGCTTTGTTAGGCCGATACTCATAGAAAACAATTTGCGTGCCATTGACCACAGGTCCATAACCATGCTGGGTGCTCATGATTAGGGGGAAATCGGAAACCGTGCAAGAAAAACAGACATAGAACGGTCAATTTAGAGGCCGCCGGTGTGATAATTGGTATGTGGCGACAGTTTGCGTTCTTATATGCTCCAAATCTGCGGCGATCAGTCTCGTATAACATCTCATCAACTTCCAATTCTGGAATTAAGCATAGAATAAACGGGATATACTGCCATTCCCTGGCGTCTGTGCTTTGAAAGGAGTTCTTAGGGCTCCATGGTGGGGTTGCCGTATATGGAACATATCCGTAATCGGGTCCTAGCAGATGCTTTTCCCTTTCCGGGTAAGGCGCGCTTCGAAATATAATCTGCAGATATCCTACGAGAAAAAAGAATGAAGCTGGGTCCGTGGAAAAATAGCTCCATGATATGAGGTCATGGTAGTACTTACACCTTTCTCAGGCAGGCCTGTCCTTATCCATGTACGAATACGATAAATAGCCCCCCTTCACCCCATAATGAATTGACCCGTCCCAGAAACCATCATCACCCATCATGCTTCGCCTCATCTCTCTATTCCTGGCAGCTAGCCGGCTTACCACTGCATTGGAATGCAAATGCGTAAGAGATACCCTTCCTAAAGACCCCTCAAGCATTTTAAATTCTCACGCGGCCTAGTCACTATCAGACCCATGTTGGCCATCCGACTTAGAATGGGCTTCCCTCAACGAAACAATCTCGGGTCACCTCATTCGGACAGTGCCCCTTGCAGCAGTATGCTACCAGACCGAGTCTGTCTATAATTATGAGGCTTGCACTACTGTTCTCGCAAATTGGACCACTTCCGCTTTTCATTCTGCTGATCCGACCAGTATCGATGATCCCATGTGGGCGAATAATAGCTGCAATCCCATATATCCAAATGGAACCAGTCTCACGGGTAATATCCGGGCTGGCGAAAAGGGTTGTTCAATTGGAAACTATCCCCCGGTTGTAGTGAATGTAACGGAGCCTGGCCATGTGCAAGCTGCGTTGAAGTTTGCAAAACAGTGGAATCTGCGGTTAAATATCAAGAATACTGGACATGGTTCGGAAAGAAGGTAAGTTTTACTGTATTCTGCGCATTAAGTTATTCTATCTTGATATCATTTCTTGCTGTCTAGCTCAGGTTGGCTAACTTTTTAATTTTAACTTGCTTTTAGCACGGCCCATGGAAGCCTGTCGTGAGTGAAGCCTACCCATTCAATAAGATAATCACTCATCGTTAACCTTTTTGTAGGATCTGGACCCATAACTTAAAACAGATCCAATTCCATGAGAAGTTCCAACCTCAGTCATGCAAGACTCAAGTAAGGGTAAACGAAAGTGAAATGGCAGTCACCCTAGGGGCAGGTGTACAAGATGGAGAGCTGTTTAAAGCAATGGCGAAGCACAACGCCATCGCAGTGGGCGGAACAAATGCTGTATGATAGACATCTCGTGCTCCCAGATGAAAACTCAAACTCACAAGAATGAATAGGACGTCGGTGTCGTGGGATGGGCAACGGGTGGTGGCCATGGCCTGGCTACCGGCAAATACGGCATGGGCGCCGACAATATCATCGAGGCAGTCATCGTCACGCCAGCAGGGGAAGTGGTAACGGCTAATACTTGCCAAAACACAGATCTCTTCTGGGCCATCCGCGGAGGCGGTGGAGGGACGTTTGGTGTTATACTGAATGTTACTCTGAAGGCGTACCCAATGCCATTGGCGACTCTCATAGATCTGTCATTGTCAGCTAAGAATGAAACTCGTCCGTCGAGTTGGTACAGATTTCTTGCCCAGGTCCACAGACACTTGGATCTCTTGCAGGAGGCTGGCGTTCATGGGTACTATACGATGGGTGGAAAGTCTCTGGGACTGCAGGGCGCTTTGCTCCTTTATGATGGCAAAAACAGCACAGTGGAGGAACTTCTTGCACCAATGCGGAGGTTCTTTGATGCTTCTAACGCAACAGCTACCTCGAGCCTCAATCCACTTGTAACACTACCGTGGTATGAACTTGTCGAGATGATGCCTACTACCGAATCAGTAGGTATGAAGCAAAGTGTCAGAGCATCTCGGTTTATCCCACGGCGGGTAGTCAAGGATAATATCGACTTATTTGCAGAGACTCTAGAGGCAATCGCCTCTCATCCGGATCCTCTGAACGTGAGTACTAGCTTTCACTATGCTTTGTTTTAGGACATTCAGCTGAGACGATAACCACATAGAATGGAGTCACGGCTCCTTCGATTTCCGGAACCATGACCGGTAGCAGGTCGCCTGTTGGCAATGCCCTAAACCCCGCCTGGAGAGACTCTGTTGTTCATATCATCACTTCTCAAAGCTGGGATGAATCCCTATCCCCCGACGTGGCTAACCAGGTAGTCCACAATATGACGTACCAAAAAGGCTATGCATTGCGACAGCTTGCGCCTGATACGGGTGCTTACTTTAATGAGGTGAGGCTACAAGTGGTCTACCTACTCAAGTATGCATTTGTCGCTGATGAGTATATTTCTTATGTAGGCCAACGCAAACGAGCCAAATTGGCAGTGGTCATTTTTCGGTGCTCACTATTTCAGACTTCAAGCCATTAAGCAAAAGTACGACCCAGAGGGTCTACTCTGGTGTCGTCAGTGTGTAGGAAGCGAGAGATGGACTGAACAGGAGGATGGGAGGCTCTGTCGTGCGTTTTAAAATGGTTGTCAAGTTGAAGAACTTCAGAAAAGGGTTACAATTTATACTTATCTTACATTGTAAAATTTTATCTCCTGTGTTAGCGGTGGAATTGTACAATTATAGTCCTGAAGCTATAGGAATAGCTAGCTTAGTTCAAAGGCTCCTAAGGAATAAGGCCCCGAAAACACTTGGTATCGCTTTGATACAAAAACAAAAAAAAAAAAAAAAAAAAAAAAAAAAATAAAAAAAAAAAAAAAAAAAAAAAAAAAAAAAGAACAAAAAGATTGTACCTCAGATGATCACTTGGATCACTTCTGCCAGCTAAGCCTATCCGATGAGTTAGACTTTAAAATTGTTTTTAAAATTATTATTTAATAAATTGGAACCTGTTGTTGTCCAAAAATTGACTGCCATAACTGGATACATGCGAACTCCCCCATTACGCTAGTACTCCGAGGACTAGCATGAGCACTAAATGCACTAACGCATCTTCTAAACTGGTTGACATTTCTGCGGCCCAATTACTTCCTTTTCAGATGGTCCATGTTGATTTTATTGCACTAAACTAAGACCCTACTAAAGACCGTCATACTAGGAGGATCCACCTAGATAGGGCATGACTAACAGACAACACTGATGCACATAATCCTGATGCTCATTTGGAACTAAACAAAGGAAATTAAAAAGAATCAAATGCTCCATGGTATAATCATACAAATCATAACGCAATTACAGCTTGGACACCTGGCCCGCTGACGAAATCTCGTTGTACAACAGGCTGGTCAAGAAATCCGCATAGTCCTCGCCCGTCACCTGACCGGCGAAGTAGCGTGCTGCCAGCTGGTACTTGTTGCCCTTGGGACCCTTCTCAGCCAGGCTGTCGGCCTGCTCCTTCAGCAGACGCAGCGCATATGCCTTGTCGACCTTCTTGCCCTCCGACGTGGTGACGCCGTGGTAGGTCCATTGCCAGAGCTGACTGCGAGACACTTCGGCGGTGGCAGCGTCCTCCTATTCGGGGTTAACTTGATACTGCTTTAAAAAGAGTTTACAGAGACAGAAAAGGAAACGCACCATCAGGTAGTTGATCGGAATACATCCGACTCCACGGAGCCAGCCTTCCATGTAGGAGAGACCGATGTTCAGGTTCTTGCGGATACCCTCCTCAGTGATCTTGCCGGGCACGTTGGTGTTCAAGAGATCATTGGCGGTAACGTGGGCGTCCTCACGGCGCACGAAGAGCTGGTTGGGAGTGGGCATGTGCTTGTTGAATACCTCGGAAGCGATGGCGGCGAGAGCCGGGTGTGCCACCCAGGTACCGTCGTGACCAGCACGAACCTCACGCAGCTTGTCGGCGCGCACGCTTTCCATGGCCTTGTCGTTGGCAGCTTGGTTGTCCTTGATGGGGATCTGAGCGGCCATACCACCCTGTGTCGGTTAGCATGCTTCGCACATGGCGTGTCGTTGCTGGGGATGCTTACCATAGCGTGAACGCCACGACGGTGGCAGGTCTTGATCAGCAGTCTCACGTAGGCATCCATGAAGGGCACAGTCATGGTGACGTCCGAACGATCGGGAAGGACAAAGTTGGGGTGCTTGCGGAACTTCTTGATGAAGGAGAAGATGTAATCCCAGCGACCGCAGTTCAGACCCGAGCTGTGTTCACGGAGTTCGTAGATAATCTCATCCATCTCGAACGCAGCGCTGATGGTCTCGATCAAGACAGTACCACGGATGGTTCCGCGAGGCATGCCAATGTAGTCCTGAGCCAGGTTGAAGACGTCGTTCCACAGTCTGGCCTCCAGATGAGACTCCATCTTGGGCAGATAGAAGTAAGGCCCGAACCCGCGAGCCACCAGCTCCTTGGCGTTGTGGAAGAAGTAGAGACCGAAGTCGAACAAACTACCGGAGATCGGCTCTCCGTTGACGGTGAAGTGCTTCTCGTCCAGGTGCCAGCCACGGGCACGGGCGATCAAAGTCGGGAGGGTGCGGTCGGTGCGCAGCTTGTATTCCTTATTGCCCTGCTTGAAGTCGATCTGGCGACGAATGGCGTCGTACAAGTTGACCTGACCGTTGATCATGTTCTCCCAGGTTGGGGCACTTGAGTCTGTGTCCACCGTCAGTGCTGCTTCCACCAGCATGTCCCAGCGAATGACCTACCCTCAAAATCCGCCATGTAGGTCCAGACATCGGCGTTCAGCGCATTCACCACCATCTTCCGGTCTGTCGGGCCGGTAATCTCCACGCGACGGTCGACCAGACCGGGAGCGGGAGGAGCACCCTTCCAGGCGTCATTCTCACGGATGTGCTTGGTCTCTGGGAGGAAGTCGAGGAGGTGACCCTTGTCGAGCTCGGCCTGGCGATCAATCCGGCGCTGGAGGAGGGCTTTCCGGGTGGGGTTGAAGGTGCGGTGGAGGATGGCCAGGAAGGCGCAAGCTTCCTTGGTGAGGATCTTGCGGGCATCGTTAGGGATGGCGCCCAGGATGGCGACATCCTTGAGCTGCACGTCGATTTGGCTCATGATTGCAAATCCTTGTTCTAGTCGAACTGTGTAGCTAACGAACAAGTGTATGAAGACAAATTGGAAAAAGACAAAGAGAAAAAAGCGTCCGAGGTCGAGGTACGACAAACGGGTATATAAGTACAATCGGCTGGAGCCATGGAGACTACGTCAGAACCATGGACAACCGCGGCTGATGGGAACTCTGGGTTCAACATGATAGGCAGGAGCTACCAATCTGAACGGGTAATGCTGTGTATTGTAATTCAGCATGCTCCAGAATCTCTGAATTGTTCCATCTCTTGTAAATGGACCTGCGATAGGACAGGAACCAGTCACTGGCCACCATCGCATATCGATATCGGCCAGGGTGAGCGGAAATTGCCTAATTGGGATGCAGCTGGAGGAGCTCCAGCGCCATCCCGTGACTTTACCGCGGAGAAGAGGTAATATTACCGGTAATACCAATACGCGACCAGGCGTGTCTGTCGCTCTCGGCCGACACTCCCCACGACCGATTCGATTCCCCTCACCCGGGGGCCGCCGCATACCGATAAGCTCTTTATCAAAATTAGAATACACGATGACTACAACTCTATACATATATCCGCGTCGCTACTGAGAGAGCGCAGGAATCTGCGTTATTTGCCAATTCCAGGGCCATCCCGTTCTTACCGAGTCCAGTCGATCATGACCACGACAGTACGGTTTGGTACTGTTTCCAAGCGACTAACCTGCTGGCAGGAAAACTACCGAGGGATAAAGATAATAAACTCCCCGCACATCCGAATCTTCCACTCACAGCCGCGGCCCTCCCGAAACGTCACCATGATTTGCTGCCACCACGAAAAAGCATGTCTTGCCTGAGGCTGCCGATTGATTCCGATGCAGTCGCGCTACGATAAGATAACCTAATTGCACCGACGCTTTACGGAGCCGAGAACGTTAAAGATATATCTTGCGGTTCGGTCTACCAACACAATTTGTGGCACGACTATAATCAGATCAAAACTTCGATTGCCAAGTAGTAATACTCGGCTACCCGACTATACTAATCAATTGCATATGGATCATGGAGTGTTTGTCTCTTCGCCCCAATGGGCATAGGAGAAATGGCATGTGATACTCTTGAGCATGTGATGTGGTAGCTTGTGAATCATCATCTTCAACCTAGATCCCGGTTCTCTCCCGGCAATACGTCCAAGGATCGGGATGACACGGGCACTCAAATACTTGTACTGTGCTCTGGTTGACCGAAAGACCTACCCGAAACTTTGGAGCTCTGCAGAGCACGGACAGCGCTAAAAGGAATTCATTGGTATCTAATAGTTCTATGTTCATAACCGCCAGCCGGGGCTAAGTCTAGACCGTTTCAATATATCGTCGCACCTCCCTAGAATATGGTCAGTCCATAGCGAAAGCGAGATAAATGCAACACCAAAAACATACCAATCGGTGACGGCCTCTTCCCAGAGGCGCACTTCATGTTCCCGAGTGCCACCAAAATGGTCGACGAAAGCATCCCCAAACACCTCCCGTGCGACACTGCCCTTGCGCATAAACGCGGCGACCGCTTCCTTGAGGGATTTGGCCAGACGCACCCCCTGGTCGCTGCCGCCCCCCATCTCCTCACCTTTAGACAGCGGGGGCACTGGGATCTCCAGCTTCTTCTCCACGCCCCGCCATCCCAATGCGACAATAGCCGCCATGACATAATGCGGATTGGCATCGGCCCCGGGGACTCGCACTTCTAATCGAGTAGCCTTCGGGCTGCCCGTTGGCGGCGTAATCAATCGAATAGAGGCCGCCCGATGCTCCAGGCCCCACGAGACCGTGACGGGGGCCCAAAAATTCTCTACGAGCCGTTTGTAGGAATTGACGGTCGGCGCAAACATAGGCATAATGTCAGGGAGACCCGTGAGAATGCCCGCTAAGAAATATCTGCCCAAGTCGGAAAGATGAGCGACATCGGGGTAAGGTGGAGATGGATCCGGGGTATCGCGCAGAAACGCGTTCTTTCCATCACTGGTAACGAGCGAAATATGCATATGGCCACTATTACCAGGCAATCCCTGGCGCGGTTTTGCCATGAAAGTTGGAGTGATACCGTGCTTGGTTCCAATCGATTTGACGACATACCTGGGTTGAGGTTAATATGGCTCAGATCGATCTCATGGATGCCTTACTTGAAAAGTCCTGCTTTATCTGCCATCTCCTTGGCTTCTCCGAATTGTAGCGCCTAACAACATCAGCATTGACCGGGCAAACCCCGTGTAGAGCACTCACAGCTTCAAACACACCGGGCCCACTCTCTGTATGCCATCCTTCAATGTCGCATTTAAATTGCTCGCACGCATCAAAAATACCATAATAATAATCCTGGTTATGAATAGGGCGGGTCAAACTGTACCCGAACATCCCCTCGGTCAGGGAAGGTAATGCTTCAACGGGGTTCTCTCTCAAGAAGGTCGCCGTAGAAGATGCGTTGCGCTCGGGAGAAGAATGGGATTCTGGCACACGGAACTGATAAAACTCATACTCCGCTGAAAGAAGTTAGCATGTCCATATCTCTAAGGAGGATATGGAGAGTTTACGCACCTCCTGCCATCGCCTGATACCCGGCCGCCTCAGCCTTGCCAAGTGCGGTCCTAACTAGACCTCGAGGGCATGCACACACAGGATCCCGAGTGTCGGGATCGTGAAAGCTAACGAGGAAGAAAGGGACGTTGTTCTCCCAGGGTATGCGACGGAAGCTGCTCAGATCCGGAATGGCAACAATATCCCGATAACCGTTCTCCTTGTTACTGATGGCCAACTCCTTGAAATATGTCTGATCGTGCATGTCCCACCCGAATATTACAGAGCAAAATCCAAAACCTTCCGACACAATGGAAAGGAACTTTTTCTTAGAGACAAGCTTCCCACGCAGCATCCCATCGACATCCACACCTGCCAACTTGACACGAGTATCTCGCTGCAGGATCTCGGCGACATTATCGAGTGTGACTTCGGGGGAGGATACAGAACCCATATTGAAGCTGGCAGCGAAGAGACGTCAGTCAACAGTAGGAATGAAAGTGGTGGGGAGACATGAACCTACAAGCCAGGCAGAGTCGCGGTCTAAGAAGGGTGTGGGCGGAACGAAGGAGCCACAGCGGGTCATCTGTTATCGGTGCCTTATCGTCATGCGGATCGAATGACCGCATAGGAGACAAACTGCTTTTTTCCCTTGTCCATTCACATCATCATAATAATATCCGTTCGTATGGAAGTCCCCAGTATGGCCAAAAAGCCTGGTCGAGCCATTGCGCCCTTCATGCATGTCATCCTGGAAGGAAGAGGATACTAAGAGAACACTAAACTCTTCGGTCTCTCTTTATCAGTTATCAGTTTATCTGAAAGTCACTTGATGTCACTTGATTCCACACCCAGCTTAGATAATAACTTGTGGGAACTTGCCCCGCGTTTCAGTGGTGTGTTGTCACCAACTGCTTCTTCAATTGATATATCGTGACAGGAAACCTATCCTTGCGAATCAATACTCATTCTACTCAGTGGGATTCTAGTCGGGTTGGGACTGTTAATCACAAAGCTATCACCCTGAGCGTGAGTCTCACAAGTTACATTTGGCTTCATGACATCACTCCCCGCCGAGGATAACCAACTCACTAAAAATCACTTACTAGTAGGAATACGACACAATGGCTACTTCGATAGGACGTCTTCAGGGCAAGAATGCTATAATTACTGGTGCTGCAGGGTGAGCCTTAATATGCAATTCTTTTCGGCAATGCATTAATATAGTATAGAGGGATCGGTCTCGAGACTAGCATCCTTTTCGCCCGCGAAGGTGCTAATGTCCTCATGGCCGATATCTCTGCCCCTGCCCTCGAGAAAGCCCTCGCTAAAGTGAATGCGGTTGTTCCCAATGCCCCACGAGTGGAAACCTTCAAGTGCGATGTTTCCAAGGAGTCCGAGGTACAAGCGATGGTGGAATCTCAAGACAGCTGGGGCGGAACCGACGTGATCTTCAATAACGCGGGTATTATGCACGCTGATGATGCCGACGCCGTGGACACGCCAGAGAAGATTTGGGATTTGACACAGAACATCAATGTGAAGGGAGTGTGGTTTGGCTGCAAGCACGCCGTGCTCAGTCTCCGTCGTCATAAGAAGACTAAGGGTAGCATTATCAACACTGCCAGTGTAGTTGCCTTAGTGGGTAGCGCCACTCCTCAGCTGGCTTACACTGCTAGCAAGGGTGCGGTGCTGGCCTTGACCCGTGAACTAGCCATTGTGCATGCTCGGGAGGGTTTCCGCTTCAATGCACTGTGCCCCGCCCCGCTAAAGTACGTTCTGCGTTAGCATTGAGCTTGACTGATGATTATGCTGACACCCACAGCACCCCGCTCCTGCAAGACTGGCTGGGCGATGACAAGCCTAAGCGGTTCCGTCGTGAGGTGCACTTCCCGACCGGACGGTTCGGCGAGGCTATCGAACAAGCGCATGCAGTTGTTTTCCTTGCCAGCGACGAAAGCAGCTTCGTCAACGGTCACGATTTTGTTGTTGACGGTGGAATGTCCAAGGTATGTGTTTTGAGATTATGACTTGCTTCACAGTTAGCTAACTGCATGATAGGCATATGTCACCCCCGAGGGGCCGGCCACCCCTGCCCCCAAGAACTTGGGTCACTAAATCCGCATGCTTATGGTTATGTCACGATTGTCAATGAAGTTCTTTAATTTTTAAGGGCAGATGCAATACAAGATCTATTTAACACCTTCGGCCAGCCCATAATGTAGCAGTTATCGTCCATTCCAGACCTCCTGATGTCGAATTACTCTGCCGCTGGCCGGCTCGGTCATACCAAGCACACCAGAACAGTGCGAAACCCTAAAGATATGTGGCAGGTTGTGCTGATATGCCATAATATTACGGTCCTAGTGCGTACATTACATGGCTATGCAGTCCCCCGGCATAAAAGCTCTTGACTTGAGATCGATGCACTATATGGACGGGAGAATAAATTAGGTATTATCATTCAACTCGATCTGACATATCAGTCTTTCTCTCTCTCTTAGTGTGTTCATCTCCGTCGGTCCTCTCCTTGTACTTTCAAGTGCAGTGGATTATGAAATCTACGCGATCTCGGCTTCGATGATCATCTCATACTCCTGAGGGTCAGGCCAGAAGTTGATAATTTTGAAGCCAGCATCGGTTAACAGCTTCTCCCATGCATCTTGCGTCCGTTCGGAAGCTGACAATAACGACATCATCTCCACGTCCATTGTGGTTTGGCTGATGCTTGCTCCTATCGGCGGAAGAACGATGTCGTAGATGAGGAGCTTGGAGTAGCCCTTTACCATCGCGTTTTTGATGTTCACGAGCAGTTGCTTCGCTTTGTCGTCTGGCCAGTCATGGAGAACGGCGTGCAGATAGTAAGCACGGCTCCCTGCAATCATGTTATTAATAGGCAGACCTGGATTTCTGGACCGGAGTGTCTCACCTTTCACAGGCTGGGGTAAGAAAAAGTCATGAACCATAGCTGTGATCTTCTTATCAAGCTGAACATTGGCAATCACCTCGGGAAGATCCTGCAAAACCAGCGATCCAGCAGGGATGTCGGGGTGCTTAGCAAGGACGTAGGAGATGTCCGTCCCGGTGTTTCCGCCAAGATCAACCACGAATGGAGAAGCGTCATCCAGTTTGGCACCATCGAGCAAGGTGGTTGTATCGTAAACCTTAGTCCATGGGGTCTTCCATGCCGTCCAAGCCTCCATATGGCCGGTGAAAGCTTCAAAATACGCGGGGCTTTTCTGCAATCGCCCAAAGAAGTTAAGGCCGTCGGGATCAGTGTCGGTGTAATTATTATCGTTAACGTCCGTAGGCTCCGTATAAGAGATCTTGGCCAGATAGGCCGGCAAGTTATGGCCAGCCGCAATGTATTGATATGTCCTGGACAACAGGTTAGGACAGCATATGGACCGATGGCCGGGTAGGCATGCTTACGCTGCTTGAAGCGAGGCGCGAACCTTGGTGCTCTCGTCGCCAATGGCGTACGAGAACGCAGTCGGCTTGAATTTGTCTTCCGCCGTTTCCTCAACCACATAGAAAGCTGCTAGCAAGCGGAAGAGCCGACCTGTACGCGTTCAAGTGAGCCTTACAGAATCATGCTGGCATGGGGATAAAAGGCTTACGTAGGAGGTTTGTATTAACGGTGGGCGTGGTGAACTCTACCAACTCGTGGATAGACTTCTCACCCCCTCCAGCACCTGTCCAGGATTTCCAAAGACCCACATTAATGCAGATTTGCAGAGCGGCAAAGACAACCGGGTGTTCAAAGCAGAAGCCCCAGGCGCGCTCATAGGGTGTTTCCAATCGGGCAAGCAGACGACGTGCTGCAGCGCGCACTTGTAAGCGTTCCACTTCGTTTCCGCCAAATGCCTCGGGCTTCACTGCATCCAGGGCAGCAATGGTTTCTAGGATCTGTGACCGCATGTTGCACTTTCGAATTTGAGGTCTGGGGCTCCAGGGACGGGATATATGACAATGGTGGCACCAGGCCAGGTGGGCGAGGTGGGCGACGGTATATATGGGCCAGCGGTCCCCATTTCGTTAGCAGCGCTAGGGCCAAGTGTCGAATCTCTGATGAAGCCAGCGGGGTGAACCCCTCAGCACTAATGAACAAGGGCCCCACAAGATTTCAAGATTTCCTCTGTCGGACCCGTTAGTACGGGAAATAATTGGAAACCTTCATCTCGGGACTAAGTTAGGAGAGTGCGAAGGATCATCATTATGTACATTTCCTGAGGACGCGCCAATGTACTAATGTACTCGGTTGAGCCCATTGGGGAAAGATCGCTGCATGTCTGGGCCACGCCACCAACCAGTCTAGGCCCCGATGGCAGCAAGCAGGGGGTCAGTTCGCCGGATCGCCTGGGCCGCGCTCTGTCACTTGAGTCCTGAATAATTCAATTATGCGCTCCACAGCATCCATGCCGATCGATTTCTTGGCGCTTCTTTAACTTCAGGTCGGCTGCAGAAAACGATGTCGCTCGAAGGACAGGTCATATCTCCTTTCATACTGATACATGAGAGGCCGCCATGCTGAGATCCTGGCGTACTTTGGTTTCGGAGCGGTGCCAGGAGATATTGTCGCTCAATCTACAGGTCATAAACCCCGTCTATACTAATACTACACGAATGGCCGCATCTTTCTCGTCTTGGGCTGGAAATCCCTTTCTTCCTTCTCTCACCCCAATGACCATTTACTTCTATCCGTGACTCTGCTGTGGCCATCATCGACATGAGCGCGTACGGAGGTTTAGGGCCCATGACCAATGCGGTCCTTTGGGTAGAGGTCGTGATCTTTGCTGTCTTCGCGGGGCTAAGGATTTATACGCGAAAACACATTCTGAATGCGATCGGCCTTGATGATTACCTAGTTGTACTTGCGTTGGTGAGAGAAAAAGCCGTAGCACAAAGCTACTTAGGCGAGGGCTGACGTGCAGCAGATTCTTCACATCCTTTACACCATTTTTGTCACCATCGCAACCCACTACGGTCTAGGGCGACTGTTTGCTGAGGTTGGTGATCCCGTTACCTACTCCAAAGCCACCATGTATGAAGTGTTCAGCCAGGTAGCTGGTATCATGGTCATTGGTGTAGGTAAAGGAGCCGTGGGCACCTTCCTTCTTCGAATTGTGCGAAATAAAATTCAAATTTGGTTTATCTGGGGTTGTCTTGGGATCACCACTTTTATCACTCTGTTCGCCAGTATTACCGTTGTAATACAGTGCTTTCCAGTCGAGAAGACGTGGAACCCAACGGTGGAAGGAACATGCTGGATCGACTTTTCCAAGGTGGGCTACACGGTTGGATGTGAGTGCTGCATGATCTTGCCCCAACTTGGATGCATGAAAGAGAAAGCCTGACCTTTTGCAGCCTGGTTCGTCGCTGCCGACTTTTCCTTTGCGATCCTTCCGTGGTTCATCATCTGGGATCTCAACATGAAGCAAAAGGAGAAGATCACCGTTGCCTGCGGTCTCAGTCTTGGAATCTTGTAAGCCTGGAACCCCCCACTGCCTTGGACCAACATCTGACGTGGACACTCGAGCGCTGGAATATGTGGTATCGTTCGCACCGTAGCTCTGGCAGGCCTGAATGCATCTGAGTATATATGTACGTTCTCTTCATCCCTCGCTAATGATGGTAGAGCTGACCCAACTCAAAAGATGATACCGTACCAATGCTCATTTGGTCCGCAACCGAAAGCTGCGTGACGATCATGTGCTCGTCGATTCCCGTCCTCCGTCCTCTCTACGTTCGCATTAGGTACGGCACAAAGGACGAAAATGGCTCTTCTGGCAATACTTCCTACAAATTGCCATTGTACGGCAGCGGTCGCAAGTACGGCAGACTTTCGAAGTCCGGCCTTGATCCTTCCACCCTCGAAACAATAGGCGGTTCCCTCCGGGCACCCGCTGAAGACTATCACAAAAGCAATGTCAGTGATGAACATATCCTTGATGGCGCTGCCGGTATCGCCCGGACGGACGAGATTTCAGTCAGCTACGAACCAGTCGAGAAGAAAGTCTAGAGAACGGCTTACGTTTTCGAGTACGCCAATCGATGTCTGCTTGTCAATCTGGGCTGAAACGAGAGCAACCTGGAACATGATGTCCGAGCCTCGAGTATGGTTGATTGGTGGAGGGGACTGACGAGATTGAACCCGAGTTAGGTAACTTAGCTGATAACTACTGATGTGTCTGTCACCCCCAGACAAGGTCTTGAAGGTTCCATAGCATAACCTCCGTCTATAAATCTCCCAAGTTCACTGGAGAAGGCATGAACCCCAGCTAGGGAGATTCCTACAGACTCGTGATCAATTCACAGAATGGAGAAAGTAACAGAATAATCTCCGGATTCGTTCTGTACGATTGAAGAATGATTGGCCGAGGAGTATTTATCCGCTGATGCAGACTGCCTTGCGATCGAGTAGATCTCGCGAAAAGCCCGGAAATGAGCCGGAGACCCTAAGCTGTTTAGACATAGCATTTGTTATGGATTCCCCCCCTAATCAAGAATCAATATGAGGAACTTTCTTTTTTCTTTTTTTCTTTTTTAAAAAGAGTCTATGCGTCACAATCGGATTTACTATTCTCCCTCCTCCCTCTCCTCCCTAGTAGATCTATCACACAAATTTCACGGAATATTAACCCGGGCGTCGTTAGTGCTCACTAGACTAAAAAATCTCCTGTTACGAGCTCCCATCCAACTAATTAAATCAGTTTATAGTGTGTAAAATTAGGTACACTAGATCGTCCATGTAGCCTTTGTTCAACCTGAAACTCTACCCTCCCCGTCCCAAGGCCCAAGCCCCCGGGACGGCAATTCTAGGTTAAGAAACGTCCTAAGTTGTGCTGGCATTATTCACGAAGATCAGTAGTTTAAAGTTCCGGGGAAGCAGATTAAAAGCTAGAGAAGATGGTCTATGTCTAGCTCGGGCCATTCACAATGAAATTAACATCTGAGGGTCACTGATCTGGGATTAGGGCTCATTAGAGCTAAGCAAGGGGGAACGTTACGGCGGCAAAGAACACGGACGATGGCTTACATCGACGTAAGCTCTGAGGTCTGTGCTTCAGGAGTTATTCACATCAAGTTCTATGTGGAAGTTTGAAATATGAGGTACTTTTGACGTGAGAAAAAAGAAAATTGAATGGACGAATACGAGGATACTGAGGGCAGCGGGAGGGAAATATATTTTACCAGCTAGCGAGTCGTTGGATATGTCAATAAAAATGACGATCACAACTTATCCAGCGCAACGTATTAGTCGACTACTAGTGAGTAGAGGTCACAAAGCAACTGCGAGTTTAAAATTTAAGCCGGACATAAAATATTTGACGTTTTTCAGGGGCTTGATTGTGGCTTTTTGTGGCCTTTTTGTTGGGATTGAGCAAGATCACATGATCGTGGTAAGATGCCTTCTTGCCTCAGGCTGAGATTGTATGTCATGGATGTCGCTCAATAATCTCGAGCTGTTTAGTTACTATCGCGGGGTATAATAAAAACTTCTGTTATGTAACTAATTTGGCTTATAGTTGCATTGTGCTTTTCTCACATAGCTATGATTTAACTCCCATTTGAACCAAAAAGTCTGACAGCTTAACGGTTAGGGCAGCGTCGACCAAGGGAGCAAGCCTTTTTACTATCTGCCATGTCGGTCCAAGCCCTAGAAGGATCTGTGGCGCCGTGTGGATCAAAGTAGACACAAATAACGGATATTTTGAGACTTGCAATTGTGCGTTTTCAGCACAGCTGTTAATTCCAGCATCTGTTTAAATCCGAAGCTACCAATGTTGTCAAGCCCACAGCTTTATATAAAGTGGAGCCCTACCGGCACGGTTCCAATGATAACTTCGGTATGAACCCACTCGATGCACACCGGAGCCTGGAACCGCCCGACCGAACTGGATCCAATGACGAAATAGCTCGCCCCCTCTAAGCTCTGAATGAGGTCATGAATGTATTTGTTCATGCCAGGCTATATATAACTCGTTGTTCCATTCATACCATCCCGTCAAGGCTGGAATTGAATTCCAATCACCAGGCAATTGCAATCCCCTTACCATCATAACTCTAACCCAGCACAACAACAAAAATGTCCTCCGGCGTATCCTTTAAAACAAACAACGGCGTCACGATTCCCGGCGTCGGTTTCGGTACTTTCGCCAACGAAGGCTCCAAAGGCGAGACGTACAAGGCTGTCTGTCATGCCTTGAAAGTCGGCTACCGCCACCTCGAATGCGCCTGGTTCTATGCCAATGAGGATGAAGTAGGACAGGCGATTCAAGATTTCCTGAAAGAGAACCCGTCGGTTAAGCGGGAGGATCTGTTCGTGACGACAAAGGTGTGGAACCATCTGCATCGGTATGATGACGTTTTGTGGTCGTTGGAAGATTCATTGAAGAACTTGCAATTGAGCTACGTGGATTTGTTTCTGGTGCATTGGCCCATTGCCGCTGAGAAGGATGAGAACCATCAGCCGAAGCTTGGTCCAGACGGAAAGGTATGGTATCCAGATATCCAGACGTGTCGATGATTCACTAACAGTATAAATAGTACATCATCCTTGAAGAATTGACAAAGAACCCCGAAGAAACCTGGCGAGCAATGGAAAAGATCTACGAATCCGGTAAAGCCCGCGCGATTGGCGTGTCCAACTGGCGTATCGAAGGCCTCGAGTATCTCAACAAGATTGCCAAGGTCAAGCCTCAAGTCAACCAGATCGAGGTTCACCCCTTCCTTCCTAATACCGAGCTCGTCAATTACTGCCAGAAGAACGGTATCATCGTCGAGGCTTATTCGCCCCTTGGATCCCAGAACCAAGTCCCGACGACAGGCGAGAAGGTGTCTGAGAACCCGACGTTGAATGCAATTGCCAAGCAGAAGGGCTGTACTTTGGCGCAGATTTTGATCGCCTGGGGCTTGAAGAGAGGCTATGTGGTTCTGCCGAAGAGTTCTAACCCTGAGAGAATTGAGTCCAACTTTCAATCGGTTGAGTTGTCGGAGGAGGAGTTCAAGGCTATTAATGATGTTGCGAAGGGAAGGCATTTCCGGTTCGTGAACATGAAAGATACATTTGGTTATGATAATTGGCCTGAGGAGGCCTGAGGAAGGGTTTCAATAAAAAGTATTATAGTTTCTAGACACTTAGCAACGAACTGTGATGATCATTCGACTTATTTTGGTTTTCGTAAAGGGCTGGTACATCTATTGGATGTTATCTTTGTTGATACGTGCCTTGACCATCGCAGTTGTCAACAATACGGAGCTGTGCTTTGGAGCATAAACATACTGCACTGCATGGTCATGGGTCTATGAAGCGATCTAATTATCGAACGAGTCAATGAATTATAAAGTTGTCTTTATTGTCTCACAGTCAATCAAGTTATTCCATTTTAAATATGGTAAAGAACTTCCAATGTCACCTCGATTCTGGTATGCTCCATAGTTGGAAAGACTCTCATCTTAAGCTTCTGCTTGCAGTACTGTAAACGACGAGGAGCTTCAACGATGAGCGTATTTGGAAGTTTGTTGGATATGAGGGTGGTGTGCACCAGTGTTTCCAGAGGTCGCATGGGAGTGATATGTAGACAACTTCCCTGAGACGTGTAGATCTGATAGCAATGCCGGCCGCTTAAGTGAATGAATAGCTAGTAGCCTTTCGAAGTTGCAGGTGCGTCCAATAGCTGATTAAATATGAAAGTCCGAAACACACGACCTTTTCCGTTTCTCTCTGAATGAACGAAAATCAACCGTGCCACATGGAAGACCAGTAGAGCTTTGTACTGCCCCGTCGGGACTACATAATCGAGATGGCTATAAGTCACAGTGCTATTCCTACCAAGTCTCAAAGTGACAAGATAATAGAAAAGACCAGAACCTCTGGATGACGCAGCACGGCCGCTGTAGAGCCAAACTCCTTTCTTCCTGCTCTCTGGCCAACCTTACAAGTGGTGCCTCTATGAACATTAAATATAACCCCCCACACCGTCAACCCCGTCCCGACAACAGAACCATGCCTCCCCACTACTCTTATACAACTCGCCCCCGTTGCCATAGTCGATATCCAAGCTTGAACACAACCTAAACCCCTGACCCTCCAGACACTGAAGCACATCCAATATGGCCACTCTACTTAGCACCGCTCCTTCGTCTGACGACTTAGCCCATATCTTTCTTTGGAACCTGACCTCAAACGTCCCGGTCACAAGATCCTGGTTACAATTTTTGATTCTGTCCCCGAAGGTTGAAACCAGGGATAAGGCCAATGCGTGGGGTGCATTGATAAGGTGCATGAGGTCTTCGGAGTCGAAGGAGATACACATCCAGGAGAGTTGCTGGGGGGCTTGGCGTTTGAATATTAGGCTATCTGCGTTTGTGTCAGCTTGTCTTCTATAGGAAGGAAAGTGTCTATAAGAGTAGCAATATAGATTTGGGACGAAAAAAGGGGGAGGAAGAAGGAAAGGAAACAACAATGGGAAAATCCTAATTGGCATAAAAGATAAAATATACCTTTCTGCCCAAGCGACTTATAATTCCCTATCCTTCCCAAACCCCCCGCAGCAGGATGTACACCCCACCCTTCTCTGGCCAACGTATCAAGAAGCCCTAACATAACATTACGAAGGGCAATCTTCTCATCGTCGTTACCGTGTTCGAACGGATTTCCCCGTAACTTGAACTCCGTACTCTCATAGTACGCCTTTACATTTTGTATGCCCTTCGGCCAGTGTTTCTGGAGTGTCTCCGATACAAGTGGTACGATAGACTCTGGGAAACGCATGAGACGAACACGGTCGTACCCTGAGAAGGAAATCAGCCCGTATTGTGATCGTTGAGGCTCATCTTGGAACTGGGTTTTGTTGTCGCCTGGGATGGCAGTTGAGCTGGAGCCTGCGGTTTCCTCGTAGGCTGGGGGTTCGTCGCGTGCTCGGAAGCAGGTCATTGTCCGATTTATGGAATGGGTACTAATTGCACCTTTAGTGAGGAGAAGTAGTACTTGTGCTGACGTAAATCTAATAGTCGAACTAGAGAAGAATGGGTGGAGAATTAAGGTCGGAAGGGCTGTTATGTTCTTATGTTCGCTGAAGTAAATTCTCTTTGCACTGAAGAACGAGTTAATATTCTGTTGCCTGATGCCGGGGTGGTAAGACTCGAGCCCTACAGCCAGAAATTGTAACTTCGTATAAGCCCGTCGTAGAGGATAAGAAGCCAGCCAATGTGAGCTGCGGGATGAGACTGCGCCACCTTGGGCACTGAGCAACTGCATCTTATTCGTCATAATCCATGTACGCAGGATTTCACGTTATGTCTTTCATGGATAACGAGGCTGTGGGGGTTGATGTCACGGACCGCCACAAGGTCACTTGTGGCTGAGCATTTACGTCCCTTTGGTCAAATGGAATTGCCCACATGATACTGACAGTGGCTTGATTGCCTTGATTTGAGTATACCAGAAAGACCTTATCATGATACGCACCTATTGTGCTAGAGGTTAGGCCGTGAAAACTTCTCTCTGAAGCGTCAAGACGTATGTGTATGAGGTTCGTCGTCCCCTCTTCATTGGTCTCATGTTTGCCCTAACTCTGTATTGGTCCATCAGGATCTGGTGGCTTCCAAATCATGGCTCAATGTGCAGTAAGTTACGCTGTTTCAAATCGAACAATGACAACAACGTAGCACGATCTCAATACTAAGTTCTGGTATCTACAGTTCGTGTGCTCGATGATCCACATATTATTTAACTAGAGTGACTGCGGTAAAAGGTCGGCAAACAGACAGGCCACCGTCACTAACCGTGGGAAAAGCTAGAAATTCCTCCACATGTACAGTACATGGACATAAGATCACAGTGGTACAATTCTGTCGATTGCCGAAAGAAAATCTCTGACTTCCTCTATGTAAGATAAATAGTCATCTATGGAAAGCAAACCGCCGAAATAAATTGAGCAAGAACAAAAGCAAACGCCAAGCCGTCTATCGTAATGACCAAAACAGGCAAATCATCACACTGCGCATGCAGCGAACAGAGTCCAGAAAAATGGTATAAACAACGAATATTTACTAAGCCTCATCATCAGTATCCGGAGGCTTGGGGGTACCCTTGGGGCTATTGAGCCACTCAAGGTGGCGGAGACGACGACGGGTCTCACGCTCCTTCAGCTGGGCACGGGTCATCTTCTTCTTCTTTCTCGCCTTGAACTTGAGTTCTCCCTGTTCCTCGGCGCCAGAGTTGACGGCGGAGGCAGCAGCGGAAGCAGCCGCGCTGGTGGCGGTAGAGTTCACGGCGGTGCCGGCCTGGGGCGAGTTGGCCGCACTGTCTTCGAACCGGTCGAGCGACACGCCTGTGTTGGTACGCGCAACAATGCGCCCATCAGCGACGTGAAGCTGTTCGGGGCAGAGCGCGCCCACAAATTCCTCGTTGTGAGAAATCATGACCACACCACCCTTGAAGTCGCGGATGGCCACAGCCAAACCACCCAAAGAGTCACGGTCCAAGAAGTTAGTGGGTTCGTCTAGCACAAGCAAGTGAGGGTTGTTCCACATGGCTCCGGCCAACACAACCTTCACCTTTTGACCACCAGAGAGGCCAGAGATTTGGTTGTGGTTGGCGATCTCGGGATCCAAACCGACGTCCTCGAAGTGCTTCGAGATCTCAGGGGGTTCCAGGTTTCGGAATCCAAGACCCTCACGAGAAGCCTCGTGATCATCGAATTCCTGAACCAGCTTGAAGAAGCCAAGTTCAAGCAGGGTCTCACGGGAGATCATAGTGTTATGCTTGGGAAGGAGACCAATCCATTTACTATGGTATCTGTTAGCGGGGGGCGCGCGGAGACTAGTAGGCAGCGATAACTTACACTTCGTACTGGAACGACTTCTTCCACTTTTGCCGACCCATAAGGGCCTCAATGCGACGGGGACCCCTGCCATCCTTGAGGTCGACCGGCTTCTCCAGCTGAGCCTTATCTTCCTCGGTAAGAATACGGGTCTGCTTCAGGTAGACCTCGCGGTCGTCACCGTTAGCATAACGCCACTGGAGGTACTGGCTAGGTGTCTTCTCAAGATGCATCTCCACGTGCTCGAGAGCGTGCTGCTTAATATAACCGATACGAAGGTTGGGATGTTTCTCGACTTTGCCAGTTTGGGGGATGGTCTCTCCCGTAAGCATCTTGATGAAAGTAGATTTACCAGCACCGTTTCCTCCAATGATGGCAACACGGGAGGACAGCGTCAGGGTGAGGGATGCGTCAGTCAAGGATGGCTTGGTGGCCCCGGGATAGGTGTAGGAACAGTTGGTCATCCGGAGAATGGCACGGGTCTGGGACTTGATACCGGACAGAATACCAGGGGGAGGGAACTTGAACTGAACAGCGCTGGCAGACAAGGTGTAATAGCTCTTTCCTTCGGGCTTCTGCTTGACGAAAGCAGCCAGATTACCCTTGTAGCACACCAGCTTCTTGTTTTCGTAGTGATAAATATCCGTGCAAACTTCGTCCAAGAATCCCGAGTCGTGACTGACAATCAAACTGGTGATATCCGTGTGCTTCTTGAGGTATTCCTGCAACCACTTCACATTGGCAACATCCAAGTGGTTAGTAGGTTCGTCCAGGAGTAGAACATCCGCCTTCATGAGCATGGCACGGGCCAAAGCAAGCTTCATCTTCCAACCACCAGAGAGTGACCCAACACGCTGCGACTGGCGGCCCTCTGGGCCATCAGTGAAGCCGAATTCGAGAAGCACCTGGCTGATATGCTCCTGACCAGCCTCTGCAATCTTGGGGTCTTTGGAAACGTATTCAATGATGCTCAGGTCAGCATCCTCGCCTTGGTTGTGCTCGACAAAGCAGGTTCGAACAACATCCTGCGGGGGGAAGCCCTCCAGCTTTTCGTTGGCGATACTGCGCATGAGAGTAGACTTGCCAGCTCCATTGCGACCACAAAGACCATAACGGTGACCCTTCAGCAAGCGGAGGTTAGTGTGGTTGAGAAGCAGCATTCCACCGTAGGCGAGGGAAAAGTTGGCGTTGACAATCTCGACCTCATTAGGATCATCGGGCTCGGGCTTTCCAAACTTGCGGTGATCTTCCTCAATGAAATGTGCCTGAAGAGCGGAGGCGACCGCGTCATGTTTATCCTCCAATAGCAAACCACGCAGGTAGGGGGCGACGCAGACCGGGATACGGTCGTGCATGCGGCAATTCACATCTTCACGGACCATCTCCGCGATGTAAGTCTTACCGAGCTCAAAAAGTGTATGCGCCTCGGGCACAGCAAGGCCGCCGTTGGCCTGAATCTGGGCATCCAAAACGGCGAGAACCTCATCGGGAGTTGTCTTGGTGACAGATCCAGCGTGGACATTGCTGTCGCTCATGGCCTTCTCCATGACGTTCAGTGCGCGGGTAGCAAGCTCTCGGACTTCCGGGAGGGAAGCACGATCCTTGACGGCCTGTACACCGGGGATGAGCTTGGGCAAGAACGTACGTGCCTCGGAGGGATCATGCACGAGTTTTGTTAGGTTCTCCACGACCACGACAGTACGACGCAAAGTCTCTTGGGGCGTTGTTGGGGCGTTCAAGGAACGCTCCAGCAACGGGGTGAGCAAAGCCAGGACGGGCGAGGTAACAATGGCGACGAAAGTAGTTTGCGACAAGGCATGGATGGCATCCTGTAGGGTCTTCTCGGATGGCTGCTCCATGGTCTTGATCAAAAGAGGGATCCGGGGGGTAACATCATCGTTGGACAACAGAGTGGTAACCGCGTTCATGGCCTTGCAAGCCCGCTTAGCCACTTCAGCCTTCAGGTCGTGCATGCCGGACTCCACCAGAGGGATCAAGTCTTTCAGAGTCTTGCCCATTGCCTCCCGCAGTATATCCTTCTCGCGTTCTTCTTCCATAGTTCCGTTACCCATCTGGGCCTTGACGGCCATCTTCTCGATGAGAGAGTATGCGCCGACAAAGCCCTGCCACTTACCAGTGCCGCGACTGAGATAAGCAGAAAGGGCGGGGAGGAGACCATTGGCCATCGATTCGGGCTTGAGGCAGGCAAACAAGGCATCGATTGCATACTGAGCGGCGTCGCGAACCACGGCGCCCTTGTCGGCCAACGCATCGAGGGCAACGCCAAGAACGCCGCCATCTTGAAGGAGGAATACGACTTCGCTGAGAGGGTGTTCGCGGGGGAAACGTTCGAACAGAGCGCCGATGATCAACATAGCACTCTCACGGCGAGCGCCATTCTTCTTATCGCTCGCCGCCTTCTTGACTTGCGACAAGATGTCATACTTCTGAAAGCCGAGGCAGCCGACACTTTGAATCAACAAGTTGGTCAAGGCATAGGAGGCATCAAGAGATTGCTGGGAGGTCTCGGCGGTAAAGATGGTGTTGAAAAGGGACGAAACCTCCTCCGGGGTGGGAGGGACGGTCGATGGGGTCTTGGAAACAGCGGTAGCCATGGCTGTAGGTTCGGAATGAGGCATTCTCTTGTATATATGGCGATCTTAAATAAAGTGCGTCACTCGCCGGAGTGTGTGCTTTCGCTTCAACCTTTGCACTAAAGTCCGTAAGCCACTAAAGCGGCGTGGTCGGATGGAAAATTGAAAATACCACAAAAGAGAAAAGAAAAGTACAAAGAAGAAATCTACACGAAATTCAAAACTTTTTGATGAAAATCCAAACGTCCGATCGGCCTCTGGACGAGGATCCGTCTTCAACACAACAACAGGGTATATGAACAAGAGAAAGGAAAGAGGGGAGAGTGAAGAGACGAGAGGAAAGGGGAAAAAAATCCAGGCCGAACTGGAAAGAAAGATCACTCACTGATAATGATGGCGGGGCGGCGATTATTTTTTTTTGGGCCGCTGATAAGTTCCCTTGTGATTGGGCGCGGGTGAAAATCTCTGCCTGAGGCGCAGGGGAACCGGGTTTGCACCAATCATAATACACCGCCTTTGCATGGGCCCTGATTGTTGGCTCAGCCCCCGTTGCCGCTGACAGCCTGAGGCATCAGTGGCTGGTAAGAGTCTAGCCAGGTGCCGGTTGTGGCGGTGCACGCTTGGCGTGACTGCCTCAGGCAAGACTCTATTTCACCCCAAAGTAGGCTATTCCACATCGGGATTACCCCGCACGCCGGATCCGCCAACCCGCGGATATCGTCACGGGTACGGAGTCTCTCATCCAAACAATCAAAACACCACGTAATCTATGTTGGAGAGGAGGAGCCGAAATTTATATACCCTCCCTCTTACATTCTGGAACACATCTATATGCTTCTTTTTACCCGGTGTAGTTCAAACGTCTATGCTATCCCACATACTCTGAATTAAACAATCATCCCGTATGCCGATGATCAACTATCAGCTTATCCCGAAGCATATGGTCCATCACATCCCTTGAGAGGAATGGAATACCCGACCCTCGGCAACAACTACAACAACGACAACAACAACAAATATTCATAGGGTTCAAGAATATAGCGAAATGATGTATTTTTGTTCTGTATAATTATATCGTAGAAGTTAGAGCCATGTATTTTACTAACAATTACTTCCTTCCATCCGACCGTGAGGAAGAAGTGGTGTGATGAGACCTCAAGAAGAATGATGGGTGTTGGTTAGACTCTCCGCATGCAGCCGTTGGATTGCCTCGGCACCTTCCCTGTCACCTTCACCGTTCCTCCGCGGCCAACCGGGCCATCAAATCGGTCTGGAGTGCAAGGGGGGCCCTCGGCGTATAATTCGTGCTCCCTCCTTTCGCTGTTTTTCTTCTCTTCCTTGTGTACCTTCACTCTAAAATTTAAAAACTCCCATCGTCCTCCCCGATAGAATTCGACACCAAAGCCTGTTCTGGTTGCCAGTGTTCCTGTGTTGAGTGTAATTCTACGGGTCTTTTCTCCACCACAAATAAAAAAAAAACCACACACCATGGCCATGTCCATGCGAACCACCCGCCATGCTACCAAGCTGGCTCAGGTTAGTTCCCGATCGCAACTGGTATCACCCTAATGCAGAGACTAAATCTAGCCATTGTGACAGTCTTCACGTCTATTGGCTCAGTATACCTCTCGTAGATCTTATGCGACGGCGGAACCCGATCTGAAGTCCGCCCTGAAGTCGGTCATCCCCGCCAAACGGGAACTCTTCCAGCAGGTGAAACAACAGGGTGACGAGGTGATTGGTGAGGTCAAGGTGGCCAATGTCATTGGTGGCATGCGTGGTCTCAAGTCGATGCTCTGGGAGGGCTCGGTCCTCGATCCCGATGAGGGGATCCGCTTCCACGGCAAGACCATCAAGGACTGTCAGAAGGAGCTCCCCAAGGGTACTTCCGGCACCGAGATGCTGCCCGAAGCCATGTTCTGGCTCCTCCTGACAGGCCAGGTTCCCTCGACCAGCCAGGTGCGCGCCTTCTCGCGCGAATTGGCCGAGAAGTCCCACCTCCCCCAGCACATCCTGGACCTCATCAAGTCCTTCCCCCGCGACATGCACCCCATGACGCAGCTCTCGATCGCCGTCGCTGCCCTGAACACCGAGTCGCAGTTCGCCAAGGCCTACGAGAAGGGTCTGAACAAGGCCGACTACTGGGAACCCACATTCGATGACAGCATCTCCTTGCTGGCCAAGATCCCCCGTGTCGCCGCCTTGGTCTTCCGCCCCAACGAGATCGACGCTGTCGGCACCCAAGCTCTCGACGTGACCCAGGATTGGTCTTACAACTTCGCCGAGCTGCTCGGCAAAGGTGGCCAACAGAACCAGGACTTCCACGATTTGCTGCGTCTGTACCTGGCTCTGCACGGTGACCACGAGGGCGGTAACGTGTCCGCCCACGCTACCCACTTGGTTGGAAGCGCCCTGAGCGACCCCTTCCTGAGCTACAGCGCTGGTCTTTTGGGTCTTGCCGGACCTCTGCACGGTCTTGCTGCCCAGGAAGTCCTGCGGTGGATCCTGTCCATGCAGGACAAGATCGGAACCAAGTTCACTGACGAGGATGTCCGTACCTATCTCTGGGACACCTTGAAGTCGGGTCGTGTCGTCCCTGGCTACGGTCATGGTGTCCTCCGCAAGCCTGACCCCCGCTTCGAGGCTCTTATGGACTTTGCTGCCACTCGCCCTGATGTTCTGGCGAACCCTGTCTTCCAATTGGTCAAGAAGAACTCCGAAATCGCCCCTGGTGTTCTTACGGAACATGGAAAGGTAACTGATGATGTCAGCTTTGTCCAAGCTACCTGTGCTAACGATACACTAGACTAAGAACCCTCACCCCAACGTCGACGCCGCCTCTGGTGTCCTCTTCTACCACTATGGATTCCAGCAGCCCCTCTACTACACCGTCACCTTCGGTGTCAGCCGTGCTCTGGGCCCTCTCGTCCAGCTCATCTGGGACCGTGCCCTCGGCCTGCCCATTGAGCGTCCTAAGAGCATCAACCTCCTGGGCCTGAAAAAATGATTGACGAATTCCAATCCCGGCGTGTAAAACATGTTTGAATGATAGCGTATTTTGATATCCGCAATGAACGTGTGTTCTTTCTTTGTTAAAGGTTAGCCTTTGTTCTCTTGCCTGCAGGGATTGATTTCCCTGCATCTAGCCATATGCCCATTTGCATAGACGTTAGATAGACTTTTAGAGAATAGAACTATATTGAGTTTTCTGCTTTCCTCTGTCTTCTCTTTTCCTTTTCTAATTTTCCCGGAATGATGTAACCTTTATGTATTAAGGCCATCCGTCCTCGCCATGATGTTTCACTAGCTGGAAGAGCATTTTTATGAGTAAGACTACTGTTTCACGTTGGGATTTCTAAATCAAGGATCTTTTCGAATTTTTCAATTTGACCCTTTATATGTAATCCCTATGTATATATTTCGAGACTGGGTATCCTGTATGGGCTATTTACAATTAATCCCGATGTTTTCCAATTGATTGATATGAGGCTCAATGATAGTGAAAGCGAGAGCGCAAAAAACAGAAATAGTGATGTCATAGAAGCTTATTATCGGATGTCAGGCCGCTTACTATTGCTCTACAGTCAACGGTAGGGAAAGACTTGATAGACACTTTCACCACGCCACTGTTTCAGGTATTCTTATGCTACAATGTGGTTGATAGTACCTTAGAAGCCATTGACTCACAAGGTAGCTTTCCTTTTCTCAAGGTATCAGAAAGCATTAACTCTTATGACTTCTCTGTTTTTTGACAATGGTTACGGATGGGTATAGTCCACCCCGTGCTCAGCTATTGTTTCACAGGTGTCCCGGGTAGGGCTTCCGCCGGTCCGTATTATTAAGGGATTCATTGAATGAAGCTAGTGGAACCTTACCTATCGTACGAAGGTTCCATGCAGAAGAGGCGTACAGTGCGTATGTAGAAGATACGAAATTGCAGGGCGCTCAAAATGACCAAATGGTGATTGATAGACTGGAGATTTAGAGCTGGGAATGTGACTATCCATCCTAAATAGCTGACAAATTCACTACGAGGAGATAGCTCCGAATGGAATATAAGGTACCTCTACAGCCTTCAGACCGAGAGTCCTCTCACCTCTCTACTCCAGGATCTATGAAACAAGAGTGCAACTGAATATTCTCTTGCTTGATTTCATAGCAAATAACAACTGAGCGTCTATCTTCAACGAAAATGTTGTTCCTCCCCGTTTTAACCTTCTTCATGATCTTGGTCTCCACTGCCCTTAGCCAATCCGTCGACGGCATTTCATCTCGCAGCATCGGAGTCCTCCAGATTGTCAACAGTCTATCCGCCCCAATTTATGCCTGGTCAGTGGCCGATAAAGAAAGCAGCATGTATACGCTTTCTGCCAAGGGTGGTACTTACGAGGAAATATGGCGTTTGAATCCTAAAGGGGGCCGCATCTCTGTCAAAGTGTCAACAAAGCCTGACCTTACAGCGAAGGATGTCATACAATTCGAGTATGAAATGAGCGGCGATAAGGTCTATTGGGATGTCTCATGCGCTGACCTCCACCAACCCTCTGAGTTCACCAAGCGTGGCTTTTCCGTTCAGCCCTCATCTAATGACTGCCCCTCCATCAGCTGCGCTGCCGGTGATGAGCAGTGTTCTCAAGTTCATCCTTGGTCAGAAGCAACACATAGCTGCTCTCTCATCACGTCCTTGACGTTCCAGCTTTAAAGCCACCGATACCATGTGATGGATTGGAGAGTGACTTCTTCTTTGTCTTTACTTTTCGCCAAATGGCTCTGAATACGACTAGGGTTATAGTTGACCTAAATCCGGATGGAGGGACGAGACCTTGTCTCTGGAAGATACGCGTTGAGCGACGTATCTTGAATGAACAGTTGCTGAATCAAGTATGACTTTCCATTGGCAGTTGAGTAGGCACCTAAATTAAGAGACCTACATCCACAAAGATGCGCACATAGATAGACTTGTTGTACATTTTCCAGCCCCAATGAAATGACCCTAATTCGTAGTTGACTTTGGCTCCTTGATGCCTGAAGGCCTGAGGTGGACACCCCGTGTGGGGAGAAGAGGGACTAACCTGAAGCAGGTTAGCTCATAGTCGGCTTCCCGCGCACCATGTCCGTGTCCGTGTCTGTCGCCTTCGTCCCTCCGAGCAATTGACCGATGCGATATGTCACAAGCAATAAAGGCATAGGCTCAGCAAGATGAGTGATACAGTTAGAGCTCGCCGAATATTACGCAAAACCTTTGCGTGCGACGAATGTAAACGGCGGAAAGTTCGATGTTCCGGTGATGATACTTGCTCCAATTGTGTCAGAGATGCGAAAGCATGCCGATACTCGTCCCCGTCGCAAAAATTATCGTCACTTCAAAGGTGAGGCTATCTACCACGGGTTCGAACTATATTATCCGGCCTGCGTGCGTTAAACGGTTGGAATAAATTTGCTTATATAACCCACTCAAGGCGTCTTCAAGAATATGAACAACTTCGACAGGATATGGAGAAGGCCTGGAGGACGTATCTGCCTACAGTTGATTTGCAAGAAGCACTTCGAACTGTACGAGAGAGCCGCCAGGTAGCACCGGTAAATACAAACCAGGATACCAAGCTCAGTACTGAGGTGGAACACCATACTGAGCAACTGCCGACAAACTTCACCGAACACAGCAATGCAGAGGACTATGAATTTGACGAATCGCAAGACTTTGATAACTCAATCGACGGTATGGGCTTCTTAACTGCTGATCCGCATAAGGCTGGGTATACAGGACCGCAGTCTGGCATAGCTGCGTTGAAATTCCTGCAGTCTCTTCCATTGTACCTTCCACTGAACAGCGTGAACACGCCCTCGTCATTGGATGAGGATGATTTTCCCGCCGCGCGATCCCAGTCAATGGCTACAGTTAGCCGTTATATTGATGACTATTTCGCTCTTTATCATCCTGCGTATCCCATACTACATGAAGGGACTTTTCGTGCGCGAATATCAGGTAAGCCCTGTGCACGAGCTTGACATGTATCAAATTTACTAAGGCATTTTAGGTGCCCTGGCTAAACCGCGGGACGGTTCGTGGCCGCTATTATATAACACAGTCCTCGCCATCGGTGCATTCGTTGGCGATTCAAATGCGACTAAATGTGACATCCCTTTCTACAAGGAAGCGCGTAGACACTTAACGATGGATGTCCTCGAGAAAGGGTCTTTGAGCTACGTGCAAGCTATTGTTATAATGGCTAATTACTTGCAAAAGCGCAACAAGCCTAACGCGGGGTTTATTCTTATTGGCATCGGCTTCAGCATGGCTCTTGCTATCGGCTTGCACCGCGAGTTCGGCATGCCAAGCACGTCACCTTTTACCATGGAGATCCGCCGACGCGTTTGGTGGACGCTGTTTGTCTTCGTCTCTGGGGCTCAGCTGACTCTCGGGAGGCCCGCAGTGTCCTTAGTTGGAGTGAACATTCGCCTCCCAGCGAACCTGGATGACCAGGATATTGCGGTTGATATGGAGCATTTGCCTGAGTGCAAGCCTGGGCCCACTATCACGTCTGCTCTAATTGCTCAAGTGAAGTTAGCTAAGATTGCAAATGCCGTTCAGGTGGAGCTTCTCACGCACCACGTTCCAAGATATGAGAAAGCTGTGAAACTGGAAGAGAGTATCGGGAATTGGTGGAAAGACCTGCCCGCATACTTCCACCAAGATGTCAACCTGGAACCACATTTGGAGTTGCCCAAGAGGGTTCTTTTATGGAGATCTTTTCACCTGCGTATCGTTCTGAACCGGCCCTTTTTATTCGAAGCTATAGCTACACGATCAGCCATCAGTACATCGGAGGGCCCGATCAAGTCGTGTCTCGCTGCAGCTGACGAATGTGTCACATCTATATGTGGATTCCTCAATCATACGGATAGTAGGAAACGGGGTCTCGCATGGTATGCAACATATTGGTTGATCACAGCGAGCTTTGTGCAGGCCACCTGTTACATCTATAGCCCCACTCATACAATGTCACCGTCATGGAAGGGGCATCTCCAACAGGCTGTGGACTGCCTTGAGAGTCTTGGGTCATCGCATGATATGGCGTTCCGCGCACGGAATGTATTACAGAAGCTCCTCGGTGAGACATGATACCTACCCATCTTCCTGTTCATAGTTCGTCACGGTTGTCAAGGGTTCAAGGCTAACATGATGCAGAACAAGGTCATGCTGTTGACTTAACTCAAAATAATAGCCCGAATCCAACAACGGCCTTGTCACGCCCTTCTCGTACCCTTTGGGCCCCACCGCCAGGTGCTCAAAATCAAGCAATATACAACCCGTTATCGATGGGGCTAGAGGATAGCTTTACGTGGTATCCACAAGGCATGTCTAATGCGGAACTCCTAGATGCGGCAGGAGGCTTCATGATTCAAAATTTCTTCGAGGGCTCAGAAGGACATTCAGGAACGAGTCCATGGATGCCAATGTGATCTACCGTCCGCTTAACACATGAACCTTGGCTATGGCCATATTGTACGTCTTTCCATCTAGAGACCGTGGGCTCGGTCAGCAACTTACCGATGCGGGCACATCGATTACTGAAGTATGCACTTATCTGACACATTAGCTAGAAGGATATGCATAGTAGCACACGGTGGACAGTATACCATTTGAACGGGTGATTTATTCTATAAACATAGATCGCTCGTTGCTATGCTGTATCGAGAACTACGCAAAGGGAAAGCTGTTTTGATGGACAATAGGCAGTTGTACGGATTCCAGTCACGCGGTTGAGGTACAATCGCATCCTATGATGGACTTGCAACATGAGTACTCCCTTCAATATGCTCCACCGATGAATTTTTCGCTACGAAGATTTGCTCTGCAGCGGCAGCTTCACCTTCTGCGAAATAGCCTTCCAGGCCGAAAAGCCGATTCATATCCTCGAGCGACCGATTCCTTGTCTCAACTGTATACCAACGTCAGCAATCAAATAACCGGTTGCAGATCGAACCAAATCCTCCCACCTAGCGCAAAGTGGACAAAAGCCAACGCGATTACACATATAGCGGCATAAATAACGTACAGACCCCACCCGATTGCATCTGCAATGGGTGGTGAGGCCTGGGCTACGATATAGCACATGGTCCAATTAGCGGAAGTTGCAAGTGCGTTGCCCTTCGCACGCATGGACAGTGGGAATATTTCTGACGGATATGTCCACGCTGCGACACCCCAGCTAATGTTAAAGAAGATATAGAACAGATACGGAAAGACCACCATGGCATAATTTCCCTTTGATCCAGGGTTCTCACCCGCGCGCCATTGCAATACTGCGATCCCGACCATGGCCAACATCATGCCGACGGTTCCGATTTGGAGCCATACCTTTCGGCCCAGACGGTCAAAGGAGAAGATGGGTATCCATGCACTGACGAACAGCGCGATCCCAACACCTCCTGTCGCCAAATTTGCGGTGCGTGGATCGGTGATCCCCCCCTTTTCGAATAATGTCGGCGTGTAGTAAAGTATTGAATTTGTCCCAGTGACTTGCTGGAAGCCTTGAATCCCACAACCGAGGAGAGTTAACCGCAGGATAGGGAGTTTAAACATTCCTCTCCAGGATGCTTTTGTGTGCTTCTCCAGGCGCATTGTTTCCTGGATCTGCTCGAGTTCTGTCGCTGCAGCCTCTGGGCCATGTAGTCTAATTAGAACCTCGCGAGCACAGTCATGTCGGTCCTGAGTGACAAGCCATCGTGGACTTGGCAAGACCCAGAGCCAGCAACCTATCCCCAGAACAATAGCGGGGAGAATTTGGATTGCCAAGGGAATGCGCCACCAGTCTTTTGTTGGTAGGTAGTTGAACCCATAGTTCATCCAGAACGCACACAGCTCACCAGTGCATAGAACCATTTGCTCTATTCCAATCAATCTTCCTCGGAGGGTTGGGGGAGCGATCTCCGATTGATATAGAGGTACCCCTGCTGCACACCCTCCGACACCATAGCCTAAGACGATGCGGCCAATTATCTGTGTGTTTGTCAAAAACATGGTATCGATGGGCAAAAGGCTGGCTGTTTACTATTTGGACAACCGTGTATGACGCAGCTTGCAAGACTGCACCGATAATAAAGACGATACTCGCAATAGCCAACATCCTCTCACGGCCATACCGATCCGATAGACTACCGGTAGACATGGCGCCAATGAAGCAGCCTATATCGTACATTGAAACGATGGCACCGGTTACCCCTGAGTGGCAATCAACCATTAAATACCCACCATATGAAATTGAAGTTGATGGTATCGAACATACATGAATTCTTAGGATGCATTAAATCGTTAAACCGTTGATCGGCAACAATAACACCCATCACTCCTTGGTCGTAGCCAAATAGCAGCGCACCTAGGGACACAAATGCAGCCAGTTTGTATACATACCATGGATCCCTTTGCCGAGGTGCAGAGGGATCCATCCCCGCTGGTGGGCGTATCAATTTCGTTTGTTGGAGTGACCACATTTTTGATTTTGATCGACCTGGTCACTTTGCGAAACAAAGATCCTTTACATCTTCGCCGGAGCTTCATGCGATATATATACTCCACGATTTGAAGTAATCCACGAAATCTGGGGTGAAGCCGTCCGGGGTAAGTAGTAGCTCTGCAGCGATATCTTGGACTTACTTCCCCACGTTGTGTCGGGGAAGGTTGTTCGTCTTCGGCGATATGTCCGAGCTCGTATCCACTTGAGGGACACCCCGCCAACCCATTTGTACATCAGCTGCTCGGAGATAGAAGCGAGAAACCTTATTCTATGTGGATCTTTTATCACGCCTCTTGGGTATAGAAGTTGCATCGTGTGTGTGTATGGAAGAAGTCCTTATTCGGACTGCTGGACCCCGCATAAATAATCGACTAGGAGTAGGAGAATATAAGTACTAGACTATCTACTCTATCTACTTGTTCGAACCTCAAGTACGGCCTACCCAAGCAAGCATTAAGTTCAGCAAAGAACATCACAAGCCCTAAACACTATGTCCCTCACTGGAAAGGTTGCCCTAGTCACAGGCGGTGCGAGAGGAATCGGTGCGGGAATAGTTCGTGCTTTAAGCGAACAAGGAGCAAAGGTATGTCGACTACCCAACCTACCTACTTTGTTCATCAATAGAGTTCTTACGAAGAACAGGTCGCATTCAACTATGTTTCCCCATCGTCACGCACAGCTGCAGAATCTCTTGTCGAATCCTTACGGAACGACGGCCATAAAGCATTCGGCATACAGGCCGATCTGGCCGATATCAAGGCCCCAGCGACCCTTGTCTCCGCGGTTTTGTCTGCGTTTCAAACCACCCAGATCGATATCCTCGTCAACAATGCCGGAGCGGGCGACAACAGACCCCTAGAAGAAGTAACTCTTGAAAGCTATAACAGGCTCATGGATATCAACGTCCGCGCTGTGGTCTTCATGACCCAGGCAGTTCTGCCTTACATCCCCCGCGGTGGCCGCATCATTAATCTCTCATCCATCTCCGCGAGAGGCGGCTACCCAACACAGTCTGTCTACGCGGCTACCAAAGCCGCCGTTGAGGGTCTCACCCGCGTATGGGCTACCGAGTTGGGTCACAAGTATGGTGTCACAGTCAATGCTGTGAACCCGGGCCCTGTCGATACCGACATGTACCAGGCTGCCGGACCAGTCCATCTCGCCAGGATGGAAGAGCAGAACAAGAAGGTACCTGCCGGTCAGCGATGCGGCACGACTCAGGATATTGCGGATATTATTACGTTTTTGGCGGAGGAAAGATCGCGGTGGGTCACGGGGGATGTGATCTGTGCGAATGGCGGTATGCTGTATACTTGATATTGTGAAAAACACCTTTTCCCATATTGAAAAAGCTTCTACAATATATCTCAATTCTACTCAACCAAAACATCTACATGGCGTTAGGGCAGTGCCTTGAACATCTGATTCCTAACAACATATATCTATATCACATAGATGAGCCGAACTTCAAGCCGAAGGGTATTCAGTCTGTTAAATATCTGCGGTCCATCGGTACTAGTATAGAGTGGCTGTCTCGTTCATCCATTGTGTGTAGAACTTGGGCATTGATATAAGGAATGCTACCTTTTTCCTTTTTGTCTTAGGGAGAAGAGTTATTGTGAGTAGGTTACAGAAATGAACTATCACCTACAGACATACAATGAATCCTTGAAATTATTACTATACAATCATCGGCCTTTCCATCTTTAATATATCCAAAATCAAAAGGGATTGACTCACTTAATTTCCATCTTCTTTAAAAAGAGACTCGTTCCCCTTCATATAGACCGTCTAACAATCAGTCAGGATACAAATTTACCGCCATAGCCTAAATAAACGCTACTTTGTCGAGCTACCTAACAATCCCAATCCAACATCCCGAGAAATCTTCTCTCGTTGTTCTCCATGGAAGACTAAAAGATAGAGAAAAGAGAGACAGAGAAAGCCCAGAAATAAGATGTGTAGATAGCACTGAGAGAGTGAGTGAGGCTGGTCTCTCGCAAATAGACCCGACGCACGTCTGGAATAGGTTGGTTCGTTATTCATATTTTGTAGTATGATAATCATTTGTAACAGACGAGTAGCATTCAAGGATGTGGACGGTCGTCCTGCTCTCTGAGAAATGAACCTCTAGAATTGTGCACCCTCCACTCCTGGGGGTGCGACTTTGCGCAGACCAGAATATCTATATAAGTTTGGCCATCGCAATTCTCTACTTCTTCATTTGCTCCCAGCTCGCAAAGCTTATCAATCGCTATGGTCCTAATGTTTCGCGCAGCTTTGTGCAAGGGAGACGTACTAATATGAGGCTCTTCTAATTTAACCCGGTGGAAAGCCAGCCATGCAATAAATAATGAGACATAATAAGACGAATAAAAAGGCAATAAAAAGAATTTAACACATCTTCATTTTTATACACCCCCCAAACCAACGACTAATTCAACTTTCACTCTATTAAACAAGACATTATTCCCGGAAACCATGTCTAATCATCCAAAATCTGCACTTTAATAGCCTTCGAAGCAGGATTGCTCGCTGTCTCAAAGGCCTTGATCCCATCCTCCAATGCAAATCGATGCGAAACCAACGGTTTCAAATCAATGATTCCTGCAGCGACGAGACCAATTGCCTTCGGGTAGATATCGTGATATCTATACTGCCAGCGGAGATCTATCTCTTTGGCGGAGAGATGCATAAAAGGGATGGTTTGGAAATCCTTGCCGACGCCGATCACGAAGACGGAGCCGCCGAAACGGGTGGACTGTTTTGGCAGGAAGGTTTAGTTACTTTGTTTTGCGTATTGAGGACAGGAGAAAGATGGGCCTACATAGATTCCAGCATGGATACTAGACTCCACACCCGTGCATTCAATGACCAATTTCGCCTCTTGGCCTAAAGTCTCGACGATTCTGCCCGCCAGGGCCTTGGGAGTGTCTTCTCTCGTGACTTGCACTGGTCGTACGCGGGGAACTAGTTCCTTTGCCTTTGCAAGACGGCCTTCGTCTAAGTCTGTAATGACGATGGGTTCTGCGCCTGCTGCGTTGGCGGCGAGTAGAGTAACAAGACCGATGGGCCCGGCCCCGCAGATCACCAGGGGATCAGCAAGACGGAGTCCGGATCTATCGATTCCTGCTAGGGCAACGGTCAAGGGTTCCAGAAGGGCACCTTCTTCGAAAGAGATGTTGTCGGGGATATGGTGCAGCCATGCCTCGGGGTGGACGTGGTATCGACGGAGAGTGCCGTGGTGAGGTGGCGTGGAGAAGAAGACCACGTCCGGGCAGGCGTTGTATTGGCCGGTTCGGCAGAAGTAACAGGTGGGTTTGGAGCAGGGGACACCGCATTCCATGGCAACTTTGTCGCCTGTTTGGAGTGGTCAGTATGTATGTTTTTCTCATGCGTGGGGGTGAACGAGGGTCTGTGTTTCGATAGATGCCTTACCGGGCTTGAACCGAGTTACATCCTTGCCGACCTTGAGAACTACTCCGGCACTTTCATGGCCTAGACCGTTGTCCCCTGTTACGACCATATCTCCGATGTGGCCATGTTTCCAGAAGTGTACGTCGGAGCCACAGATTCCAGTGGCACGGACGTGGACGAGACACTCATGGGGTTGGATCTCGGGGATGTCTGATTTGACGAGACGGAGGTCGTTGGCGGGGCTGGTATGGATGGCATGGTTGTAGGGTTTGCGGTCGAGGATATCCATCTTGTAGTTCGGTATGACTGTGATTGAGCTTGTTTGTTGTTTCTTGAATGGTCATACAGGAGCTACTTATATATCTTGCTTTGGAGGCCGAAAATTGGAGAACTTGACGAGTTGGCAGATTGGAGACGCTTCTCCATCATCAAGTAGGATGGCTCTTCGGACGTACCACCGAATGGGTGGGTTACTGGCCAATATTCGTGCTCTCATCCTGCAGAAGATCATGTGTTGTTGATCTGTGAGCCAAGTAATGATTGTCAGGGCCTGCGATTCTAAGTCATTCGTGAAATGCGATTCGGGATCATCTCCGAAGAGGGAACAAGCATAAAGTTCCCGGTTACTGTGGACGATTTACCACTTCGGAACTTCCCCGATGCATCACATCACAACATGGCCTTTTCGGTAGGTCTATCCATAGTGAACAGCTGGTTGGGGGTGAACACGTACTGCCAGCCCTAGTTAATAGCATTGGTCTAGACTTGCCCCGCAACAAATGGCTACCAAGTGGGGTGCTAGTTGCATATGCAGAAAACTAGACGATTCTCAACAAGCATCCGAGGCTCTTCTAAGGATTCCAATTATTCGATTCGTTATTCGTCTTAACACTTCTGCAACCCATTGGTACTGGATAACGTCCACCAGCCCGCCGGACGGCCGAACTGATGTGTAAGATAATATTACCGCGGACTTTCACCTCGTACCTTGTACAACGAGGATACCATTGTCGATATAATCAGTGATATCTACCATGTCTACTTTGCAGCTGAATTCCATTTTTACTTAGAAGGTTGCCAGGCCCCCGCTCCAAGGTCGTGCTATTAATCAGGCCTTGTGTGAGGAACTTCATTTCAACACTGCGGTAACCTCGTTGATGAAACGACTGTTCTACATTCGGTACTCAGAAGTAGCGGCTTATATTGAGTTTATTCGCCCTTAATCCCGGGCATTCGTATATCTCGAACACTATGAGATACGTGGCGGTTCGTGTCCAGATCGTTTTAGTTATGAAGAGCCGAGGCTAGACCTTCTCCTTTAAAATACTCTCGCAGCATTCATACACCACATATCTTCCAGGATATTCTATTCAAAAGCTTTCTAAACCTAGCTGTAGAGTAACATGACTAGCCCTACATTAAAGTATCATTTGAGCGAGGGTGTGGTCGTTAATGAGATCCTAAAAGAGGTTAGTGTCGATGCAATCTTTGATATCAGATTTGCTTTGATGCTCCTATACGAAAGAAAGAACTGTCCTTGTATTTTTCAGTTGCAGACGCCTTCATGAAACTATAGATGCAAGACATTTATTACTACACTTAATGCAGTTCTCTTGCTTTTGTTTGGAAAACAACGCGAAGTCCGCTTGCAGACAAAACGGAGCTTTCACAAAGGGCCCATTATCCCGGATATAGTACTTTACGGGCGTGTCCAGCCATGGAGAAACCTCATTTATCTTCTTTTCCCTTTCATTAAATCTTTTCTTTGAAGATCAAATGCAGCGAGGGAGATATCGTGCGTAGTTCCTTGAATCTATCGAAGCAATATCAAGCATATAAACATGAACAATCTCCGATGCTTCAGTGAAATATCGGATTTCAACTCCGAACATCTATCCGCCTGTCATCATACCCTGATCTTCGTTCTCACTCACTGCTCTACTAGAAAGAAACATGAATCTCAAACTCTGGACCCTGTTTCTCTTCGCCACCGGCACATTGGCCAAATGTCGGCTAAGCGCCGAATATCCAGAATGCGAATGGAATGGCAGCGCGCCTTTCTGTAAAGGCGCAAAGGATGGTAGTAAGCTCTTCGCCAGCAAAGGGATGAAGTTCATTGTCGGCACTTCTTCATATGAGAGGTTGCCATACGATGTCAGTCAATCACCATGTAAGCATGACTTCGGTCATACTTGCCAACAGTTCTTCGAGAAAACCCTTTGGTGTAAACCGAAGGATTGATCTTTTGGTTCAACCCATGCGTATTCTCCTGTTTGTAGCTGTAGTTTGGGTTGGTGCTTCACTTCTCTTCATTTTTGTGATATGACCAGCTGACCTCTGGCAAATAGTAGATCCTCCGATATAAAAAGCCGGACAAGTCTAGTCTGGGCATAAGCTAGGATCATCATCCAACCTTTTATTGTTGTTATATCACTGTATCAACTAGCGGGTTTATGCACAATTGTCAGATGATCTTGTACCTCACCGTACGGGCTTTATGGTGGATGGAGACTAAGATGTGATGGGATTACAGTGATCGTCCTCTCAAGTCCAGAAAATTTCAGATAGCAACATGGCTGTATCGAGTACAGCGTTTCCCAAAATACTATGTCCATGACATACACTCCTCATTTGCTCTCAAACCCTAACGCTAAGAAAGCCTATGACGTGCCAGCCTCAATATAGCCAGTAGACTGTAACCAACCTTGTAAGCTATATCATACTAGGACTATAATTACAGATATCTGTCATATTCTGTTGTCCACCACGCCAATCTTGCACTTCTTCGAACTAACTGCGTTGACTTTCAACCCACCACTGCGTTCATTGCCCCCATATGCAGGTAAAGGCACATAAGTGTGATGTGTCGGAAGCACTTCAGAGTGACCCCGCATTTGTTGGCTGTCAATCGAACACCTCGATTTAGGACACGGTGTATCGCACTCACCATGAGTCCAAGAACACACCTCATTATTGAGGACGGAAATTACATGTGTATGCTCTGCAACCGAGAGTTTTCTACTGAAAGAGCATTGCTTCATCACTGCAGAGAAACCACTCGTCATTGCTGGTGTGAACGATGTGTTCGCATATTCCCCTCTCCATCAGCCAAGGCTCAGCACCTTCGGCAATCAAGCGCACACTATATCTGTCAGCTGTGCGCTCACAGACCGGACTTTACATCTGAGGATGAACTTGAAGACCATGAAATAGATCATCATCACCTTTGTGCTGATTGCGATCTTTACCACAATTCCGAGGAGCAGCTACGCCTCCACGATGTCGACGTCCATAACCTTTGTGTGGAGTGTGATGAATACTACTCTAGCAAAAACAGCTTACGGATGGTACATATGTTTAGTCTCCTTGACTCTTATAAGTAACTAACTTATAATTATAACTCAATATAGCACCAGCAAAAGCACCAACCTCGAGTTCTAGAATGTTACGGTCGTCGATGTAGCCAAACGTTCAAATCGATCTCCGGAATGCTGATCCATTTGGAATCAGGATACTGCGTATCGAGCTCGGCTGAGGACTATATCGACGATATAGCTCGCGAGTGTTACCAGAACCAAAAATACATCATGGATACTCTTGACGGCGGGTGGCTCTACTTCTGCTCTGCTTGTGACAAAGACTTTCCGTATCTCTCTGCTCTATGGCAACATTGCGAGGATTCCCTAAGTTGTTCGTATCTTCTCCGAGACCAGCAATGCTTAGCCAAGTTACAACGATATCTTTATCGTAAACTACGGTGATTACGCTATTTCATCGGAACCAGGCAAGTGTTGGTATAGTATTCAGTAAGTGTTGAGTCAACGAGTTAGATAGCATATATTTGGAGAATGGAGTGCTGAGCACCCTGAGCTGTTCCTCGTTGAGGGAACGAGCGGCACGAAGGTGTGAATGTGAAAAGACTCAGCTAATCCCATGATGCAACGGATGATTGTGCTCACTTGAGGGTTTCTGACCAGGTAAAATTACTTGAGACAGCGGTGGAGTATATCCAACTCCTCCAAGACCAATTCGAGGAGTTGAGAGTCTTGCTAACTCTGGGCACGCGATATTACCGAATTTAGACTCGGTGGCTGAGCATGTCGAACAGTGCGTCCGGTGCCGGCATCGAATGTGGAGAGGAACTGGCGCTTGATTCCTTGTCGGTAGATTCAGATGAAGCCAATGAGAAAGCTGTCCTCGAGTATCAGATCCTGGCTAGGGCCTATCAGAGGCCGTCTATGGCAGGTGGAATGGGATACATCCATTGTGCGAAGTATCAACTTGGACGGTGTCTCACGCCACAAGACTGTGTGGTAAACGGTTTGGCACTTACAATTAAGATTAGATCGTGGCCAAGAGGCTGCAATTCTGCCAAATGGGAACCGTGAGATTGACCACATGGATCGTGTCCGCACCGTTCCAAGCATTCGCCCATAAAGTAGCGTATTTGTGGGGTGGTTCACACACAGGCGAGTCATCGGGGCCTACATGGATTGGGAAGCATGACTCTGGGCAGCAGGCTTGGGCGATACTGGTAATTTGACAGCCGGACACGTGCTGGTATGCGGAGTTGGATTAGTCGGCGGACACTCAGTCCAGGAAGAACTTGGCAGCTCGGCGGAACTGGACTGTCTTGGTCTCTTGGCATCATGGTATGTAGAACGTTCAACTGGCTCAGGAGACACAGTAGGACTATAATGATGTTACGACTCATATAAAGGCCTGGACCGGATCGTTCTGCTGTCTTTCCCTCCCTGCCCTGCCATCAACATCCTGGAAAAGCGACGATTCGCCTTGGAGTCTCGCTTGTTGCGTGGCAACCGTCAGGATGGTTCTTCACCAATACGATTACATCTTCGCCATCGGGACGATATTCGCCTTTCTGGATGCCTGGAATATTGGCGCCAATGATGCCGCCAACTCCTGGGCGACGTCTGTCTCGTCGCGGTCGATCAAGCTCTGGCAGGCCTTGATTCTGGGATCTATCATGGAGTTTGCTGGAGCGTAAGCTTGCCACTGGCGTGCTATTAAATTCCCATATTTGGACCTTGTAGTGTTGACAGGATTCCATAGTGTCGGTGTAGGAGACAGTGTTTCTGATACGATCCGGACAAAAATCGTCGACGTCGATGTATTCGCCGAAAATCCTCCCCTCCTGATGCTTGGAATGTGCTGCGCAGTGGTTGGCTCAGCTATATACCTCAGTATCTGTACGAAAATGGGTCTTCCAGTGTCCACAACTCACTCCATCCTGGGAGGCGTCCTGGGAATGGGTATCGCGCTTATTGGAGCCGATAATGTTATCTGGTGGGGTGGTAATATCGATTCTGGAGTGGTACAGGTATTCCTTGCTTGGATTATCGCACCTCTGTTGTCTGGTGTGGCTGCTTCGTTGATCTTCTTGATCACTAAATATGGTATCCTGCTGCGTCGGAACTCTGCACTCAAAGCGTTGTATACTGTTCCGTTCTACTTCCTCCTGACCTCCGCCCTCCTGACTAGTATGTCTGCCCCCTTACCCGTATAGCCTTCTGTCCAGATTTCTGACATACCACAGTGCTTATCGTCTGGAAGGGTGGTAGCAGCAGGATCGACCTGGAGGGTGGTGAGATTGCTGGCACTGTGGTGGGTGTTGGTGCTGGTATCTCTGTCCTCTCTGCTATTTTCCTTTGCCCCTGGCTCTACCGCCGGGTCATCCTGAGCGACTGGCAACTCAAGCCCTGGCATATCATCCAAGGCCCTCTTCTCCTACGCCGTGGTGAAGTGCCTTCTCGCCCTGCGCATGTGAAGGCCGTTCGAAACTTCTATGAAGGCCACAAGACCCTGGATCAACTGCAAGCTGACCGATCTGGCGATGTCGAGAACAACAGTGAGCATTCCTCTCGCGATCCCAAGAGCGAGCCCCACGGTACTTCGAGCTCGGGTGATGATGCAGCTCATACGAACGGTGATGTTATCAACCTCTGTGGTCCCCGTCCTGAGGGAGTTTGGTATAGTCCTGCAGTTATGTTCTGGCTATTCAAGAAGGCCCTCTTCCGTGGTCTTGAGCAGGACATTGTTAGCGCCCAGAAGAAGGACAGCAAGCTTGCGGGTGACCTCGAAAAGACCCACGCACACTCCGACCACTATGATAACGAAGCAGAGTACATGTTTTCTTTCCTCCAGATTCTGACGGCCTGTACGGCCGCCTTCACCCATGGTGCCAATGATGTTGCTAAGTGAGACTTGCCCGAACTTCTCTAGGCCACCAACAGGCCAATGCTAACCATTCCTAGTGCTGTTGGTCCGTATGCCACCATCTATGCTATTTGGCGAAGTGGTGCCCTTGAAGGCGCCGAGACTCCTGTTCCCATCTGGATTCTGTAAGTCTTTCATCCATCTAACGTCAGGGAGTTCGCACGCTAACCCATATCCTCCAGTGTATTCGGTGGTGCTTCCATCACCATCGGTATCTGGACTTATGGCTATCACATCATGAGCTTCCTGGGTAACCGTCTGACCCTGCACTCTCCCTCCCGTGGGTTCACTATGGAACTCGGTGCGGCCATCGCTGTGATTATCGCCACCCGGCTGAGTATGTCGCCCTCTTGAAACCCTCGTCAAGCGTCGCTCACTAACGTGTCGTGCCTACAGGCCTCCCCGTCTCCACCACCCAGTGTATCACCGGCGCTACAGTTGGCGTTGGCCTGTGCAACGGCACCTGGAGAACGATCAACTGGAGAATGGTCGCCTGGATCTACATGGGCTGGATCATCACCCTCCCTTGCGCCGGTATCATCTCCGGCTGTCTAGTTGGCATCATCGTGAACGCGCCTCGCTGGGGTATGCCCTAGTCGTCGGGCTTACTTGGTGGACTTACCTTGCTATGGCAGTGTGGCTTGATCCATCGAACTTGTGTTAGTTCCTCCGGCCAGAACAAGATTAGATATCTTTATTTTGTCTGTTTCTCTCGGTGGTGAGCATGGAATGAGCGTCGTGATTCGACAACATAATCAACCTTGAGAATGTACATACACTGAACAATCACTTGTAGTCTCATATAAAGGCCAAAATTAATAATGTATTTCTAGAGACTGGTCCGCGGAGAACCTTAGAAAACAGCCATCCACCACTCTGCAACGTCTCAAACACACCATCAGGATCATACTTCAACGCAATATCCTTCAACCTATCCACAATCTCAGCCCCATAACTTGCCAATGGATCCTGATCCCGCGAAGCATAATTACAGTGCTGGAAGGGAGGATACATCCCGTTTACTTTTGCCGTCGTTTCAGCTGCGTCTACAATGTGACGCATAGCTTGGCGTACACGGTCTCCGTCTGCGGGGTTATCCAATCGGCCATCATTAGAAACCCTGGGCTTGATTAGCCAGTATATTATTGAAGAGTCAGAGTCAGGAGAGGTAATGTACATTGCTGACCGATCTCCTCCAGTCCTAGTGAGTTCCGCATAGACCCCTTACATAGTAGACTATAACATATCGCCACAGTAATCCCTCACAGTCAAGTACCACAGCATCTACATAATCCTGCAAAGTAGTAGTTAAGTAGGGATAGAAACGCTTCGAAAACGTGGCAGTCAACATATTAATCTATCCAGATTAGCTCACCCATCTACCTGTTTGCTATCCAGACAAGTGTCGCCACCTGCTCGAGTCAGATTAAGCAGGGATGCGCTGCGCCTAGACCCAGAACTGGTATAGACTGGATTGGACCCAAAATGGTGTCAAACTAAGCCTTGCGACTAAAGGGGCATCAGCGCTAGATCCGCTTTTACGAGGTCTGAGTATTCTGCAGAAAAAGTGCCTGGATTGTGGGTACTTCCATGATCTGCATTATTCCTATCTTGGGAGAAGTATGACAACATCACTGGTTAGACTTTAAGCCACATTGTCTTGACTCTTTTATGACATAATAAATTTGCCTCTCTGCTAACGGTTGCTATTGATGATTGTGATGGTGATGTGGGTGGTCGTGCTGCTTTTGCCACAATGCTGTGCTAGGTTTGCCTCTGTGGGGAGCTAGCTATAAAGGGGCTCAACATCGAGTTCGCTTGATAGTTCAAAGTCATGATTCAGGATCTATAAGCGAAAGCCAATTCCCAGATGGGTCTCCGGAACGCTCGCCCTTGGGATTAGTTGTTGATCGATCGGTATCGAAACACCCATGCCACCTCGAATACTCTCTATATACAGGAAAGGTCTATTCCACCCTCTAAGAAACGAAAAAGAATAATATACAATCATTAACCCATCCCAAACCCTCCCAAAAGCAACCCAATTACTCCCGCCAAGATTCCACCCTCAAAATAAACATACATACGTAATATAACTCGGTCCAATGCCGACTGGCTAATGCCTCTCAACCGTAACCTCCATAACTTTATGAATGCCCCTCTCCGGGTCCCCGACACTGGCAAACATGCCCTGATTGGTATTTCCCAGGATATGTTCTTCCGAGTCATTATCTGCTGTCACTTTCGATGATGATATCGTCGTTGTGTGCGGCGTGCTATTATCGTATGGCCGGGGGCTTCGGGGGATATCGAACCTGGCATCGTCGCGGCCAAGGTTGCTGAGAGCCAGTTTCCGACTGGAGGCTCGTGTTTGACGGTTTCCTGAGGTGAGGGGGTAGTCTTGTCCGGTTGGGCGGCGGCGGTAGGAACTGATGTTGGAGACGAAGACGCGGAAGTAAGGGCCGTAGGTTGGGACGCAGGCTATTATTACCTTTTGGTTGTGGAGTGGGGTGTTAGTTTGGGAGGAGGAGGTATTGGCTGGGGAGGGGACTCACTGCTAAGCTGGTCTCGATGATGGACCATAAAATGACCGGTTTACTATCCGTGTAGGTCTTGAGTCGTGCGATGGTGAAGATGCGGATTATTTGGATGATTGTTACGAAGAACCCGAGGGCGAATACGCAGCAGAGAGCGACCTGGGGGATTGAAGTTTTAACTTCCTCGATTCTTTGTATGCAAAGTAAGAGAAACCGGGATGGATTACCTTTTGTCGTTTTCCGAGTTGCAGGTTCCAGAGGACGGGGAGAGGGAGGGCGATGATGATGATGTCGAACCCTAGACTGGTTCCTGAATGGTCGTTAAGAATTGGACAAGCAATAGATGGATGGCATAAGTGAGAAATGCGAACCTGCGAGAGCTGGAGGGTTGTTAGTTAAACCCTCACACCAAGTGATCCATTAGTGATTACGCACCATAGTATGACTTCAGGGTATTGATACAAGTCCCGCTAAGGCTCGTATCCCATTGCATTGCGATCTGTGGTCGCGTCAACATCGTCGCCTACTGGTAGGTGTGGTCTTGATTCCATACCGGTTTGCACGGGAAGATAAAGAGGAAGGTGAAGATGACTTGGTTGATCGCCACGGCCACGATCGCAACGATAATGATGGTTCGGTACACCTTCACAAATCCACCGATACGAAGGTACGACGCCAGTAGCGAGACCTTAAACCCCAGCAAAGACATCGCGTATAACGGACCGCCAACATATTGGATCTGAACGAGCGAAACGTTAAGAGCGCTCATCCACGGCCCGGAGGGGCAGGCAGTCAGGAAACCAACACATACCTTACTGAATTCCTTCACATTGGCCGTGGGAAAGTACTCAGCATGAAGACCGAGACCCCATCGAGTCTCTGTGGCCGTTGTTAGGGATCTAGTCTTTCTTGTTCTTTTTCCAACCACCATAGAAGACCACTCACGATATATACTACTCACACCATATCCGGTGACCATGAGCGCACTGTAAAGAGCGGCATAATCATCCAGCCATAATGCTCTCTTGGTGTGAATTCGGATGTAGAACCGCAGGGCAACAGCTAGAAGGGCTGCGATCGCGAACACCAGACATATGGCAATAACTTGGCCAAAATCACTGTGTGGATCGGGCTTTTCGAGATTGTACACCCAGCCCATGGTGTTGAAACAGTGTCACAACTTCAACAACTCATGTCAATTGCAGAATGGGGGCTAGACCGGGGGGGATAAAGATGCCAGGGAGGCTTTAGTGGTGCACATTCTAAAATGAAATTGATTGTTCAAAGTTTCAATTTTTTTTTGACCTGCTCATTTCATACCAAGGTTCAATAACAATCTCGCTCTGCACTCACTAGTTGCAGCAGAACGCCACCAGAGATTAACTCTCTCCACCACGAGGAATACTAAAATGTGCACCCCTGCAGCTGCAACTCGAGCTGAGCCAGTCTTCTGGAAACAAAAGCAAGGGGGGGGGGCCGTGTGTGAGTGCCCTGAATAGTTGGTATGTTGCTTAATGGGTCCCTAGTGTAAAGTTTGAGCCTGATGTATGGGGCTATGGGGCGGATAATCATCTGTTCCACTGGCATTTCGATTAATGGTGTTCAAATAGTGGCTTGGGATTTCCAGGGTCGGATTTCTCCGGTGGAGGGAGGAGTAAGTGTGTTACGTATAAATTGCTTCCCGTGACTGTGTCGACCCTATTTCTCGGCGTGCCAATAGTTGGACTGTGGACACACGCGGAGTAGAGTATATGCGATCTTGCTATAGGAATCGGAATACAAGAGTCAAGAATGTATGAAGCTAGTATTCAAAATTATTCAATGTATGACGTAGCGTAGTTATGGAATTGCAACCTCGCCGCCCGCCAGGATAGTGTAGCAGTCGGTGTTACTCTGTACGGTCTGCACAGAAATGCTAAGATTCGGAATTACGGGTCAAGGGCCTTTGCTAAAACAGGAATCAGTCCTGCAAAGCCTTGACAAATTAGGAATTTGAATTCGGCTGCGAGACATTCAAAAAACACTCCCGAAAATGACCCGATGTGCACGTGATGAGAAGCCCGAATCAGGCAACAGATGCCCGTTAATGTGGGGAGAAAAAGGTGGGTTTTGACGTGATAGTACACTCAAGCAAATAAACCAGATCATTGCTTGTACCCTTACCGCAGATGCCAGTCGCCAAGAAGAAGGAGATTGAACACAAATTCAATCCATGGAGGATGTGTGGTCATTGTGGTGCCGTGCACCGATCTGCAGAGGTCAGATCAAAGATGGAGGATCTTTAGCGAACTGCAACCCATGGATCAGATGGCAGTCTATTTGCTCGACTACGTCTGCGAAGGGAAGGTAGTGGCATCGCCCCATGGAAAGGGATAACCCTTGCCAAGATAAGCTTTGAATGTGCACTCTAAAGGCGCCACGAGCAGAAGGTGACTGCGGTTGACCTGCCAAATGCGTTCGCTCTGGAAGATTGTTCCGCGGATTACAAAATGCATACCTATTAAAATATATTAACGGACTACTGCAACCTCCGTCCTCCGAGCAATGCCGGAGAGCCGAGGTTCAGAGTCTCAGATTCAATTCTTCTGCCTCCTGCCTTCTGGAAGCTGGACTGAGAATGAGAAACGTACGATCAGATCTCCACCTGGCATTGACTAGTTTAGGGGGCGAAGAAATACCATTCAGTAAAGATAGACGGCGGCATTGCTTTTCGGTTGATGCGATCAATAAAAATATTCGGGGATATTACGCAGTCTCCTGGAGCGAAGGATCGTGATTGACGTGACAATTAACCCTAAGCATTCGAACTATTTTGCTCCACTGGTTCCACTAGCGGAAAAATTCCGGGAAAATGCCACCCATGAAGTGCACGCATTGGCTCCCCAAGGAATATTGAAGCATAATCCATGGATGAATATCAGTCTAAGTAACTTTATCTCACTTTAGTTTCTATGTACAGTTCCCTAAAAATTCCGCCACTCTTTGTTCATCCCCGTCTTCTTCCTAGACACTGCACAAACGACCATCTTCACGAACGGTCCACTCATCCGCTCCGACAGCGGTAGTGGCGTAAAAGAGATTGCCCGGGTCGTATTTAGCTTTGATCTTGCGCAGGGTTGCGTAGTTGTCACCGTAGAAATATTTCTGCCAGTTAGGTTGACGGAAGTCGGCCTCGTTCAGGTAAGCCCCGGAGTGCGGAGCGACCTTGGTCAAGGCTGAAATATAGTGGCTGGTCATCTTGTCCTGCTCGGCAAGCATCTCACTGCGGGCATCCCACTTCCAGGGGGTGGTGATGGTGGTGTGGATCAGGGTCTCACGCCAAGCGGGCAGCACCGCGTTGTCGACATCCCCCACTAACGCCTTGGAGACATTCAGGCCCACGCCGATAAAGGTGGCTCCATCTTCGGTGATCTGTCTGTATGCGGCCGTAAGTCCGTCGTTGTTGTTTTCCACCACCGACCGGGGGATCAGCCATCCACCATACTGGGCGGTGGCCACCTCGATCGCGCCCTGCATGGCGTTGAATTCCTCCAAGTAGCTGTCGAACTGCTTGGAGTAGGTTGTGTAGGTGATTCCCAGCTTCGTCAGTCCGTCGGTGAAGGGTTTCACAAGGGCCTCCAGGTCAGCGACCGGGATGTTGGGACCGGTCAACGGCGTGATGAGAAAGCTGGTGTTGGTGAACATCCAGACGGCCATGGCACCGGCGTCCACGACCGAGGGCAGCACGGTCTGCCAGAGCGAGACAGCCTCATAGAAGGTATCCTGGGACATGCCAGCATTGGTGAAGCTCAAGTTGTAACCCGATACCGGAGTGCCAGCGTGCGCCTTGGAAGTCAGCGACCAGACGACCCCATAGGAACCACCACCGCCGCCGCTGAGAGCCCAGTAGAGGTCGGAGTATTCGTTGTCGCGAGTGGCAGTAATGAAGTTACCCTCGCCGTCAATCACCTCCCACTCAAGCGCCTGGTCAGCGCCAAGTCCATACCGCGATGACAGGGCCGAATGACCTCCGCCCTGGGTGTAACCGCCAGAAATGCCCACGGACGGACATTCGCCGCCGACCACCTGAAGACCTGCATTGTGGCCGGCCTGGTACGCCTCTCCACCTTGCACACCGGCACCCATCTTGATGGCCTTGCCTTGGTAGTGCTTGTCCTTGTAGTCCTTGATTTCAATATCTTTGAGATGGTGCATCCAGATACCCAGCGCGCCGGCTCCGGTGGACTTGCCGTTGTAATCATGTCCAGTGTTCCGGGGAACCACACGGATGTTATGCTCCTTCGCGAACTTCAGCGCTGTGGAGACATGCTCCTTCTTCGCGACATCAACAGCGTAGACGACGTAGTTTCCGAGGGTGCAGGGCTTCGATTCGGGGTGGAAGGGATCGCAGGTTCCATTCGTGAACCAAGGAGCCATAATCGAAGACGAGGTTTCATAGCTGTTTTTAATTAGCGGAAACCCCCTACGGCCATGGATACCAGACGCAGACTTACTGAAGCGCCGGGTCAGTCCACTGTTCGCTAAGCGTCTTGCATTCAGCGGCGTTGTAATTGGGGTCGTGGCAAGGGGTACCCAGAGGCACGGTGGCTACCAGGCGGCCGTCAACCGATTCGTTGAATTTAGCCCACACATCCTGGGATGGCCAGCAAGGATCACCAGGGAAGCAGCGACAGTTGGAGTCCGCTTTCACAGAAGCTGCGGCCAGAAGGCCTGTCAAGAGCGACAAGCCCGTAGCTTGACCGAACATATTGGTGGGTTGTCAAGAGGTTTCACCGGTGCAGGGATGGAATGCAAGACAAGCCGGGACGAGCTGCACCTTTATGATCCCTCACACATGGAGTGGAGCGGCGATTACGGACTGGTCTAAGCAAAACGGTCACTCCTAACTAAATCTTGTGTGCCTGATTCAGGTTAAACCTTCTGATGGGTCAACGCTCATGCCATTGGGTCCCCGAAAACCCACCGGTGATGAACTACTGTAACCTAAAGGACGCGGTGGAGCTAATAAATTGGTCGGCGAAACGTGCGAGAAAACTCGCTCTAGTTGAGCCTACAACATCCAATCGTGGACTCCGGAGTAATTCATTTGAGAATGCAATATAAGTTAATTATCAGTTCATCAAAAAAAAATCAATCTAGCCAAATGAAAAAGAAAAAGAAAAAAAAAATCCCTCATGGGTGCTGCTCACGGTTTCACTTGTTCCATAATCTCATTGCCCTAGTCGTCCTCTCGGTCCCATCGTGATCGGTATTCCTGCATCAACACTGCCGGCGACGGCGCTTTCTCGACAAAAGTCCGCACCTCAGGGGTCGGAAAGATGTAATGCAATGCCGTGTATACCGCGGCACTAATTGCCGTGCCCGTTAGGAAGCAAACGTAGTAAATCCGCGTGAACCCCAGGGGAATTACCACGCCGGGATCGACATGGGCCACAAACCCAGGGAGTGAAGGAACCATTCCACAAAGCCACTGTTGTTGTCAGTCTAATTCCAAACAGCCCAAGAATTGGGAAAGGCTAACCGCAACGGGGGCTCGCCAATTGACCCCGTATGTGTACCAGTAGATGCCTTTGGTCCCCTCGTGACATGGAAACAAATCCTCCACCTTGATCTTGCGCCGCATCACGGTGAAATAAGACGCTATCATCGACCCTACCATGGGTCCTAGAAAGATGGAGTAACTACTAAGAACTGCTAAGAACGTGGTGGCGGTGTTGACCAGTTTCCATGGATTGCATGCGATCGACACCAGGGCTGTGATATAGGCGCCGCGACGAAGGTTTATGTATTTCGGAAATGTGGCCGCCATGTCAAACCCTATCATTGCGCAGAAGTTAGTTGCGAAAAATGGTCGGAAATAACGAGGGATTGCAACCTCCCGCGAAGGCATTTGCAGGCACATTCAATCCCATCTGCGACACACTGAGCGCAGCTCCCCCGAAGAACGCGGCCACTCTCGAGCGTGAACCCCCATCGTCCAGGATAGTGCTGAGCAGGGCGGGCAAGCTCCACAGCGGTTGACCATAGCGATTCTGCGTGGCCGCCGTGACGAGGATTCCCACGGTCGCACATAGGATGCTATAACAGGGAAAGCTGACCAGTTGTCCGAGGATTGCCTCGCGAGGTGTTCGCGCAAACCTTGTATAATCATTCTGGTTTAAGATCCCAGCAGCTGCACCTCCCATAGTACTCATGATACCAAAGGCAATCGTCCATCCGGAGCCACCTGCTCCGGGCTCTGAGATCGTATTGCCAAACCCCCTGTCGTCCATGCTGACCAGCGCCCAGATAAGGATGACGATCTCGAACACTAGGATTATGGCTGACGAGATATAGAAGAACATCTGCAGTTTGTGTGGACGGATATGTAACATCGGCAAGGAGAGTCCCATGAAGATAATGTACGCCACAAATTGCGCCGTGGTCATTCCTGTCGACTCGGGCATATGATTCGGAATCCGGCTTTGGAGAGATGGCCAAATTGCGCACAATGAGACGTATATGCATTCACCGCCAATCCATGCTTGAACCGCATCTATCATGCATAATGAGTTCGCTGCGATCGGCGTCGGTAATGAGAGACCTACACCAGACTACATGCATGTTAGCTGATCTTTAGCGACGTCGATTAGGATGGGCAACTCACCGATGGAGAGTAAAATCCGATTCCACAGAACAAATAGACTACCGTAGAGACCCCAGACATACCTATTGACTAAAGGAAACCCGACTAGGGATGTCAATGCTGTGTTCAACTACATGAGCTGTGGACTCACTATGGTAGAACATTCCCGGGAACGAGTTTATCACAAGTAGCCCAACTGCAATTATATTGCCAGCAACGATCGCAGCCAGCGACTGACGCCAGGTTAATCCCATGGCAATCAACGAACTTCCTATCATGTAGACTGAAATGTTTGAGCTGGCCAGAACGCCTTGTCTGTCAGATTGTTTCCTTCCGGCAATGCTGGATGAGCATACAAAAGTTATGGAAAGTCCAGAAATTCCAGGTTCGCCGGTCTGCTTCAATGGGCTTAATATCATTGTTGGTCCATCGGCTGGGGATTTGCCCTCCGTCATGGGGGACTTCGAGGTGTTTGAGAATAGTGTTTTTCATATTGGTCAAAGAATACAATTCAATACTTGTCATTTGCATTGTGGTTCCGAGTTGAATATATATAATCCCGTAATACTAGACACCAGAGATTTTCAACGAGGGAAGAATGCTTAGCTGTGACCCTCTCGTGATTGACACACGTATCTGTTACACAGTAAAATAAGCACAGAACTTTGGTGTCCACTTACAGGAAGCAAACAAGGTGTGAGGCCCATGTCAGTACAGCTGTGAGTCGCTATCTTGCCATGCTCCTTGCATCCGAGATTATCTTTTGCATAGGTAGGCACCATCCTCACTGACTGTAGCAACAGATCAAGACACCGGCATAGGGAATGATACGGCAAAGGTAAAACTAGAGGGGAGCTGATAGGTTAAATGTGAACCCTTCGGTACACCAAGGGCGTCTGAGTGGTGTTGAGAAAAACCATATCATGGTCAAGCATGAAGAATTCACAATCGGTCAATATATGGCCTATCTCTTCGTCCCCTGTCTAGCCCACTCATTCCCCCTTACTTTCCCCCTTCTCTTTTGCTTTCTTCTTTCTTACATTCCTCGTCCTCGTGAGGACACAATCACAAGCACCCGTTGGGATACAAAACGTGCTCCGCTAAATTTGCTCGGTGTATATTATAATGGCATCAGATCATATTTCTGAATTGTTTCCATATTAGAGCCTCATATATGTTTCTCCAAATATGCCAGTATCAAATATGTCCATCTTCTATCAACTCCATGCCGTGAGGGGGGGTCACCCGTTGCCCCGCGCCCTAATCAAGACGCCACTCAACCACCAGCCAATTTAATCTCTTCGCCCTCCAGCCATTAACTGTATGGCGACCTGCTTATTCTGGACAGAACTTGCATGTGCCGGTTCCTCAACGTAGAGAATACCTTCTGACTGGGAGATCGAACGATAAACGACCTCGAGCGGAATATTTCGTTTAAGCAAAGTACCCATAACCCATGATCACGCCATAGCGAAGAGTAGCTGTCAGCAAGGTTCATCCTGCCAGATCAAAATGACTAAATATCGTATCGGCGTCGACGTCGGCGGCACAAATACCGACGCTGCGATCATCGATATCCTTGCTATTGACTCTCCCTCACGCGGTGTCTGCGCTTCCACGAAAACTCCAACGACACCGGACGTGACGTCTGGTATATATACCGCAATTCAGGATGCACTGGAACGGTCCCATGTCGATCGGCAGGATGTTGTTAGTGTCGCGATCGGCACGACGCATTTTGTCAATGCAGTTGTTCAGGCAGACTCGAGTCGACTGAGTAAAGTCGCTGTCGTGCGACTTTGTGGTCCCTTTACGAGACAGGTGCCGCCTTTCGCGGAGTTTCCGTCTGATTTAAAGAGAATCATGGGTGGTCCAGTGTTTTATTTGGATGGTGGTGAGTACGATACTATATCTTGTCATGCTTGACTGAGCGGGTAACAATATAACATAACATTGCTAGGCCTTGAAATCGACGGGCGCGAAATCGCACCATTGAATGTAGATCAGATTAAAGCTACCGTGAAGAGCATTCAGGATGCAGGTATCAAGATGGTAGCTCTTCTGGGCGTGTTTTCGCCATTAGATCACGATGGGATTCACGAAGAGACCTGTAAAAAGCTCATGCTCGGCTTTGACCCCTCGCTATCCGTCGTCTGTTCGCATTCTATCGGTCGCATCGGGTTCTTGGAGAGAGAAAACGCGACTATCCTCAATGCCTCCATTCTTGCCTTCGCGAGGAAAACGGTGCGAGCCTTTTGTAGCGCAATGGCCAAACTACAACTGCGTTGTCCGCTGTATCTTACCCAAAATGACGGTACCTTGACTGATGCAGCCACGGCGGCTGAATTACCCATCAAGACCTTCGCCAGTGGTCCGACTAACAGTATGACTGGCGCTGCTTTTCTTGCTAACTTGGATCGGGGTGGTGGTCCGAAACAATCGGATCGGCAGGTTCTGGTCGTTGATATCGGTGGAACAACCACCGACGTCTGCGCGCTGCTTCCATCTGGATTTCCACGCCAGGCACCGAACTTCGTGGAGGTTGGAGGCGTGCGGACTGCGTTCTCAATGCCTGAGGTTCTATCGGTTGGGCTTGGTGGTGGTAGTCGTGTGGTTGTGGATGGACAGACTGGGGTTGTTAGTGTTGGGCCAGAGTCGGTGGGCCATTATCTCACTAGCCGTGCCATGGTTTTCGGTGGTGATGTGATGACTGCGACAGATATTGTTACAGCGTCTGGAAAGGCCGATATTGGGGACCGCAAGAAGGTAAAACATGTTCCTGCGGAGGTTGTCACCAAGGCCCGCCAACAGATTCGGAAAGTCCTGGAGCGTGCCATTGATGGTATGAAGATCTCCGACCAGCCAGTTGTGCTACTGCTTGTGGGTGGTGGCTCGGTCATTCACATGGATGCCTTGAATGGTGTCGCGGAGTGCATCTTCCCGCCGCACCATGACTCTGCGAATGCCGTTGGAGCGGCTATTGCTAAGGTAGCCGGAGAGATAGACGTGATTGAGTTACTAGAGGGCCGTGATGAGAAGCAGGTGCTCAAAGCAGCGAAACAACAGGCGATAGATGCAGCTGTTGCCCGTGGAGCAGAAAAAGAAGGGGTCAGGATCGCTACAGTCGAAAAGATCCCTCTTGCCTATGCTACAAATAAGGCGACACGGCTGGTTATCAAGGCGATTGGGAATCTTGCCCTCCTAAGTATTGATAACCAGGTGGCACCACAATCCAACATCTTCCAGGAGAGTATAAGCGACGATCTCGACGCAAACGATGATGAACCTAGCAACATCAATTCACCGCGCGAGACACTCCATTTCGATGCGAAGCCAGCACTCCAGATCGATCTGGATACATATCGACCCGATGTCCGCAACAACACATGGTTCATATCCCCCGTCGACCTAGAGTTTATGGCCGCCGGCACAGGAGTCCTGGGAACAGGCGGCGGCGGTCCTTCTCGAATACAGTACCTCCATTGCCTCCAATTTCTTCAAGATACGGGATACACAGGAAACATGCGCGTCGTCAAGGCTGCCAGCTTGAGGGACTTGGATGTCTGCGTCATGGGCTCGTGGTTCGGTGCTCCTAGCGTATCCAGCGAGCGTCTCTCAGCAGGGACAGAATTGGCTCTGGCCATTGAAAGCTGTGCTAACATTACCGGCAAGAAGGACTTTCATGCCATCGTGACAGACGAAATCGGAGGCGGGAATGGTTTATCGGCATTCCCATCCGGTGTGATGTACGATATTCCGGTAGTGGATGGGGACTTGATGGGCAGGGCATACCCGACGCTAGAGCATTGTGAGTTGCTTGACTCAATATCGACGAAGTTAGCGCGATGTGTACTAACCTTCTAGGTACGCCATACGTCTACGGACTCTCCTCCACTCCCTGCGCTGTCGCAGACGGAAGAGGGAATGTATCCATCATTCTGGTTCGGTCCTACCCTATACACCTCCACACATACAATCAAGTTCTAACCCCAACAGCATGCCGAAAGTAACCGCCGCGCCGAAACTATGGCACGAAGCCAATGCGTCGACCTGGGAAATAAGGTCGCCCTATCAACTGCACCACTTACTGGCGCGCAGACCAAGAAATATATCATACCAAACACCATCTCTCAGGCGTGGTACATCGGAAGAGCCGTGTGTCGTGCTCGCCGATCAAAGACAGACATGATTCAAGCTATTGTATTTATCCTACCCGTCTATTTCTTCTCGACTGGGATTAGGATCAACACTAACCTGAGAAGTTCGATACCTCGCCCGGCAAAATCCTCTACACTGGCAAGATCATTGACGTCAAACGAGATGTTAGCCGCGGCTATACAATGGGCTATTGTCTGCTTGCACCTCTGAGGAGTGACGAGCGGGAGACTACTCTTTCTTCTAGTTGTAGTGATGGTATGGAAGAGAATCGCTACTTAGTTATTCCCTTCCAGAATGAGTTTCTTTATGCCGCTTATACGGATCCCAATGCTCCAGAGGAGGTATCCAAACAGGAAATCATCTGCACTGTCCCTGATTTGATTTCGATACTGGGACAAGATGGTGAGGCCATTGGATCGCAGGAACTGCGATATGGTCTCAAAGTCAATGTGGTTGCCATGGCAGCACATCCGTTGTGGACGACAAAAGAAGGACTGGGCATTGGTGGTCCGAAGGGATTTGGATTGGATATGGAATGGACGAAATTGGGGGAGTACTGGGAGCCGAGGAGTGTGATTGAGGAGTTTAATAGAGTTGAGTAGGTGTCAGATGGAACCTGAACGGTATATAGGAGTTCTTTGAAAGCATCCGTAGTAGATAGGTACTACGAAGGACAGAGTTGGGCCTTGCTGATAGACGGGGACTGATCGGATTAGATAGGTTTCATCGCACCTGATGTTGAGCAACCCTAAGCTTCAAAACTCAACAGGACTTCTCAAAAGATAAATATAAGCACCTCCAAGATTCTAGCTATATTTGGATGACCACCAAATAGATGACTTCATTGGCTGGCCCGTATGTCTTGTGGAGATACCTGACTAGTGCTTATTCTTATCTGGGTAAGATTTTCAAAAAGGAACTACACAGCGCTCACTTCTAGAATGTCCACCAATAGCCACTAAACCTTAAACTCTAGAATCAGCTCCTCTTAATTCCCTCAGATTACTGATCACTAAATTTAGCTAGTCGTTGCGTTATATACATCCGAATGATGACGCAGATCATGGAAATCAGAAGGGATAGCTCTAAAATAATTGGTGGGAAGGAAGAAGACCCATTCGGGGGCCAAACTCCCGTTGATGAAAACGTCAAGTTATAAAATGGACAGAGATGCCGTCACTTCCTACACTTTAATTATCTTTACCCTCTATCCGCTTGTCTAATTTAGCTAAGCACCCATCTTTGAGCATCGAAAATGACACAATCTCATCCCAAACCAGATTATGATATCCTCATCGTCGGCGCCGGGTTCTCCGGGATCTTCCTCTTGTATC